CAATACTAGGTATAAACAATACGTATTGTGTAAAACAATATATGTTTTGTATAATTTTGACCTGTTATATATCTCATCAATAATACATTTTATGCATAATAAGAGACATCAAAGTACGTGTTCCATTATATTGTAACATGAAATGTATGCGGCGGTTTCAAACACGTGTCGTTTAATATCTAAAAGGTAGCGTAATAAAAATATTAATTGGCTTTACACAATGCGATAAGGGTTCTGCAATATAGAAATTTCAAGCCGATTAAAGACAAGTGTGATTTGTAGATCGTGACCCTCACATTTCGATGTATCTGATAGAGCAAAAATGCGGTGAAGATTAACTACCAACTGATGTTTCAGGACACAGCTAATTAATATTTTCGTATGATAATAGTATTTTGATATTTTATAATATCAGGCGCTATAGCATGCAGGTTACAAAGAGCCTTTAAGAGTAAGTTGTATTACGAATAGAAACAAGTAGAATGGTTAATGTAAAGTTAATCATCTGGATAACGTTTCCTGTATTTTTAGTGGGTGGGTGTGGGGGCAAGTTTTTGGTTATTTCATTTTCATTAAGTTTTAGTTTTTTATGTTTATTTATTTTTTTGATTCATTCCTTCATTTTGTGCGATCTACATGTTTAACGAACGTTTGTAATGAAGAGATATAATTCTCTAAATAGGTTTAAGACATAAGATGAGGAATTACACAGACACGGTAACTCGAATATCTACTCATATGCACTTGATACAGATCGATATCAATTAGATAACAAGTCCAAAATGCCCAGAAGAAAACAACCAAAAGTTCCGGATGGATTCTGTAATTAGTATCTTTATCTCTTGAACTCCTGAATATTAAATATTTTATTTTTCACATAATTTTTAAACACCACTGTGGTCTTTGATCATTCAATTGTTTAAAATCCATTTCATGAACACCCTACTGAATTTCTTATATTTACGAATTTAAGCACATGTTTACATATTGTATAGGCATTAGGGCGTTTGGGGAGATAAATATGACGTCACTGTACTGACCACCAGATCGGCTGGTTCCCATCACCAAATGACAGCGAATATTTACGCTTCGTTTTATTCCAATTGTATTGTTCTTTGTTTCATATTATTTTATGCATTTTTTACGCTCCATTTCTGTTGTTTTTCATACCAAAGGTAAATATTATTCAGACACTTTCGTTTATACAGTACGTGCCTCTATCGTTCAGTACTGTTTTATTCATAAATCTATCCATCAACGTGACGTCTGCCTTAAAACGTTCTTATATATAACTTTATGATATCAACACGAAATCTTCATTATACACAAATGGGCATAGACAAACACAGTAAATTGCTGTCCATCTGAGTCAATGATACCATTGAGCCATTTTATGTTTTTCTATTATGATAAATCTACTTTTGCTGTTGTTTTTGTTGTCTTCACAAATATGTTTTGGTTGTAAATCAAAGCAACTTCTTAATAAAAAACAGCAATCATTCGTTTATTAACCGTTATCGCCTATGTCACGAGCTACTAACTTCACATATCCAAATCAATGCTGGGTTATTCACATTGTTCTTTATCTGGAAAAGTTGAAAATGTCGTCATTCTGTTATTTTATGAAATAACTTCCCATTTGTAGATAATATTGAGGTATTCTAATAAAGGCGCACATTTGGTATTTGAGGTCAATACTTAGCTTCAGCAATATTCGCCAAAAACGAAATTTTGTTTTAATTTCCATTTCTTCGTAACTACGAAATTTGGATTTGAAATTTTAAAGGAATTTTAATAAATGCTGTTTTTTATAATTTGTATTTTAACAAGTGCGAAATTCAGTGATTCAACTTTTCGTAAATAATTAACATCTTAAAAAGCAATGAGTGATGACATTTTATGTTTTAAAAAGTCAATTTTACAAAAGCAGCTTCTTAATGTCAGCTTATATTAAAATAATTATCATATAGATCAAGATAACAAAATATATAATATCCTCTATCTTATCTATCCCTTGATGACCTGCTCTCGCCGACCTTTAGACAAACGTACATGTAACAAACAGTCTGCAACCAGATATGAACGACGGTGGGTTTTTTATCGAGAGACCTAAGGCCTAAGATACGCACTAGTCCATAGTGCCCGGTAATATATGTCGCTCATTAAATGATCACCTTGTATCGCCCGCGGGTCAAACGGTAGCATCTACTAATGATAGGTGTCAAAGCATGTACGAACATCTCTAATACACACAGAAAGGACATCACAACAGGTAACAGCATGATGTCATTAAATATATATTATATTGCTTAGAATAGGTTGATACGCATCAATATCCAATGGGTTTATAGATATATATGGTAAACGCATAGTGCCAATATATATACATAATTATACACATTGGCAAAACCTGAATATACGTTAAAACAAGAACAGAAGTGTCAAAAGACAATTAATGAAACAAAGAGAAAAATTTGTCTATTGTGTAGAATTTTATCAATAAGACAATAAATTGATTTTGATGATATGCATCTGATATCTCAAACAAACTAACAGCCGCCCTAACCCAGCAGCTTCTACACTTCACATTGCTCTTCAGGTCTAGTTTTGTTATCTTTTTGTCTGGTCGAAAACAAGGATGAAAAAATGTTTTAAGGATGAAAGCCAATATTTTTATTTCTGTGTTTGCTCACTCCAAGTGAATGTGTTATACAATCTTATTCAGTGTGTGTATAATATAGTTATTTTTTAACTACATGAAGAACTGAGGATGGCATTGCGTTTACTTACATAAGAAAGTGAAAACTATAAGAATGGGGCGTATTATATAGGTAAATATGCATTTGTGTTATATTTGGCGTTTCATTCAGTAGTTGGGTTCAGTATCATATAACTTAAGCTAATTGGATAAAATATGTTTTGAAAATATAGTTCCTGTTTTAATCTGTCATGGATCATTACATCTGTCAAATACAAAGGAAACCATTACAATGTGCCTTTTTCCCTCTGTGGTGTGCCCGCTAATAAGTTAGTCGGAGGACTACAGGAAATGGGATATATTTATTGTTTCTACATGACTAGAAGGTTGATCTTTGCATAGTTCTGATATAGCACTAATGTAGTGACGAATCTCGAACCTCCTACCTTACTGTCATGTAACTAAGGTTAATGCTGGCTGCTTCTCACGTATACAAATCTGACATGACGGATATGCCTGTCATCAGTGGGACATATATGTGTGGCTTTGTTCTGGTGACGTTAACGCATTTGTCAATCATAGATGAACGATCGATTTTCTTTTTTGATCTTATAATTATGTTAATAAGATTTTCAATCGTAAACCCGCAGATTCGATAACTTCTGTTTAACGTACGAACGTTTTTAGCCTTTGCCTGCATGAAAACCGCTTTCAGACTGGCATCAATAGTTTATTTCATACTCTGATGACTGTCCGTGTTAATTCAATTATATAAAGTAAAAATAAGATAGAATGTGTCATTGATACTGTAACATCCTTACACCATGCTTTGTGTTAATTGTTAAGTTAAGTGTTAATTCCTTACCAATCGTGACACTTTAACAGGAGCTTCTATAGTTCAATAAGTTAGAAACGTTGACCTATGCAATCTCAGAGAAAGAGATGTGCGGGGTGCGTGGTTCGACGCTCCCTCACCCTAGTGGTTAATGTTTATTAGAAAACTGAGAAACGGAAACGGTCCAGTGTTTGTTAACATGGGTGTATACGGATGGTGTTCAGTTAGGTAGTCAACAGCTCCAAAAAGAACCTACCTCAAAAGGACCTGTTGTTCACGGGGCGATAAAATCAGCAAGTATTCTGACTAATTTGTCGACCTTTTCAGATTTCGATTTAATCAAATTGACCCGGTTGATTCACAATCACTTAATAAATTGTTAGGTTATCTATCTGCGCATCACTTGGATTGATGAAATCCTTCTAAAAAATCTGGAAAAATCACAAAAGTATTTTCAATGCTATTATTTATCCATTTTTTAATTACGTATGCTTTAAACAGGATAAACTAAATATACACCCATACTCTTCCGAACTGTGTTATCGTAACAGACATATATTAGATAAATATATGCAATATTTCATAAACATGGTATTTTCTTTATTTACTTTTGAATAAATTTATTTCCCAAATTTTTGTGAAGTGATGCAGTATTGATAAGCATTTTTTTTACTTTGATAAAGAAAACAGCTGGTAACCTTTATAGTTACATCACGAGAGACATTTGAAGACATGGACATTTATTATGTTGCTAGTTTTGAGAATATATGTTCTACGCCCATAAGAAACATAACTATGTCTGTGTTTACAATGACCCTAGCAAACACGAAGCAGAATGTAATTACTAAACGAAAGCAATTAATCAAATGAAATTGTTAACCTACTTTAAGGGTGTTGTTTTCAATAATTGAAATTACTTGTCGTAACCCACCCATATTTAAAACGCCGGTTTCAAAAAAGTATGTTGTACATAGAGAGAATATGTATTTTGACTCTCTATTCGATAAACTAATCAAGGCACTTTTCACCTGTCAGGCATCCATCAGGTAAAACGACTATAAAACGCATGTAAGAAATCACGTGACAAGGCCAAAAGTGTGAACAAGGTAAGCACCGCCCAACCTGGCTCTCAGAACGGAGAGTGAAGTCGTTTGCTCGACACGACAAAATGGCTTCCACTTGCCTATCCTCATTTCCACCTGTTTGCCATATCCAGGAATGAAAACATATTCTTGGAGAAAGTAAGGCAGTTTTGCGGTAGGAGATTTCATGGATGTAACTAGGATTTTCATCTTTGTTTTTATCTTTGGTAGATAATTGAAAATCTTCCGCGAGTGATTTGGATTTCATATTGTGATATGGATGTATAGTTATCCCGAAGGTTGAATTACTGGATTGGTATATGTTCAGAACCTGACATCTCACTTTCAGTTACAATGGTCAACCTATAGGATTACAACATTCACAATGAGACCAGATGATCTGAGTAACCTCGAGGTTCTGGATGAGAATACCATTGTCCAAGCACTGAGAGGTAGATTCCATAAAGATAAATATTATGTAAGTAAAAACACATATGGAAATTTACTTTTGTCATTAATTAGATTTTCATATAAATAAGTAACGAAAAGTTGTACAAAAGTATACATCAGTTCAAATAATTTTATGTTATATATTTTTTTAGATAAAGTAAAGTAGTAAATCTTTGTTAGATGTTCTTTAGATAAATGTATTTTTTATAATACTATCAACAATTTGAAAGGAATGTGTATATAATCGGTGTTGCAACTGACATATAAGAAAGGATTCTTATCACAAACTTTTCGACTGTTTGTTTCTTTGTGAGTTTAATCATAAGACATCTTTCCAAGAGTAAAAAACAAGGTTACCAATTAACTGTAAAAATCATTTCTTAATTTGAAGTGAATTCTTGGCGGAATGTTATTCTCACGGTTTGTCTATAGCCATGAAAAATAAAGAAAGTTTCTACACAACGAATATATTTCATAGTATACATAATTCTAACGATATATTGTGATTCAATGATTACAAATTGTATATCTCTTTTACAGACATATATAGGAGATATTCTAGTTGCTGTGAACCCATGTAAACCTCTCAATCTTTTCGAGAAAACGGTAAGATATATATTGTCTCTATCTTATATATAAAAAATCAGGGTGAGAATATATTGTATTGTATTGTTATGAATGTTTATAATAGATTCATACAGACAATTGTTATAATATTCATATTAAACTAACTTTTTTAAAACTATATCTAATAGATTTTGTTTAATCTTTTCACTACAAGCACTTGCTATAACAACTCTTGTCTGACTGTTAGGTACTTAACACCGTAATATTTTGCTAAAATGTTCTTGTTTGACTGTTCACTATTTCGTACAACAAAATATTATTAAAACTGTTCTTATTTGACTAGTTCACTATTCCTAACAACACACTATTACTAATACTGTTCTTGTTTGACTGTTCACTATTCCTAACAACAACAAAATTACTAAAACTGTTCTTGTTTGATTAGTTCACTATTCCTAACAACAACAGAATTACTAAAACTGTTCTTGTTTGTTCACTATTCCTAACAACACACTATTACTAAAACTGTTCTTGTTTGACTGTTCATTATTCCTAACAACACACTATTACTAAAACTGTTCTTGTTTGACTGTTCATTATTCCTAACAACACACTATTACTAAAACTGTTCTTGTTTGACTGTTCACTATTCCTAACAACACACTATTACTAATACTGTTCTTGTTTGACTATTCACTATTCCTAACAACACACTATTACTAAAACCGTTCTTGGTTGACTGTTCATTATTCCTAACAACACACTATTACTAATACTGTTCTTGTTTGACTGTTCATTCCTAACAACACACTATTCTAAAACTAACAACAACACACTATCACTAATACTGTTCTTTTTGACTGTTCATTATTCCTAACAACACACTATTACTAAAACTGCTCTTTTTGACTGTTCATTATTCCTAACAACACACTATTACTAATACTGTTCTTGTTTGACTGTTCACTATTCCTAACAACACACTATTACTAAAACTGTTCTTGTTTGACTGTTCATTGTTCCTAACAACACACTATTACTAATACTGCTCTTGTTTGACTGTTCACTATTCCTAACAACACACTATTACTAAAACTGCTCTTTTTGATTGTTCATTATTCCTAACAACACACTATTACTAAAACTGTTCTTTTTGACTAGTTCACTATTCCTAACAACAACAAAATTACTAAAACTGTTCTTTTTGACTAGTTCACTATTCCTAACAACAACAAAATTACTAATACTGTTCTTGTTTGACTGTTCCTTATTCCTAACAACACACTATTACTAATACTGTTCTTGTTTAACTAGTTCACTAGTCCTCACCACCAAGAATCTACTGCTTTTTTTACTTTTCCTCACACGTTTGCTATAAATGTTCTTGTTTGTCTGTTTAATACTCTTCAACAAAAAACTTTTATAATAACTTTCAATTTTACTTTTCGCTAATCATCACTGTAAAAATTGATATAAATTGTCAAGCGATCAGGTATCCTCCATCCACTGCTAGCTAGTTTATCTTCTTATCAACACAATAAACATATCGTTTTAATGAGATTATCATCCTAGAAGGAAGGAATGTTCTATTTGAATTAATGTTATTCTAGACAAATGTAATAAAGATGAAATATTATGCACATAATTAATGTTGTTAAGCCGTTTGGAAGTGCTCTAGTGCCTTTATAACTGTGTGTTACTAATATATCCTGTATATGCTGCTTTACAGAAAGATTGTTTTACTTTCCTCAATGCAAAACGTGATATTAAAGTATCTTCTTATTACCTGTAATTGATGATTTATTTTGGTCTTGAGATAACGAATATAGGCCACGCCTGGTATCTCATCCATTTGTATACTGTTACATAAATTTATCAAAATAAATTGATTAATTTTGATGTCTTTTAAGTGACAAGACTGTAAAGATTTACATTTGATCAACGATGCAGTCTACATAAATTTACTTGTGACTGTGAGATATTCATTATAATATATAGAAGTAGAGCCAAAGGGTTGGTCTGTACAGAGAAACGTAGCATTTAAAGGTCATTACCAGGTTTTCAATGATATAAATTATAAATATTTAAAAACAATAAAAGACAGTGTCTATAAATCGCTGCAATAAGTTCAGTTTTTTCAAGTGTGATAAATGCCCGTAACATCATTGACAATGTAACTTTAGACTTAGATTATAAGGAAATCGAAATGCGCCCTCTTTGCTGTTTTGGCAATATAACTACATTAACCATGGCTGAAGATATTAAGTATTGTGTCTATTTCAGAACCATGAGGAGTACGAGAATCTGTTGGTCCGAGCCGAGAAGCCCCCTCATCTCTTTTGGGTGGCTGACCACGCGTACAGGGCATTACTGGAGACCAGTAGGAATCAGTGTATCCTGGTTAGTGGGGAATCCGGGTCTGGAAAGACGGAAAGTACAAAGTACATGATACAACACCTCATGAGGATCAGTCCTAGTAATGACAAACACCTACTCGATAAAATTGTACAGGTAATGCTGACCTTAACATCAAATCTGTGCATAACAACTTTACAGGACAACTCAGGCCAACTGTCAATGTATACACAGAGACTTGAATTTTATTTTAAATTTAAGCATTATCCTTATTGTATTTCCCCCATCTGGTGCAAGATTTTTATTTCAACACACACATTTGGAGACTGATGTATTTTAAAACAGCATTGTTCATTACAAGTTTGTCGCTTTTACTTGATAAACACATCCATGTCGTGGACTAATGTCGAGTTACTATAGAAGTGTTCATTCTATGAATAACACGGAAAAGTTTTGCAATGTTTGTAAAACAGCTTCTGATGATCTAAAAAAGATATTTACCCCGTTTAGTATGAATTGGAAATAAATTAAAGATGCTTTATTCATCATATAACTACCCTGTTATTAGTGTAATAATACTTATTACATGAATAGATTACGTGAGTGGTAAACAAAATTTTTCATTCATTTCCATTTCATATGAGATTTATGAAGCTCGATACAAATTTTTCATTTTACCTTGACAGGGGTTAGGTAAAATGAAAAAAAAAATCTAGGACTCGTTTCATAATTGTGATATAACTGGCAAGTTATGTAATTATTCCAATACCAATGCTTAATGCCTACATAATATACGTTCAACATTAACAGGTGAAATATGTATTAACACTTAATCTAAAGAAAAAAATGTTTAAAGTGATAAATTCGCTGTCACTATAACACTATCTTAATCTATGCTCATTTTACACTGATTCACTGGAAATGTCAATTTAGAAATATTAATCTATTATAAAACATTCAATAACAATAAATTTCTTTTTGACAAGTGAAGTGTGATAAAGTACTTAATTTTTGCTTATGTTTGCAAATCTACCACATAAATGTTACTTCTTTGATAAAAAGCTCGTGACATTGTTTTAGTTAACTTTCTACTTACCATGTAGATATATTTTGTAGCAACTTTTTTCTAAATATGATTATGAACTATAATTGATATACTGATTAACTCGATCTTCGTTAGTATATGTATTCATGTAGGTTAGCTATTTATCAATCAATCGAGACGTTTCCATTAGAGTACTGTTTTTATCCTATTCGTCTTTTTGATATTGAGCAGCACAGCCTGTCAGTTGGTTTATAGGTTTCGTATTTCTTTGAAATTGATATTCCTCTGTTTAATGGCTCGACGCTTCTCTTCAATATTTATGTAATTAATATCACACTCAATTCATGTCGGACCTGTTGTTTAAATTAAATGAATTATTTCGACCGCAACGTGCAAATAAGACATTAAATGTTTGAACAGGATGACAGATTATGACAATAACAAACAAACTAGATGTTAGACCATCACAACATAATTAATGTTTGGAATATTTATACATAATGTGTTTTTTATTGTTAAATATGTCGTTAATGTAACATTAACACAATTACTTTGAGTAGTTATTGATGTTGTCGCTGTAAAGGGTACCAATTTTGGGGAATATTTTTTTTCTATAATTTAATCGCCGTTTTCCCTGCATCCGCTGCAGCTTATTGTAACTGTTACTGTAAAAGTTTATATTTTCATGGAATACTATTTTTCAATATTTTCGAAGATTTGACAAAGCCACAAAATCAAATGAAACTATGAAATTTGACCGGCTTAATAATAAACTTTACATTGATATTAAGCATGCGTAAAAATCTCATTTTTTGAGAAAACTATATAAGTGATTTGAAAAATAAATGTTTCGTCCGTTTGATTTATTAAATAGCTAGACAACACTATTTCTTGTTAAGGGTACTTCGCGAGTGAACTAGATTTTTGTTGATCGGTTTTATTGTCTTTTCTGTCTATTATCGAGATTTACTGAATCTTCGGATTAATAACACCAAACGTTATCATATTTGTTTCTGATTTCATTCATCCTTTATATCACACAGTTTTGTTACTTATGTTAGCTCAATAGTCATTTTGTCGATGTGGTAATATATCAATTAGGTGTTCAGAGGTGATCTGAGATATCCTATATATCTAAATGCTTATTTGTAATTTTCCAGTCACTTACCAAGAGTTCTGTTGTATATATAATTTCTCTGGTTTAAAGTGAACATGCTGGGTGATAAGACGTATACTGTTTGATTAGAGACACTAAACATGTTCCGCCGGAAGGCATAATTTGTTATATATGTCTTCTTATGTTACCTGCTGTCACTGTCAATTTTTCACCCAAATGAACAATTCAAATTCCTTTGAGTTATCGCTCTTAGTAACATTTCGCAATCTGCATCATGGAGAGAAATGTGATGAAAATAAATGAACAGGAGAACTATATAAAAATTAGAAGTAAATTCAAATGATAGATACGAAGAGATCTAATTTGATAATCAAACACCGATTTATAAATATAGATAAAAAATAGATTTGGTCATTATATGACACTACATATATTTAGGAATCAAATAAGATTTAACGATCACTTGATGGATGGTTGATTTCAAAGCAATTAAGGGATAGTATTTCTGTTTAAGTTAACAGTTGTGTTTAGGACTCCCATTTCAAATTTCAGTGTTTGTACATCTTTTCAACTTATCAGACATAAGAAAATCACTGAACGTAACAAAAAGCTGTTTGAACTCATTAGTTGACAATACTGTATCTAATTGGAAATCGTGGTAAAAAGTAAAAAGTGTTTTGCCTTTTCTACAATGTTTATACAGTCCATATGTAAAATAGAAATAATGTTAGTCTCGAAGTTATACTGAATACATGACTGATGTACAAAGATCAATAGATTCAACAAGATATATTGATTAGGTTTCCCATTGATTTTAAGTGCAAATAATTGTTAACCATACTTAAGATATCAGTTATTGACATATTTATATACAGTTAATCCAATACTTATTGTATATGTTATGTAAGTACAAACATTTCTGTCCTTATGATAAATTGGAACAACTTTACAAGAAATAGTTTAGAATTATCTCCTGACCTAGCTAAGGACAGTAATCCATAGCCACGCGCCATCGGCTCTGACATTTAGCCCCAAGGTTTTGTTCCTATAATAACCTGTCCCGAGGGTGACAGGTCTTTCATTACCAGCGACAGAGTTTCGTCAGAATTTCTTTGTCTATGACTAAAGCCTGGTCTAATCGAAATCATTATTACCTGTGACCGGACGGTCCATCAAGCCTGTCTAAATATATGGCATAACCGTGTTTAGTCACTACTCACATCATGTATATATGCAAAGTGCATTTTTTTATTGTACATTAAGGACCAGTATGATGATATACATCCTGATGTGTACTGTGTATAAACTGGACGATGACCGTGTACATGATTAGCATAAGTCATAGAAAGCAATGAACATGTCTACACAAATTATGTGCACATTGCATATTTCGCGTATTTATACAAACTGCTTTTTTTACTGCTTTTTACTGACCGTTCTTTGACAGCCCGGCACACTTTTTCCGTATTCACAAGATCTTGGCAAATGATAATGGCAAATTATTAGTTGTCCGAGTCAAATATCAACATTACATTTACAACCTATAAAAACGAACAAATCATTACACATTTTCCAAGTATTTGAAAGAAAACAATGAAATGGAACATATATATCTTCTAACAGTAACAAATAAATGTTTTCTATACGATATGTTTTTGTATAATTTTTGTATATTTTATATTTATTTAAAGAATGAAATCAATTATACATATATGCATATTTTTACTGCATGTACATTATTACAATCTTAAGTCATTTCGATATTACTCATCAGTTTGATCATATCAAATACAGTGCTACGACTCATATTTGCATCAAAAACTGCAATACATATATTGATAAAGGAAGACGACAAGCAAACGAATTATTTCCATGGAGACTCTTCGAAATGTACCAAGAGAATAATACCAACACTTGCTAATTGACAATGCCTAACGAGTAAATCCAAGTAATGTCATGTTGTCAATAAAGGAAACATTTCATGTCAACGAAATTATAATGCTGACCTTCATATTTCAAAAAAATATTAATATGGTGACAGTTTCAGTTGACATAAAATCACTCATCAATTATGAAAACAATGGTTGTTTTATTTGTTTGTTTTTTATTGCTCAGAAGATTGTTAGAGAAGTTATCCTTAGAATACATTTATGTACGTACATAACATATAGCATTTCGAGTGCGAGACAAAAACTGATATAATTTAATTCAATACCTCTATTTAAGATGTTTTGAATAATGCGCAATCGCTTTGGATGCTTTCTTGGCAGGGGTTTTTTTTTAGACAAACCTGTTAATTGATTGATCAACATTTCAGGTTAATCCCTTACTGGAAGCCTTTGGAAACGCAGCCACAGTTATCAACGGAAATTCTAGTCGATTTGGAAAATTCATAGAACTTCACTATACCGAAGAAGGGTCATTGCTTGGAGGTAAGATATCAAAAAATTACATACGTCTAAGTCCCCCCCCCCCCTTTGATTTATCTGTGAAAATGCAGCTTACAGACAAGAAACGTTTTGTTTTGTTTTTATATTTGAATTTTCGTAGTTTTTTTTAATCTATGGAACAGCCGGCACCTTACGGAATACCAAAAAAGGTATTTCAAAAAGGTGGGAAAGGTTGTCAAAGTTGATATGTACGGAAGTATATCACTTTTGTTGGTGGGGGGAATATAGAGAATACTGGCAATGTAGATATATCTACATAAAAACTGTGTCAAATATTTAGTCATTCCATTCATTCCTTCCATTCCATAACTATGACAATATTTCTACATATCAACTTTTAAAGACTGTTTTAGAGGTTTCAGATTCACGCTTCTTCTGCAAAAATCTTGAAGCAACAATGATCATTTTGCGCGGAAGATATAAAATGGACTACAATTTCCTGTAGTAATCTTATTTTTATTTCATATATTCTTCGCGATGTTTTCCCCATCCTCACATAAAGCTCGATAATTATTCAATTCGAGTAAGGCCGTCCTTTGAGATGACTTTTATTATCAAGGGACCATAAGAAAACCAATTATTACAAAACCACTACCTCATTAAATAATGCATCATGGAAAAGCAACCTATAAAAAGATGTTTATAAAAGTCAACAACATACGCCAAATTTATATATATCGTCAAAGATGGAGATAAATACAGTATGTAAGTTTGGCTTAAAACTGGAAATGATGATCATTGCTCCGACTGCCTGAATAGATATGGCGCTGCTTATTTATTCCCCCCCCCCCTTTTTTTCTGGATATTGAGTATCAAAATATCGTCCAAACAACTGACGGTGAGAACGTTAGAGCCCTTAAACAAAAACTTAGCCCCTAGCGGGTGTAGAGGCAGTGTAAGGTGTTCATGCTATACTTACATATATGATATACAATACTAGAGTGTGTCAATGCATAAAATCAGCATTGCGCATAGCTTAAATTGATCATCATAAATTATTTCTGTTGCAATTTTGACCAGGTTGAAATTAATTTGACAGGATTATGAGAGGTTCACGTTATCATGTTGTTGTTTGCATATCATAATTTGACACTATATAAAAAAAACATAAAGAGATTCATTCGGAATTTACGATATTCTTAAAAATGTTTTCAAGGGAAGGTAAAATACACGTACAAACATTTGCATTTCTATTGAAACCGAAATGCATCATAACTAATAACTATCTTGCATTTAATCTTCTTTTATATACCATCAAAGAGACTAAACATTTTATAGACAAGATCAAGAAATCTAGATCGGTATATAGTTAAAATTTTGTGCAGGTGATGGAAATTTTGCTATTTGAACATGGTTGAGCTTCTATCAAACCAATACTGCAAAGAAATTTGTTATTCATTGCATCAACAATATATCTTTTATGCATTTTTGAAACAGCCATAGGTGTACAACAATTTGCAGGTCATTAATAGTTATTAGATGTACAAGGCATTACTGAATGAGTCATATCGGAGAAATTTAATTTCCAAAGGTCATCAAATTAATGAAGATATATGATCTTGAAATACTGCACCACCTCGTGTTTAACTCTGTTACAGAAATGCACTAGTAATAACTTAATAGATAACAGAAATTTAACATTATACAACCTTGTTGAAGCTTTTTTGATTCGATACTTCTGTCATCGTTTCACTAGGGGAAAGGTCAACCTTAATCATGATCAATCTATGTCACAACATTATCGATACGACTGTCATTAAGGACATTACGTGATTGTGTTTAACAACTGATTAAAACTGAAGCCTCCTATACGGTAATTAACTTTTCCAAAAATGGTGTGTCATGTTTTAAATGCCGTGTACCACATTATGTAAATCATCATAATAGCATACAAAAAGTTAACAACAGAAATTTAGAATAGCATTTTATCATAAACATTACTAATTGTATTAAAGTGGCAGTTTAGAATATTTTGAAAATAAAACGCTTCTAGGTATAATGGGAAATGTTTATTAAACAGAATGAGATAGCAGTCTTACACACACTAGCATACAAAAACTTGACATATTTGTATTCTATATAAAGACGATCAATAAAATCAATTAAGAAAAATTAAACAGATATTGTGAAGGTTTTGCTCAATGGTTCTCTACATGTACTTACTTTTTTTCTCCAGCTAAGATTGATGACTATATATTAGAGAAGTCCCGAGTAGTATATCGGAATAAAGGCGAGAAGAACTTCCATGTTTTCTACTCTCTTTTTGCTGGTATGTCAAGGGATCGACTCTTATACTACTTCCTGGAGGATCCCGATTGTCATAGGTAAGATTTAAGAAGATATAAAAAAGAAGATGTCAAATTACAGCAAAAGCTTTGATAGTTGTAATTTTCATTTTTATTAGAAAATTAATATTGTTTATTCAGATGTTTTTAACGGCGCATCTGTTGTTTATATAATCAATGTATTTTCTACAGAATCATGCGGGATGGTGACCCAACATGTGGGGTATTTCGAGATTCGGATGAGTTTCAGAACTACAAAATCATGTTTGGAGAACTAACAGTCATAATGTCCCACATAGGGTTTTCAGATGAGGTACGTTGCAATCACCATCAGCAAATGAAAAATATATATTATTCTGGAAGTATGCACACTTTAGACAAATAACTGTTACATTCAATCCGAGAGACACACGAAAACCTATAAATCAAAAGGTCTTTTCTTGTTATTTATGTTCTGTTCTTAATCTTTCTGCTATATCTTTTTGATAACTGATTAAGGAATATTTCAATATAACCTAAAATTAAACCAAATGTCGACAAGCTGCAGAAGCTATTCTCATTAATACAATTAAACAATTGTACTTGCAGCACATTTCGGTAATTTTCCTCGTTCTGGCCTCCGTACTACACTTGGCGAACATAGTGTTTATGCCGTGTGAAGAAACTGATGGTGTGACCGTAGCGGACGAATACCCTCTTCACGCAGTCGCCAAACTTTTGGGTATAGAAGATGAAGTGGAACTCACAGAGGCTCTCATCTCAAATGTCAATTACATCAAAGGTGAATTAAATTATATCGGGTAGATAAAACGCATGACTATAAACATAAATTGGCCAACATTTCCACAGATAATCAACAGAATGCTTAGTCGATTTCGGTCCTTTTTCAATAGCTTCGACTACAACTACAACATGAGAGCATATATTTGTCTTTAAAGTTTTAGATTGAAAGGGATTGCCAAGAGATATCTAGAGAAAATTTGGAGGTAAGAGGTATTGTAAAGAAAAATTCAACGAACCATGTTTGCTTTCAGGGGAACGAATTCAGTCCTGGAAAAATCTTCGGGAAGCAAACGACAGCCGTGATGCTCTGGTTAAAGACTTGTACTCTAGGTTGTTTGGCTGGATTGTTGGCCAGGTGAACAGAAAATTGTGGATACAGCGGGATGGCAAGACATCAAAGTAAGTCAATAGATCATGAATGAACTTACCATAAAATACATCTTATACTGAGGGTGGTGTATCGTATTCTGGTATCGTCATTGATGATATTTAAATATCTATCATTCTCTGGTTGTTTGGTTTGGTTGATTCTTCGAAGCGATAAAAAGTAGATATGTTACACACAAATAGTTAGAAACATTGTATATAATGAGAACTAACTGAAAGGCTGTAACATTTTGTAGTTTCACAAGAGGGCTTACCGTCAGTCTTCTGGACATGTCTGGGTTTGAGAATTTCACCAACAACACGTTTGATCAGTTTCTCATCAACATCTCCAACGAAAAGTTACAGCAGTACTTCATGGACTACATTTTCCCGCGGGAACGCCGTGACTACGAAATCGAGGGTATCGAGTGGAGAGACATTGTATACCACTCAAATGATGACGTTCTCGATCTTGTATTTAGGGTAAGCATGTCTTCCACTTCTGTAAAAATATATTTAAACATCAATTTGTGAAATAAAAACGTCTCGTGCGACAATAACAATGGCTGTGAATAGAGTATGGATTCGGAGAGAATTTAAAACATGCCTGATACGTTTTGAATGAAATTATTATATGTGGATTTCTTTAACATCAATATAACTTTTTGCAGAGACCAGACGGTGTTCTTGCTTTACTGGATGAAGAATCTATTTTTCCGAAATCAACTGATGTCTCTCTCGTACAGAAACTAAATCAGTACTGTAGGGATACGCATAGATATGTTAAGTCCTTGGGAGAGCGGACAAGCTTCGGGATCCGCCACTACTCCGAACAGGTACGTCTTAAGTCGTAGAAAAATATCGTATTTAATGAGTCATTACGTTGATCAGAATACCATTCGCGTACTATTAATTTAATTCTGAATTGGTATTGAAAGGTGCTATTTTCTTGTCTTTTGTACAGCGAATGATAAAAACATTTTGAACTATTTACATGTTAATTCTACCATTGGGACAATAACTTTGTCAGTTACTTAAAGTTTAACAATATCAAATTCAAGTGTTGGAAAAGACCACCTGATCATTTACATTCTTGAAAATCTTAATATTCCCCACCTGTATAACACAAATGTCTTCTTTTGAAGTAATAGCTTTGATTTCTCAATGACTAAAGTATCAATGTCCTACATTACAGGTGATGTACGACGCCGAGGGATTCCTAGAGAGAAACAGAGACACACTTAGTATCGATCTTGTCACCTGTCTCCTCAACAGCAATAATGATTTCATCAAAGATTTGTTCACAGCATCTATGTCCCCAACTGGTACCATATCCGAGTAAGTAAAGTTAAAAACATCATAGCATAGCATCTATGTCCCCAACTGGTACCATATCCGAGTTAGTACAGTTAAAAACATCATAGCATAGCATCCTTTTCCCCAACTGGTACCATATCCGAGAAAGTAGAGTTAAAGACATCATATTAAAACATCCATGTCCCCAACTGGTACCATATCCGAGTTAGTACAGTTAAAACATCATATCACAGCATCTATGTCCCCAACTGGTACCGTATCCGAGTAAGTACAGTTAAAGACATCATATTAAAACATCCATGTCCCCAACTGGTACCATGTCCTAGTGAGTAAAATTAAAAACATCATATCACAGCATCCATGTCCCTAACTGGTACCATATCCGAGAATGTAGATCATCATATTAAAACATCCATGTCCCCAACTGGTACCATATCCGAGTAAGTACAGTTAAAAACATCATAGCATAGCATCCATGCCCCCACTGGTACCATGTCCGAGTGAGTACAGTTAAAAACATCATATCACAGCATCCATGTCCCCAACTGGTACCATGTCCGAGTGAGTACAGTTAAAAACATCATATCTGATTCTAAATGATTTTTTAAAAGATGTTATTTACTTGTGTATCTTTTGTTATGGTTCATTATCGTCGATGGTTCGACAATTAAGTCAATAAAAATGAGCTATAAACAACAGGAGTCTTGCGATATATAAAAAAAATAAAAAAGTAAATGTAACTGACAATGTTACAAACATAGGCAAGTGAAGAAAAAAAACCTAATTAAAACATGAGGAGATGACAATTTGAGTGTTAGAATCCTGGATTTAATTGTATGACTGTTATGTGATTATGACACGATTTAAACATCAGGAAGACATCGAATCCACAGGCTCCGACATACCTCCCACATGTGACACAAATTACATCTTAGTCATAACTCATTAATTACTGTCACGGAACTTACAGTCATGACATGATATCACACAAATTATCTACTCTAATATGTACTTTCAATTGTACTTAAAATTGCATATCTCTTGTCAGTATTCTTGTTTATTTATGTATTTATTTAGTGTTAACCGTCCGCTATTACGGCCTTTCTGCTTTTCAAAAGACAAGTCCATACATCATATATGAATAGACTTTCTTTTGGCGGTATCACGAAATATATATTTCCAAAATGAATACATAAGTGCATTATCTATTGAATATAGAATCCGTTATATATGGCTAGTTTATTTCACTTGTCATTAAAAGGTGCAAAGCCTAAGACAAATTTAATCTTAAGTAAAATGTAACTAAAAACAGAATCAAACATAACTAGAATGTGTTTTCTCAATAGACGTTAAGGTATAATAACCAAAATTTTGAGTAATGCTCTACAAAGATATCCACAAACAAGGTCACCTAGGACAAAAATGAAGTCAAGCATGCTAAGTTGGTCAAGATCCACGTTAATGTCATCAGAAGTAGGTTTCCTCTGTATATGAACTTCAGTTTCTTGACGGATGTCATTGGTATCGCGGTGTGAACAATAGAGATAGTTGTTCGCACACCTTTATATATGTATGTAAATCATCTTACAATATATATTGTATCTAAATAAAGGCAATACGGACCCAGCCACTTATTTTACATTACCCATCATACTCATTTTTACTTGTGTATATAGTATTTTCACCTACCTGAGTATTGATTTTACCAAATAAGGATTTGGTTTTAATACAATGGTGACGTATAACAAAGGTGGTATTCTATTATTTTATTATAATGGAGGCGTTTCATGGGAACGCCTTCTACACAAATGTCATGCAATGGGATTAAGAACACATTATCAATCATCTTGTCTTTCAATTGTATATTTCTGTTGTAAGTGCCATTAATACTGTTAGTAAATACAGATAGTCCAGCTGATTATTTTATTTTGGGAGCGTATGTGGTTTTTGATATTTTGACAATACTGTATGGAAAATATCATTCATGCACACAATTATCATAAAAGCAATAGAAGAAATTATTTCCATCAATTTGGGCTGATTTCAGAGAGAATAACAGCTTTATTTTTATAAATCATATTCATTTGTACGTTTCGTTTAATTTCAGCTTTGCCAGTAAATGTACATCACGGCCATGTCTACCTAGCGTATGGCCTTCAGCTATAGAACCCGAAAGACTGCGAGAAAGTGTTTCTCGGCAGGCGTCGTTAAAGATCAAACGGAGGTATGTATTTGCATCTCGTCCCGTTATGTTAGAAACAAGGCTGATTGTTTTGTAAGCTATCCTAATTTTGCTTACTTATAAACTCGAAATAGACAAACTGATAATACGACCACATACCAGGGAAATTGTGGTTACCTAAGACACCAAACCTCCCACTCTTTAAATATGGAATATGAAAAGCAAAAATAGTAATGAGGGCGTGTTAACTATTTGTTCTTTGACTCATTACTTTTGCTAATGAAATGGCAAATTTGACCACACAAATTTACATAACCTCCGTAACATAAACGAGGCGTTATGGGCAAACGTTATATAAGTATAATACATCGCTACTCTTTTAGATGTTTTCTTAAGCCAGAGCATATTTATTTGCAGTCGGGGATTATCCGGAGATAGTGTTTCAAGTTCCTTGGCAGGAAAGTCTTCTCCTACAGTCACTCGTCACTTTAAGGTAAATCAGATTTAGATACAATTTGCTCTCATAGGATTTAACACTTTGCGGACAAATCGAATAACGCATGGTGTCATAACCCGGACAAGAATTTACCAGATTGTCATTATTACACTACAGTGCTTATTTATATGAAAATTGTGATATTCAGGTTTCGAAAACATGATTGATACTACGGACCGTCCAAAACAGATGAGTCGTTTATAATTAATCAGTATATTAGGTACTTTGTTAGCAAACTTTACCATGATTTTACTAGTGTTTATCCAAATATCATATGTTTTGGTAATAGTACTAGTATTCGTCGAACCTAATTAAACGAATATATTTCATTCGATTTTAGAGATCGCTCTCAGATCTTATGACAAAACTGTCTCAAGCGCAACCTCTATTTGTAAGGTAAGTGTATTTTCTTTTCATCAATGTTCTTCACCAGCTTCATTCCTAAACATTTTTGTTGATATGGTTTCATTTTAACTAATAACCATTTCTATAATCAAAATCAAATGAATGCTTCTTAACCAGCACCGCTGTTTATAAATGTTTGTATGTGGGTGTTTTTTTATCATCTGTTGGAGATACGTTTATACAACAGTATACAGTCTGGTGCAGGAAAGTGAAGGTTACAGTTCGACATGTCGGTCATCTAGTTAAGAATTAATTTCTGCTACAAATAACTATGTATTATATATAATATTACGTGCAGCGCTTTAGCATGTATACCTTAACGTTTTGGTTATTCATGTGTTAATATCACTCTTTCATCATTTTTATATATTAATAACGGATTCATATCTTGTATATGAAATTACATACAACTTCCAATTAACATTGCTTATAAAACATTTCAGATTTACTACATTCTTATATAGTATTTACATTTTCCTCTTCATTTTTTTCCTCTTTGTAGGTGTCTCAAACCAAACAATACATTAACCTCGGGCAAGTTCGACGTTGAATTAATCCGCAGACAATTGCTTTGCAATGGGCTCATGGAAATCGCAGAGTTAAGGAGAGACGGATATCCATTCCGGATAAGATATGAAGATTTCCTTCGGAAGTAAGACATTGGAACGCAATACTTTACCCGCCAACTTATAGATTTAATAGCATGTGAATCATTATATGAATTGTGAATAATTTCTTATTTTTCGCTTTTTCCGTTTTTGTAAATTCAGATTGGTAGTATTGTTATTGCTTTTATTACATATTTATGTACAAATCTAAAGAATATATACTGTGCAATTATTCAAATGATATCGCAAATGTGTTTTATCCGTAAAAATCAGCTTTGCGTATAAATATCAAATAATTATGTACATCCGTTTTTTAGATACTGTGATATATGTGATTACGCAAATGGTGTCTCAAATGAACGTGACTCCTGCATAGAGATACTCCGAACGGCAAACATAGAGGGATTCCAAATGGGAAGGTCAAAGGTAAAGTCATATGGACATATAAAATTTCACTCTAGCAAAGGAAAAAAGGAAACAATTATGACAATATCGTGTATCTTTTAGAATTCATGTTCTCAGAGATATAGAATAAACAATGCATGTGTTTATAATTATCGTGTAGAATAAGCTCAAATATTTCTGGACTAAACAATTAATTGTGTGTTTTTTGCAGATTTTTTTATGTTCTCAAAAAATAGAATAAATAATGAATGTCTTCATAAATTAACAAATCACAAATAGTTCTAATATTATCAATTGTGGGTTTTTTCGCAGATTTTCCTGAAAAATTGGCAAAAAGATAACTTGGAAGTCCTTCTTCGTGACAAGGTAGGTCACGGCCAGTGACTCGTATCGACATATACTTTATATTAGAATAAATATCCTCCAAACAAATGATTGCATAAAATCTGAATATCTACCAGTGCGCGTTATCTGAAATTAAGTTTACAAAATGATTTAAAATGCTTCTCTTATATCCCGCAGACTATATTTGGTAACAGAGCAATAAGATAACAGATTCAAAATTGTATGATACTGATATGATTATTTGATAGATGGCATACTGGTACATTGTATCATGAGATTTTTTCCGTTATGCTACAGCTGAGAGAAAAGGAAATTAGACAACAGGAGCTGAGACGTCGGCAATCGGAGGCGTCGCTGCTGTCCATGTTGTCAGAGGACAATTTACATAGTACACCCCGACGATCGGCTGACAGTGGTTTAGATATGACAGGAAGTCCTAGGGACGGGTCAAGGCCTTTACGTGACTTGTATGCAAAAAAGAACGGCCTCAACAAAGCATCGCGGGCACCATACTCAGAGAGTCCAAATCTCCTCATTGATGGGATAGACATAGACGATAGCGTCAGTGTTCCACCGAAAAAGGACAGTCGAGTTCAGTCTGAGGACAGCCGAAGTACGGACAACACAACAACCGTGGAAAGGGACAAGGACCAAACAGAACACTGGTAAGTTGAGGATAATCTCTTCATTGTGTAAATAATCCTTCCTCTTATATTTACAGAGTGATTCCAAAACCGGCAGAGCCTAACAACTTAGTCAATGGATCTTATTTCACTCTTTGATATATCAAACTTTTGTTCCTTCTCATTGCAGGCGACCATACGACATATTTCAGGTATCTGAGCGCGAGTTTGAAGAAAGTGATTACATATTTAAAGAAATCCTGAAAGGCATACGGCTTTTCTTATACGTGTTCTTCGTCATCGCCATTCTAAGTTGTGCCGTGGCTAGTAAAATATCACTGCTCCTCCTCACATCAGGAATTAGTAAGGTAAGGTTTGAAACATGACAGGGAAATTGTCTACATGTTGTCTTTATATCAACTACTTACATAATATTGTATGGGGAAATTGAATAAACAGTCATAGACATTTATTCAGAATCAAATAATTATCTCTTTTTAAGACAAAATGTTAAGTGCTGCTTATTTTTTTTATGAAAGTGGGGTTGGAAAATAAGTCTATAAAATTATATTCATATCAGTTGTGATTGTTTATGTTGACGACTGAGAGGGAAGATCAGGAAATTTAGTATTCCGATTTATTCCTAAACATGTTAATGGTACTTTTTAATGTCTATTGAATTATCTTTGAAAATATAGTTTATTTCATTTGTTTGTCAGGACGCCGAGTCACGAGGGGAGCATCTCTTTATGGTTCTAATTTGCATGTGTTTACCTATTGGCTGGAGTTGGTTCATGGCCTTCATGAAAATCCTCTTTGGTGGCAAAGAGTGGCCATCAATAAAAACATTCGTTCTAGTAAGTTTTGTAATTTCATTCGACTTTGGAATATGGAATCTGCAGAACCATTCATTTCTACTTAAATGAAGGAAATACTAAGTTTTAAATGACTTTTAATGAATTCGATATAAATGGCATGTATTAGCTATATAACGGGTCATATTTTCTGTTTTTAGCTTCTACTGATGGAGAGTATGCAGACATTTGGTCTGTGTCTTTTGCTATTCCGCGTGCTGCCTTCGACCGACTTTTTCAGTGGTTTAATAAAGACGTTTGCAGTTTGTCAAATTCCCAGTCTTCTTAAAGTCGTTGTACACGAAAAGAGGCCTAATCCCAGTGTTAGTGAGATTGTTACCATCATCATGAATATTGCCGCATTTCTTGTTCAAGTGGCTTCTATTCCATTCTTTTCTACTGGAGAATTCTCGTTGGAAGGAAATCACACACTTCTTGAAGGGTACAACGCTACTACCTATGTCACGACACCGGTTGAAAAAGCAACCAATGGTGAATGGGAACTTCCGGTTGCACTAGTATTAATATCTATCGGCTGGTGGGAGAACTATGTATCGGGAGAGTGGACTGTGTTTGGCAGAATCACAATACCATTCAGACAATGGCGCTCAATATTACAGGATACCAGAGAAACCTCATATTTCCTTGTGGCACCGTTCAAGGTCGGTCTAGCTGTTCTGTTCGCTCGTCTCCTCACCAATAATACAAATTTCGTTGTACCAGCTTCTAGTGTTTTTAATGAAACAACGAGTGAGTTTGACTCTAAAATCGAAGAGGTCGGTGTATCATACAGCTTGGTTTTCATTCAAATTGGGTCTGGAATAATATGTACATACCTAGCCGGACTCGCGTGTAAACTACACATGCAGAGAACAGCCTTTGCCCTTCCGCTGATTATTGCTCCTCCAGTGTCATTAGCCGTCATTTTCCTGCAGTGCCAGTATCATTTTCTCCCAGCCCATTGGCATTTGGGTGGCTGGTTTTGTGGGAAGTACGAGATTGAAACTATGCTGGTGCCACTTATCTGTTCCTTCGTATTGTGGCTGTCCTATTCAATCACAGTCTCACACATATGGTTTCCACAGAGTGAGAGAATGGCCAAAATAGAAAAGTAAGTTGGTATATATCCATGAAAAGTAGAACAATCCAATCATCACCCTGAAATTAACATCAAATACATTTTTGACGGGACATTTGACTACAGTATTTACCATTCTGGGATCTCTGAACGCCTGAATGTATCTATTTGTATTTTTCAAAGTCGTATTTCAGTTTTCCTTATTGTAGCTCTCTAGCATCACTGATGAATACTTGTTAGCTAACTAGTTTGCTGTCTTTTTTTTATAAATCTTTCATGTCGTTTAAATACTGTAGTATTGCTGCTATATTATCTTATTTTACAACTTAAATATTTGCACTCCTATGTTTCACGAGACTTTTATATATATATTTACACATTATCTATATTGAAAAATTATGCAGATGATAATTATTCACGTCTTTTTATCTATCTTTCGGCAGACTTTTTGTTACTCCACATATTGATGCTCTCTTCCCGGACTTTACTCTGACACTCCGAAGAAGGCGTAACGATAAAGAAATCAAACTTACAGGATTTGACACGTTCCGGTATGTAGGCGAAGACTTATACAATGCAGGGGAGGACATATACGCGGGAATCAATGTTACACCTCAGGTTTATGTGTGCGCAACAATGTGGCACGAGACTCGACAGGAAATGACTCAGTTACTCAAATCACTTTTCAGGTAATTTTTTTCTGATTATATATGTAGTTAATCACTGTACACAATGACTTGTTATACACATAAAGGATGTACTTCTTTGTTAATTCATTAAACGATCAAAACTCCCTATTTACAAAGTGTTCCTTTGTTTTCGTACATTAATATTGATTTCACTCTGACAAGATTGCATATTTATCTCAACTGTCTTTGAAATCTAAGCGATTGGATATCAGTACAGTAAACTTAATTCTTCTTGACTTCTTTATTTTAAAAAAAGCATTAACGTCCCCATTCCTCTTACAGGTTGGATTATGTGCATTGTGCCAGTCGCTTAGCACAAGAGAAGTTTCGTATTCGTGATCCAGACTACTTTGACCTTGAAAGTAAGTTTACAGACATTATTCTTTTTACATTAAGAGAAACATTATTCTCAACTAAATCATCGACTCTCTAGATTGACTTTCAACACTCATTATATTTTTTGTTATTTTTCCAGTGCATGTTATTTTCGATGATGCTTTTGAACTGGACGAGACCGTTGATAAATTTGTTCCGAACATGTTTGTGAGACAACTGGTGGATTGTATGGAAGACGCTGCAAGGTAAATAGAAAAATCAAATAACAGAAGAAGTGAATAATCCGTCAGCTGGACAAGCGTATACGAGTACACACCTGTGTAGTTGAAAGCCATTTTATTTACAGGTGGTAAGATAACATATTGTTTAACAGCGCTGAGCATGAGTTTCTTAAAACATGGTAGCCCTAATCAAAGCAAAGGAGTGGAATAGAAATATCTTACAAATTAAAAGCGAACAAACTTTCATTTTTACCTAAATCCTCCAACTGCGAATCCAATAATGACGTAATCAACTGACTATCCATGATTCATGAATATTCAATACAGACAGTACAGCCGATCCATCAGTGTTCAGTCCGAAACAAGAATTTTATATAACGGAAATGTCATGACATTGAGAGGAGATTATTGTAAATCAAATTACATGTTCGTGTTAATGGTGAAAGGCATCGCAGTATAAGTCAGATTTCACAGAGCACACAAACTGATTAAAGGTATAAATATACATTTATTGCTTTTTAACATTTAGCGGACGAATTCCTGGTATGGTTCAATATAAAGTTTATGGATGATTAGTCATTTTAACATTCTGCTATTGAATTCCGATTTTGATCTTTTTAATGACGATGTATGTATTATTAAATTACTTTTTTTCTTTTTTTTCCCCCTTTTTTTGATAGTTTATTTTTCATATTTTAACATTTCTTACGATCAATGTTCATTTTCCTCAATCGCTCCTTCGGTTTCAATACTTTAGGCCTTGAACATCACTGAGAAGTCCTTAAAGAATAGAAAAGCAGCTGTATAATGCAGTTTATATCAGTTTTAACTGCACTGTAACTCGATCTTTTTTTATATAAAGATGATATTCTCTTGTGCGTTTTAGTCAAGTAAAAAAATGAAGAAATTACCAACATGTTAGCATAATAATTATCCAAACTCAAAATCAATTAATTAGGGGTTAAATGTGAAGAAAAGAAAGATTTGCACGGAGACTCATCAAAAAGAACATGGAGAATAAGGCTAGTAAAGAACCATCCGATCTGTGCTAGATTTCGTTAATGCTCTAAAATTACTTCAACAATTATATATTCGTATTGGTCCATCATAAGCAACACATTCACATATTGATAATAAATTGTATATCATATGAATTGATTTCATAAATTAGTATTTTCAACGACACCATTTGAAATTAAAACCACATTTAATACCATAGGTACACACGTTATTACATACATTTTTTTATTTTTAGATTTTGTAATTTAATATAAGTGTCTTTATTCCATTCTCACCACCTATTTTAGTAAGAAAACAAAATGGCCTTTCGAGTAGCATATAGAAATGTGTTTGTACCATGTCGTGACGATCCACGCCACATTTACATTTACTGTGCATTATTGTTCTCGACATGATTGGAATAGATGACACCAATCGTGTCCCGTACCTGTGATTCACCTGAATCTACATATGATTTACTGTGACCAAGGACCTTAAAACGTGCTAGGAAACCTTAACACAAAATCATATATATAATTTTATGTTGAACATTTCCGTATTGGAAGATTGTATTTCCACGGTCACTCCGTTGTAGGTGTAGGTAAAATAAATTAAAAGGGACTGTATTTATTTCATTAGGTGCAATGCTTTCATTCTTAATTACATGTGCTCTGGACGTAGATTTGGTAATCTGGTGCGAAAGGAGAAAAGATAGATATTTAAAACTTAAAATCAGATCTCATTGTTTAGCTATTAGAAATTTCTCGAAAGTTCAGATGAAACAAGCCCACCTAACAGTTTAGCTACTTATCTCAAATAGAGTTTATTTTCATATTTTTCTAAATACAAAATGGTTTATAATAAAAATGTCAGCGATTTAGTTTTTCGTTTTCGTGTGTCGTTGAGATAAAGAGGGTTGACTGAACAAAGTACATGATCCAAATGACATGTCAGGGGTAAAGTTATTATAATCATGTCCTTATCCATCAATGTCACATTAGCCAATGAAGCTGTTGTCCTCGCGGCAAAAATGAAATATAGGTCATATTGATGACAGGGATTTTTTTTTTTAAATATAAGGTTTATAGCTTATTGTTATTCCTGTCATATCGTATCAAACAACGGCATTATAAACAATCTAACATTACATGCTTATATTGTTGTAAAAATTTTGAAAAAAAATATATATATTATTGTTGAATAAATATGCAGGTAAATATAATCGCTTTAGTTAATGGATCACGATACTGAATATAAATCAACTCAACACTGACAAATGTATGTATCTTTGTTAAACAGCCTGGAATATTCAGACATAACGAAACACTTTGAAGGAAAAACAAAATCTTCCATTTGTCATCCGAGAACAAACTAAAGTTATATTTTTGAGGGATATGACATATTTGAGATAATGATTTAATGTATTGGTTTGTTTTCGCTTCAGAAGAACCTAGTACATCTTAATGTTGGAACAGGTTCTTAGGTTTTCAACTACATTCAATCAGTGTGGGACGGACGATGGCATTGAATGTGGATATGTGGGTTTGTGGAGGGGGTGAAACATTAATTGATTATGGATAGTTTAGTGGGGAGGGACGCTGATTGTGGGTTTGTGGATGGGATGAAACATTAATTGATTGTGGATGGTTTAGTGAGGAGGGACGTTGAGTATGGGTTAGTGGATGGGGTGGAGACACTGTGTTTGGATGTGTTGTGCGTTGAGTGTTGGTCTTTGTGTGGATAGGATGGAGTCGTTGAGTATAGCGTGTAGCTTTCTCGGTTGTGGATGGTGCTGTTACGTTAAACATATTTTCTTCATTAATCATACCTCTGTAATTTTATCATCATAGGTCAGTTATTAAAGGACCGGTGATAATGGGGTCACCAGAAAAAATACCGACATCGTATGGAGGTCGTCTGGTCTGGACAATGCCTGGTCACACCAAACTCGTGGTCCACATGAAAAACAAGAACAAAATGCGACACAGGAAAAGATGGTCTCAGGTGTGTTTTATCATCAATTAATCAATTTGAAAAAAATAACTATAAATCCCAAGACGGGTGTGACTATGATATTCTTACAAACTTCAAATGGTCACAATTTTTTATTCCACAGGCATAATATCCTTATTATGAATTCCTTATGCATTATAAAATATATAGGGCTATAATTACTAAATAGATAAACCACTGTATGTCAGTCACCTTAACAACTGAGGTTGAATGTCCTTCTAGGTGATGTACCTCTATTACTTACTCGGATTCAAACTACTAGGAGGAAAGGAGGCTGACAGGTTTATGACAGAGGAGAGTGAAAGCAGTATGTCTAAGTTGAGGAACAGAAAAAAGGGAAAGAAAAACCGATCTAGACCCCTCAAAACCCTCTTCACTCGCATGGACCCGGAACAATATGAACAGGTTATATATATTTCTAAGCATACTATTTCAGTATGATTGAACTGTCTTTTTTCACAGTTCAACAAGTGCATTGAAGTATCATTATATCGTCATCAATACAAATATGTTGTTGAAGCTTGTTTTTAAAATTTAGATCTTGGATCTTTATTCCTTACTTTGAAACAGCAAGTTTTCCTTCTGATATGCTTATCTCTACTTTTTATTTTGATATATTTACAGGCTGAGAGCACCTATATACTAACCCTGGACGGCGACGTAGATTTCCGACCCGACTCGGTCAAGTTGTTAATAGATCGAATGAAGAAGAACCGCAAAGTAGGAGCTGTGTGTGGACGTATCCATCCTATCGGCTCAGGTATGTATTAAGTAGCGGCTGTGTAATCGTATCCATCCTATTGGCTCAGGTATGTATTAAGTAGAGGCTATATAGGCGTATCCGTCCTATTGGCTCAAGATGGTATTAAGTATGGTGGATGTGTGGGCGTATCCATTTTATTGACTCAGGAAGGTATTAAGTAGAGAGTGTCGGTGTAGGCGTATCCCTCCTATTAGCTCAGGTAGATATTAAGTAATTGTGGGTATAGGCGTGTCCACCCCAAAGACTCAGGAAGGTGTTAAGTAGAGAGTGTTTGTGTAGGCGTGTCCACCCCAAAGACTCAGGAAGGTGTTAAGTAGAGAGTGTTTGTGTAGGCGTGTCCACCCCAAAGACTCAGGAAGGTGTTAAGTAGAGAGTGTTTGTATAGGCGTGTCCACCCCATTGACTCAGGAAGGTATTAAGTAGAGAGTGTTTGTATAGGCGTGTCCACCCCATTGACTCAGGAAGGTATTAAGTAGAGAGTGTCAGTGTAGGCGTAGCTAGTAGGGTACCGCGTAGGCGTATCTAGTAGGGACCGTGTAGGTGTATCTAGTAGGGACCGTGTAGGCGTATCTAGTAGGGACCGTGTAGGCGTATCTAGTAGGGACCGTGTAGGCGTATTTAGTAGGAACCGTGTAGGCGTATCCATCCTATCTGCCCAAGTAGGTATCTATAGGGGCTGAGTGGATGCATCCGTCATATCAATTAAGAAAGGTATTAAGTAGAATATGTGGGCTTGTTCAGTAGGGGCGCAGTATGAGTACTTAACTACTCTAAACAGTAGGTTTACATATGTGTCTACTAAAGCACACTCTTGTGAAGTTAAATAAAATATCTTGCTTCGGGAAGTTTTAACAATACAAAATGACCCGTTTTAGTTGGTTGGTTAATTGGTTGCGAAGTTTTCGTCTCCGTGACTCAACCATTCCCTAGGCGTTGTCTTATCGTCGAATGTCAGCGGTCTGGCGATGTGGATGGGCGACCAACATCCCCTAATGGGTAAAGTGGTCGGACATTGAAATGCTTAGTCATTACAGGATATTACCATTCAAGTGATTCATACGTTTAATGTTTAATTTCAACTGTCAACAGGTCCTATGGTTTGGTACCAGCAGTTTGAATACGCAGTTGGTCATTGGCTGCAGAAAGCTGCGGAACACGTCTTCGGTTGTGTGCTTTGCTGTCCTGGTTGTTTCAGTCTGTTCCGAGGGTCTGCCATCATGGACGATAACGTTCTAAAGATGTATACTACCAAACCGACAGAGGCCCGACATTATATCCAGTTCGAACAAGGTAATAATCATTAAGATTTTTTTTAAAGTAATGAGTTAAAGTATTGTAAATAAACTACCTTAATCAAAACTAATTCAATTTTGATAAATAAATTTTTACAACATCATATAGATTTTATAGTGTTGTCAGTCACAATATAAAAAAAACCCACAGAATTGAGTTCTTTTAATTACTTTAACAAGAAAAATTAAGTGTAAGATCAAAATTCAAAAACAAATTTAAGAATGTTATATATTATTGCTCAATATTTATGTCTTCAAATTCAGGTGAGGACCGATGGCTATGCACACTCATGCTGCAACAAGGACATCGAATTGATTACTGCGCAGGTGCCGATGCATTGACCTTCGCACCGGAAACTTTTAACGAGTTTTTCTCTCAGCGCCGTCGATGGTCACCTTCCACTTTGGCAAATATGATGGACCTACTGGCATCCTGGCGGGACACTGTCCGGATTAACGATAACATCAGCCGTTTGTATATACTTTACCAATTCGTCCTCATGGCATCAACAATACTTGCGCCCTCTACTGTCATCTTGATGATTACAGGGTCCTATCATTCTGTACTGAAGCTCGGAATCTGGGAGTCTTATCTCCTGTCGCTGCTTCCAGTTATAGTCTACCTCGGAATTTGCCTGAAACTCAAGAATGATATCCAGATCTTCGCTGCTGCTGTCATCACTGCACTCTACTCACTCATAATGATGGTGGCTACAGTGGGAACAATCGTTAGCATTGTCACAGAGAACTTTGGCAGTCCGAACGTAGTGTTTCTTACTGGTTTGGCGTCTATCTTTATGATAGCAGGAATACTCCATCCACAGGAGTTCTTTTGCTTAGTATACGGTGCCCTTTATTTCATCACGGTCCCCTCAACATTCATCCTTCTTACGGTCTACTACCTTTGCAATGTCAATAACGTTTCGTGGGGAACTCGAGAAACACCGAAGAAGTTATCTAAGGAGGAACAAGAAGAACTGCAAAGGATACAGGAAGAAAAGCGTAAGAAAAAGGACAGCAAAAGTTTCTTCAACAGACTTGGTCTTGCACCTCTCATTATTGATCTAACTAGTGCGCTTAAAAGACTATTTGGCCATCAAGGAGAGGTACAGACGAGTTCGGTATCTGTACAAACAGAAACTACGGACATTCAGCGTTCGATATCGAACCAAACCCGACAACCTGAGAACGTCAAATTACAACCACCTCCTATCGAGGATATGACAGGGTGGGAAGCCGATCCTGAAAATCCTTACTGGCTCGGGCTTGAGTATTTAGGCGACGGTATCGTTAAGCACATATCTGAAGAGGAAACTGCTTTCTGGAAGTTCATGATTAAAAAATACTTACATCCACTCGATGAAGATCAGTCGCACAAAAAGAAAATTAAAGAAGATTTAATCTCTCTAAAGAATAACGTAGTTTTCATATACTTTATGATCAATTTCTTATGGACAATTATTACATTACAACTTCAGTCAATGGAGGATGAGCTGAAAAATTTCTACATCATCAGCAAATACGAGCCTCTATCTCTTACATTCCTCTCAATCTTCGCCATCGCAATTTCCCTCCAGTTCGTTAGCATGTTCATCCACAGGTATGGAACCTTCCTTCATCTCATGTCTAGTACACGGATTGACTGGTTCCAGAAAGTGCAGACAGAGGAAGATTTTGTGCGTTTCGTAGTCAGTGAAGCGCAAAGGCTTCAGAGAATGGAACCTGCGCCGGATTACGACGAACTGCCACCAGATTATGAGGGTGATGATGACGGGATGTCTCAAGGGTCTGAACAATATGACGAATTACCCTCTCTTCCCCAAAGTCCTCGAGGTACCGTCAGGACATTTGGGCGCAAGACTCGTCATCTTCAGAAACGAAATTTTGATAATAATGACGTTCCAATTCTTCAACAAATTTTCGAAGATAGGCTAGAAAATATTCACAGAAAATGGAAAAAAGGAACATTGGCTTTCCGAGGAGGAATGAACCTTGGTTTATCTCGGCACGATAGCAGCAGATTTTCGGATAGGGAAAACATGATGAGACAGAAGATGTTTAAGAGAAGCTTCAAAAAAGATAGTAAAGAAGCAATGCCAGTAATGCCAGTAAAAATTGATATAAACTGATGACATTGAATCAGTGTGTTGAACGTGTGTGTTTGTGGCGTGTTTCATATTAACTCTTTTTAAAACGTGTAAATATCTTGGCGTAAATATCGTGTTATGAATCAAATTGCACATGAAATACCTCTGATATAATTTATATAATTACTAATTCGGTGTTATTCTTTGTTGTTGTCACAGGCACACATCCCAGTGCTGAATAAGATGTTATCAGCTACATACATTTACTTTCATGTCATATGGAGATCTTGTAAATCATTCTTGACTCAGTCTTAGTTCATTCCAGTACCGTCTATGTATTGATAATACAACATGAAAATCCGACTTAAATGGGAACATTCAATTTAGTTTTTCGTTCAGATGGATATTCGATACGTTGGGTTAATCAACTTAATATCTTTATAAATACCGATACTTTTTTCCTTTCTTAAAAAACACGTGTATATTTCAGCAGGATATTTTCGGTAAAACAGGAATAGCTGTCAAATTCACATTGAGAAAAAGTGCCAATGTATTGTGAAGACAATATGACGTATGTGTATCTTATTTATTACTGCATGTGTATCTGATTTTCTTCCGACACATATATGATATTAAATCAGTTGACTTGTTTACTCGTTGTTGTCGTTGGTTTCCTTGGTTACGATTCAATGTTCCAGTTATTGACTGATACAGATTTTAGCCAGCTGACGACAGAACTTTGTTAGGAAGATGGAAAAGGCAAAACTATCATTTTAATCATATATTACACCAAATTAAAGCATATGTTCCAAGTATAGGAAAACAATTGCGGAACAAGCTGTCAGCTTCAATCAAGTCCTCTTGAAAGGAAGAAAGGAAGGTTGGGGGTGGGGCATGTAATGGGTCGGTGAGGGAAACCAGGAAAAACACAACGTGGTCGGGCAGGTGACCCCATACCACCTCGCCACCCGATCACCCAAAGACTATACCGAGATTGGACATATAATATACTTTTTCTACACTTGCTCAAAAGCCGACCACCTGTCGTAATTAATATGATCCTTACATATAAAGCAATATTATATATACAGAAACTACTATCCCTGAATTGGAAAATGTTCGATATAAAGAATAAAGATATCTTTTATAGATAAATACATACATTTATTGTTCATCACCTTTACTATCTAAGAGCTATATATCTTTTACAGATAGATACATACATTTATTGTTCATCATGTTTGTGGCGTACTGGTTTAATACCTCTGGTTAAATCACGTCAGGTATCAGTTTATATGATTATACACGGTTTTTCTATTTCATTGATGTAATGGTTTAGTACCTTTCGAAAGTTTTAATATGTAATCCCAATTTTTAATGGCTAACTTTTCCTACTTCTAGTAAATCTATACAGTGTATACATTGTGTGCGAACAATTAAGGATTCTCAAGCTGTGTAATACAGAAAAACATACGTGTTCAACATAGCTGAATCTGTTGTCAAGTTAGTATTTTATCTGTTCACAACACTTCACTTGGGTCATGATTGGTGAAATTTGTGTAAAATATCACCAAAAGCGGACCATCGAATTCATAAAAAAAGGTTGAAATGGAGTAAACGTAACCGTTGAATCTTCGTCGAAACCCAAATATCTTTATAACAGACTGAAATCTGCACAGAATTCATAATAAATCAGAAATGGTGAAGTAACCAAAAATCAATGTTCATAAAGTACAGCGGCGAAGGGGGACAACTCTAACAACCCACAACGAAATAAAAAAAAATATTAACCTAAACCTTCAATCAAGCTGGGTAAATGAGAAAACAAAAGGAAATAAGTAAAGAACCCTACACAAATCCTACAAAACTTCACAACAAAGAGAAAGTGGTTCATGTAACCTTAAATAACCTATGAAAGCGTCGAAAGAAACGGGAAATCGCAGTGAATTTTTAGGACCTCGGTTTGAACCAATGTCATAATAAGCAAGACAAGTAATGTAACTATTCAGTACACAAAATATCAACATAACTCGAAATCGAATCAATATTGTAATAATTTAAATTTACAAACTGGAGAAAATCAACGTCAGTAGGCAAAATAAAATGCATTAGCAAGCCTTCAAATAATGCTTCCTTCAACGAAAACAAATAATGTTACCTTCAACGAAAACAAATATTGATAACTTCAACGAAAACAAATAAAATTGCCATCAACGGATACATATCGTATATCTTATTTCGCACTTTCCTCAAACAAGAAATGACAAAGATATTGACTGTTTCATCATCACAATTTTTTTTTATAATTATTAGTTGTGGAAAATTCAGTTATAATTTCGAAGTTATGCAGTAAAAATATAATTGCACGTTTCGACATTTTTAAGTAGAATATGAAATGTTGTGAATCATTCAGTAATATTTAGGAATAGGGTGACTAACGAGGAAACAGAATATTTACATTATCTATGTAAATGACTTTTACCACTCCACGTAATCAATCAAACATGAACTGACGAACACTGTACCTACGTTGTGTCATGGTACTTAATTCTTTTTGCTTTCTCTAATCACGCTGGAAATATAACAGCATGCATCATTCTGTCGGAACAACTGTAATTACACGCCACATGACTTAATCAAACTATTTAGTGCATAAACAGGCAGCCGAAAGAGAGAGAAAAATCTAACTTGAGATTTCAATCCAACTAGTTACCCGACAGATTTCTAGACTTTTTACTTTATCTTATTGTAGGCATGACTCCTGCTGGTGCATTTTAAAATTGAAAAATGTTTCAAATTAAGATATTTGTAGAATCAATTAAATTTCAGAAAAAAAAAGTACAAATTCTAAACATACAGAAATAAAAAATTATATATTACCAAATAAATATTCTCGGTGAACGGTTATCGAAAGATTGCTGAAATGAAAGATTTATTTCATTCGATGTCGTTTAAGGAGGTAAATTCCGATCTCTAGCTACAATAACACCTTGATTAGTCGAACACTTGATTTACAGCTCACCTATACGATACATTACATTTGTACAATTAAATACGACATCGTTGAACGTGTAGTTCATGGCACGTGTACAGGATGGTATCACTGATGTAGCCCGGGTCTGTTTTAATTAAGCTCTACACGCCCTTGATTCAAGTGTATTATTGAAATGTTTGACATATCTTATAATAAGGAAAAGCCACGTTGTATTCTACTTCTATAAATGTTAACAGGATTTCTCGTACAGTCACTGCACTTTGACATTTTCAACTGCTACTCAAGTTCTTGTGATCTGTATTAGCATATATGTTTATAGATAGTATGATTGTAAAGTAAAATAAAGATAATTATGTAATACTTTTTTGTAAATATACATAAACAAAACCAACAAGAAAACACCAGTATGTTAACAGAATCTCAATTCAAACTCTGATTCAATAAAACTGAAGCAAAATCTGAACAAAAGAGAGATTTGTACAGACACTCCTTAAAAAGTATAAGCAGAATAAGACCAGGTTTTCCGGATGAGTGAGCACATTCTGCCTCATCGACGACACCTTTGTGCATTGTCCTTTTAAGGAATGGTATTTTCAAGATAGGGGAGGAAGACGACCACAAAAGATAGACGTTGTCTTTTAAGCTACAGAATCACTTGTTAATGAAAACAATCTTGATCATAAAAATAACATTCCTTAAAGAATACATGACAGTGAAAATACTATTTTCCAAATCATATTTCTCTCTTTCCTATGACATCTGAAACATTTACATATATTATTATATATATATCAATGCTATCCATTGTACAAGAATCTCAAGTCAACATCAGAATATAAATAATTATATATATAAAAAATCTGCAACCTGTGATATGTAAGATGAAGTAAAATGTCATCACTTGCATACAAACTAATCGAACTCCTTATCAATAACAATCAACATGATTGGGATGTGTGTATCGCTATGATGATATCCTGTTTAAATCAATGTGTATTGAAAAGTTTTAACAAACGAAACACATGTTTATTGTTATCGGGATCCGACGTCTGTTTTAAACGTGTCTTTCAGTTGAAAGGAAAAAAATCCGTAACAGCTGTAACTAAATGGGTATCCATATGGTCCCTTCTGGTGGTGACTAGTTTTACTATTAAAGATATTTCCTCCTGTCAAGTATTGATAGTGGGACAGTAGATAGATAATCGATTTGGAGTGAGAAAATAAATTCAAACCTTTCTGGTCTAGTTGTTGACTGGAAGATGTAACAGTGATGCTATTCATGCCCAATAGACTAGACTGTTTAACATGTTTTATGTAGAGGATGCTCTGACCAGCTGTGACGTGACCGTTATACGTGTACACACGCTGTCTTCTTGGTGAAAACCAACGTAGACAATTGTATATGTGGCATGTGTACCGTGTGGCTATTAGAAATATAATTACATGTGATAGTCATTATTAAATATCAAGTACTGCTGAATAAAATTAATACTGAATTTATGTGAAATATAACAATGAAAACATATTGATTTTATACGACACCAAAAATTATTTATTTCGTCAGTTGAAATTGTCTACGGAATTGAAATATATTTCCAAAAACCTGTGTCCACGGAAAAACTTAGATAAGTTCTAAATGGATGTGGGTAGTGTTTTGATGGAGATGTTGTAGGATGTTGCTGGGTCCGGATTGTACACATGGACACTGGTATATCGTATCACTACGGGAAATTGTCCGTTTTGATTTGTACACAAATACTATACTCCAAAACAAAAAAACAAGCCAATTGTGTAATAAACCAATAAACAATTGCCTCACCATTTTACCTAAGATTATTTTGAATCATGTCGAAAATCATTCCATCTGAAATACATGTCATGAACAAGATGTGTCTGATTATCGTTCTAGTCTCTAAGCCACGTGTCACTGATTGCGAGATATTTAGTTTACACGTTTGAGGTGACGTTACAATTAGTCGTTCTCATCTTTCTTATCTCAATGGGAACGGGTATCGACCCTCGCACAGATGGACGCTACCTCATTGGTCAGTCTTCTCGTGGATGTCGTGGCGAAATTAGAAATCTATTTAAAACGTACACCGATTAAAAATCGTCCCTTCTGAATCAAGCACTCAGGTAAGAATATCTCCTTAATTCTATATATATACATATACATAGCTTTTCAACGACATAAAATCATAGTTTTCGTTAATATTGTAACTACTGTTTATAAATTAATTATATGTACAGCTTTTTATGTTTTTTTTTCATTTTCTTTGTCATTTTTTTCAAAGATTCATGTGTAGATTTAAAATATTATTGATGAAGTATGCCAGTTACACATATATTAACTATTTTTGTAAATACTCTGATTAAATGGAAGTTAAGAATTCGTGGTGTGTTCACAATCTAATTTCATAATGTAAAAAAATGTACAAGTCGTGATTAATTAAGTTTTAAATGATTATTAAACATCAAAATGAAAATTGTATAAAGATACGTTCTTGTCAGAATGGATATCTCAATACTTTTAATTAATTAATTAATTTAATTTAATTATTTTCATTATTCTCTTCAGTCTCATGATACACCTGTGTAAAATTCTACTATCATTCTAACAAAACGTGTGTTAAGGGGTATGCCCATGGTAGCCTCGCGTTGACATGATGTCACGCATTAAGAAAGCATTGATAAATCGCACAGGAATATCAACCTGATGTTTAAACGTTTTTTCTTCTTTTTGATATCTTGTAACACAATTTTTTTCTGACATAATATTTTGTTTCCGAATAGAGTTAACTAAGAATTATCAATTTTAGTGGATAGAAGCTGGTGATCATATTCCATAGATACAGGAACTCCCCTCGTTTTCAAGCAGCCGGTCGCTCGTCCGTCAATAAACCACATCTGCTGCAAAACCAACAATTGCAAAATAGATTTACTAGATAAAATTAATGATTTCTTTACTCCGCAGACGTGTCACCCGCAATATTGATCAAAGATGGCGTCGTCAGTTTTCCTGCTTTTTGTCCTCGCTGTCGTAGTATCTATATCTGAAGCAACGTCCTCGAAAAAACCCGTAAGTGTTGTTTGGAAAGACGTCACATACCTTTTTAGAAACTAGATTATACAAATATATATATGTATACAGTTACTTAAGTATATTATTTCAGAAGATGTACTACAAAGGAAAACTTTTTTGTATTATAACATTAATGGTATATTACAACACAAATATATTACTACGTGTTGATATTGTAATGATCTTCAAGTTAGATAAACACGTTAGTGTTATGGTGATATGTCTGCTATCTACTTAAATGGTGTTCAGATAAAATGGAGACACTTTTTTCAAAACGGTTATTTCAACTTATCGTTTACATAGTCTCCTTTTTAACATGGTATATTAGACACAGTTGCAAAAAATAACAACAAATCTTGGCCTAACTATTCTGAAAGACTATCAGTTTTAACCGTATAATATGAATTACTATCCAAAGTGTTTTTATTTTCTTAATATCCGGGAACACTTGTGGTCAAGATTTATCATAATTCGTGTGTTTGGCGCCTGATTCAACATGTTCAGTAAAGGTTTGTTATAATTACTGCCAGGTCCCACGTGTTTGGTAAAGGTTTGTTATAATTACTGCTAGGTCCCACGTGTTTGGTAAAGGTTTGTTATAATTACTGTCAGATTTCACATGCTCAGTAAAGCTTTGTTATAATTACTGCCAGGTTACACATGCTTGGTAAAGCTTTGTTATTATTACTGCCATGTTCCAAGTGTACTCGCTGCCAGATTCCATGTTTTGTAAATCTTTGTTGTACTCGCTGCCTGGTCCCATATTTTTTGTAAATCTTTGTTGCACTCGCTGCCAGATTCCATGTTTTGTAAACCTTTGTTGTACTCGCTGCCAGATTCCATGTTTTGTAAATCTTTGTTGTACTCGCTGCCAGATTCCATGTTTTGTAAACCTTTGTTGTACTCGCTGCCAGATTCCATGTTTTGTAAAACTTTGTTGTACTCGCTGCCAGATTCCATGTTTTGTAAACCTTTGTTGTACTCGCTGCCAGATTCCATGTTTTGTAAATCTTTGTTGTACTCGCTGCCAGGTCCCATATGTTTTGTAAATCTTTGTTGTACTCGCTGCCTGGTCCCACATGTTCTGTAAATCTTTGTTGTACTCGCTGCCTGGTCCCATATTTTTTGTAAATCTTTGTTGTACTCGCTGCCAGGTCCCATATGTTTTGTAAACCTTTGTTGTAGTCGCTGCCTGGTCCCACATGTTTTGTAAACCTTTGTTGTACTCGCTGCCTGGTCCCATATGTTTTGTAAATCTTTGATGTACTCGCTGCCAGGTTCCACATGTTTTGTAAATCTTTGTTGTACTCGCTGCCTGGTCCCATATGTTTTGTAAATCTTTGTTGTACTCGCTGCCAGGTCCCATATGTTTTGTAAATCTTTGTTGTAGTCGCTGCCTGGTCTCACCTGTTTTGTAAATCTTTGATGTACTCGCTGCCAGGTTCCACATGTTTTGTAAATCTTTGTTGTACTCGCTGCCTGGTCCCATATGTTTTGTAAATCTTTGTTGTACTCGCTGCCAGGTCCCATATGTTTTGTAAACCTTTGTTGTAGTCGCTGCCTGGTCTCACCTGTTCTGTAAATCTTTGTTGTACTCGCTGCCAGGTCCCATATGTTTTGTAAATCTTTGTTGTACTCGCAGCCAGGTCTCACATGTTTTGTAAATCTTTGTTGTACTCGCTGCCAGGTCCCATATGTTGTCACAGAAGAGGTGTATTTTGACGTGTACATAAAAGACTTTGAGGACGGGGAAGACTACCATGGACGATTTGTCGTCGGCGTATTCGGTGATGTTGCACCGATAACATCGCTCAACTTCATCAGCCTTGCTAAAGGATACAAACCTCCCAATAAAGTATGTATTTCAGTTGTCCTATAGCACAGGAGGTCGTGAGTCACCTCATTAATGTCAGACGTTAATTTGAACCTTTAGATACAGCATACATTATTAATTTTACGGAGTAAAGTCAGTTTTACAATATTCCGTAAGTCTACTTGAGAAATATAAGCATTTCCTTTTCAAAATGCTTCATATGTCTTAAGATATAAAATTCAGTATGAAAAACAAGAAAATAAATAGATAAGACGTCGGAAAAACTTAAAACTGTAAAACGTTCTTAAAGCTTAAACGTCCTTACAGCAAAAAGGTCCTAACTACAAAAACGTCCTTACAGCAAAAAGGTCCTAACTACAAAAACGTCCTTACAGCAAAAAGGTCCTAACTACAAAAACGTCCTTACAGCAAAAAGGTCCTAACTACAAAAACGTCCTTACAGCAAAAAGGTCCTAACTACAAAAACGTCCTTACAGCAAAAAAGTCCTAACTACAAAAACGTCCTTACAGCAAAAAAGTCCTAACTACAAAAACGTCCTTACAGCAAAAAAGTCCTAACTACAAAAACGTCCTTACAGCAAAAAGGTCCTAACTACAAAAACGTCCTTACAGCAAAAAGGTCCTAACTACAAAAACGTCCTTACAGCAAAAAAGTCCTAACTACAAAAACGTCCTTACAGCAAAAAAGTCCTAACTACAAAAACGTCCTTACAGCAAAAAGGTCCTAACTACAAAAACGTCCTTACAGCAAAAAAGTCCTAACTACAAAAACGTCCTTACAGCAAAAAGGTCCTGACTACAAAAACGTCCTTACAGTTAAAAAGTCCTTACTACAAAACGTCCTTACTACAATATCGTCCTTACAGCTAAAACGTCCTTACAGTTAAAACGTCCTAACTACAAAACGTCCTTACTACAAAAACCTTCCTTACTACAAAACGTCCTTACTACAATATTGTCCTTACAGCTAAAACGTCCTTACAGCAAAAAAGTCCTAACTACAAAAACGTCCTTACAGCAAAAAGGTCCTAACTACAAAAACGTCCCTACAGTTAAAAAGTCCTTACTACAAAACGTCCTTACTACAATATCGTCCTTACAGCTAAAACGTCCTTACAGTTAAAACGTCCTAACTACAAAACGTCCTTACTACAAAACGTCCTTACTACAATATTGTCCTTACAGCTAAAACGTCCTTACAGTTAAAACGTCCTAACTACAAAAACGTCCTTACAGCAAAAAGGTCCTAACTACAAAAACGTCCTTACAGCAAAAAGGTCCTAACTACAAAAACGTCCTTACAGCAAAAAAGTCCTAACTACAAAAACGTCCTTACAGCAAAAAGGTCCTGACTACAAAAACGTCCTTACAGTTAAAAAGTCCTTACTACAAAACGTCCTTACTACAATATCGTCCTTACAGCTAAAACGTCCTTACAGTTAAAACGTCCTAACTACAAAACGTCCTTACTACAAAACGTCCTTACTACAATATTGTCCTTACAGCTAAAACGTCCTTACAGTTAAAACGTCCTAACTACAAAACGTCCTTACTACAATATCGTCCTTACAGCTAAAACGTCCTTACAGTTAAAACGTCCTAACTACAAAACGTCCTTACAGCTAAAACATCTTTACTATAAGAACATCCTTACAGCTAAAACGTCCTTACAGCTAAAACATCCTTACTACAAAAAATGCCCTTACTACAAAAACGTCCTTACAGCTAAAACATCCTTACTACAAAAACGTCCTTACAGCTAAAACATCCTTACTACAAAAAATGTCCTAACTACAAAAACGTCCTTACAGCTAAAACATCCTTACTACAAGAATGGCCTTAAAGTTAAAACGTCCTTCATGCAAAAACTTCCTTACAGCTAAAACGTCCTTTATGCGAAAAACGTCCTTACTGCTCTAACGTCCTAACTACAAAAACGTCTTACAGTTGAAGCGTCCTTACAACTATAACATCCTTTCTACAAGAACGACCTTACAGCTAAATTGTCCGTACAGTTAAAACGTCCTTCATGCAAAAACGTCCTTACAACTAAAACATCCTTTCTACAAAAAACGACCTTACAGCTAAAACGTCCTTACAGTTAAAACGTCCTTACTACAAAACGTCCTTACTGCAAAACACGACCTTACTACATGAACGTCCCTTCAGCTGAAAAATCCTTTCTACAAGAACGACCTTACAGTTAAAACGCCCTTCTTGCCAAAGCTTCCTTACGGTTAAAACGTCCTTACAACTAAAACATCCTTTCTACAAAAAACGTCTAAAAGTTAAAACGTCCTAACTACAGAAACATCCTTATAGTTGAAACGTCCTCATCACAAAACGTCTTCATCACAAAAACATCCTTACTACAAAAACGTCCTCATCATAAAAACGTCCTCATCACAAAAACGTCCTTACTACAAAAACGTCCTTACTACAAAAACGTCCTCATCATAAAAACGTCCTCATCACAAAAACGTCCTTACTACAAAAACGTCCTTATTACAAAAACGTCCTCATCACAAAAACGGCCTTACTACAAAAACGTCCTTATCACAAAAACGTCCTTACTGCATAATATGTTAGAGTGGTACTGTGTTGATGTTATCACGTAAAGATGTTTTTGTTTAAAGTATCTTTAGTAATGTTATGAAGGTTTACAGTATTGTGCCTGTCTTCATTTCTACACTAACTTCGGTATCAAACATGTTCAAAAATTTGCAATTCAGGGGAATGTTGATATATCTATATGAAACAGTTATTAATATTGAACAACAAAATAAAAAATTACAAAAAAAAACAAAAAAATTATTGAACAACAAGTCTGAACATGCTTGAGTAATGCAATTTGAAATAAAACCAGTGTGATGTAAAATAATATTATACCAAACTTTTATTGGAAATTCTCATTTGTCACGTTATTTCCTTATGAGGGCAAATCATGAGGGTATTATTATACATAAAGTGAGTTATGATCAGGTAAAATACCATGAACATCTTTCTATTACAAAGTTAAAACATGGAAGTGATTTACAAAAAAAAAACAACTGTATCTTCTAATTTCCTGTTACAAGATCTAGTAAAGAAGTAAACAAGTAAACATTGATATCTGATCCGCAATCTTGACCTATGGAAATGACATGTGACTCATTTTACAATCCTATCAAAACAAATCATTATCAGCTAAGGTATAGTAATGTTGACTACGACCTTGACCTACTTATGATCAATTTTGCAATCTTGATAAGGTTATGACTGAATATACCTCAGTAGAACATTTAACATTTCACCTTGACCTTTGACCTTACATCACTGATTCTAATCAGGAGGCATGCCATTAGACTTCTAAATCTTAAATAAGTGTAATTAAGTTTTCACTAACTTCTTGAAAAGGTTTCGTAGTTGTGTAAGAAATAGAATATTATAATAGTTTTCATTCCATTCGAGAAGACTAGTCACATTTTCATTTTACCTAACTAGTTGTTAGTTAAATTAATAAAAATCTTCAATTTATCAATTTCATATAAAATGGCAACTTATGGAAGATCCTCCACCAACTTCTCAAGTTGACTTCTCTCTCTTCTTTAACGTTTATTTCTTAGACAAGATTAAGACTGTTGCACGCCATTCTTGTTTTTTAAGCGTAAAACCCTCCACTACAAGAATACAGTCATCCACAGAATTGTTCCAGACTTCGTCATACAGATGGGTGACGTCATCAATGGGGATGGCAGTGGCGGTAAGATAAACCTTATACAGATGTTTATTGACAGTAACATCTTCACAGCATCACTTATCGTATAACGGATGGGGAGGAGTGTTTTAAAAGGATAGGAATTGAAGAAATGTCAAGTCCATTACAGTATATTCTGTGTGAGCGTGTCTTGAAATACAGAAAACAACGGGCTCATTAATTTCCAAACGGATGAAAATGTGTTGAAAATACTAACATCATCGAAAACTGTATCTTGAACGGAATAAAAATGTTGTTCGTGAGGCAGAAATATTTAAACTAACAGGTGATTTTTTTTTTATTTCTTTTTCGGAAAGATGTTCCTTTTTTCCTTATTGACTGTATACAAAGTATAGGCCTACATTAACTAGATGGTTGATCATTTTAAAAAGGGATATTCTTCTACTATTTTCATTTGTTTTTGCAGGCGAGAGTATTTATGGTTCTACATTTGCGGACGAAAACTTTGATCTTAGTCATCAAGCGACTGGTTTTGTTTCAATGGCCAACACTGGACTAGATTCAAACGGCTCTCAGTTCTTCATTATCCTCAATAAGGCCAGGTGGCTGGACGGCAAACATGTTGTCTTCGGCAAGGTCATCGAGGGCATGGTAAGTTCAACCATTACAGAAACGTCTCTGATCTTGTTAGAATATCACGTTTGCGAGAGATAGTTTTGCCTTAATTTTGTGATTCATCTATCAATTAACACTGATTGTGAACACGGATAATGAGATAAGACAAGGTAGTCGCCACATCTGTATAAGTAAAGGTGGAAACGTAACAAACAAACAAAAAAAACAAACAAACAAACCCCCGCAAAAAAAACCAAAAGTGGTTGATCATATCTTAATTCAGCATTATCCATACTCAATCTGTTGTCAATGTGAATTTGAATAACATAGTAAGACACTATGCACTGTGAAAATTGGTCGTCGGCCAATTCTCGCTATACCTATTCTCGATAAATCACTATTCTCACTAAATACCAGTGTTTGATAAATACCTATTCTCGCTAAATCATTATTCTAGCTAAATACCAGTGTTTGATAAATACCTATTCTCGATAAATCACTATTCTAGCTAAATACCAGTGTTTGATAAATACCTATTCTCGATAAATCACTATTCTAGCTAAATACCAGTGTTTGTTAAATACCTATTCTCGCTAAATCATAATTCTCACTAAATACCAGTGTTTGTTAAATACCTATTCTCGCTAAATCACTATTCTAGCTAAATCATTATTCTAGCTAAATACCAGTGTTTGTTAAATACCTGCTCTCGCTAAATCATTATTCTCACTAAATACTAGTGTTTGATAAATACCTATTCTCGCTAAATCATTATTCTAGCTAAATACCAGTGTTTGTTAAATACCTGTTCTCGCTAAATCATTATTCTCACTAAATACCAGTGTTTGTTAAATACCTATTCTCGCTAAATCACTCTTCTAGCTAAATACCAGTGTTTGTTAAATACCTATTCTCGCTAAATCACTATTCTAGCTAAATCATTATTCTCACTAAATATCAGTGTTTGTTAAATACCTGTTCTCGCTAAATCATTATTCTCACTAAATACCAGTGTTTGATAAATACCTATTCTCGCTAAATCACTATTCTAGCTAAATACCAGTATTTGTTTAATACCTATTCTCGCTAAATCATTATTCTCACTAAGTACCAGTAGTAATTGTAAATGACAGCTCAGATATCTACATATCATCTGATTATTGTCTGTAGTATTTGTGAATGACAGTTCCAATATTAACATATCATCTGATTATTGTCTGTAGTATTTGTGAATGACAGTTCCAATATTAACATATCATCTGATTATTGTCTGTAGTATTTGTGAATGACAGTTCCAATATTAACACACATCTGGTTTCCCCATTTATTTATTATTACAAACATCTGGTTCCCCATTGATTAATTTGCATAAGTGAAATATCACAAACATCCTGTTTTTTTTTTCATTTATTAATTTATGATTACAACCATCTGGTTTACCCATTGGTTGTGCTATATTTGATTGTCTCGTTTTCTAATTGACGTCTTCTCTGTTACGCGATTAGGTCTTATTCCTTCTCAATATACACTTATTGTACTGCTAGGGAGAGGCATACATGTTTTACAAAACTTTCTTGTTAAGTTACTATTTTGTTCCATTGATTATAATCAGCGCTTTGATAGTATAGTTGATTTCTAGTTTGTTCTTTAACACTCACATAGATTATGGGTTTTTTTTTGTTTTGTTTTGTTTTTTTTTTTTTTTTTTTTGACATCTATTTTCCCCGGCGTACTTATAGTTTCATCACGATCGACGTATCATGTCTATGAGCCCTAAGCAATTATCTTTCACCTTGATTGAGAGTTGCTTTTGTTTATATGTACATATTGTTTTTGTGTTTGATTCTCGGTTACAAACGAAAGTTATGATGCTGGTTTGCTGTACTTACCCATTGAAATTTTGCTGGACCTTACATACTTATGTTATTTATGCTGATCGCCGTTTTGGACCTCAAGTACCTAACCTCGTTTTCGATAATGGTTAATGACGTAATGAGCTACAGATCGGCGATTGGCACTTTTTATTCCAAGTTCTATGGTTGCTACTTAATAAAAAATGTATGTACTCTGGTGTACCTAAACATTAGATCAGTTTTGGGGTTTCTGTCCGTCTTCTCGTCAAAGTTTTTATCTGTGATACATTCTCTAGTCCTGATCCTGAACTCTAGTATTTTGAATTTAGAATTCACTTTGGTTTTGTTAATTTTATTGTCGTCTCATATGGATGTTGAGTCAAATCCAGGTCCAAATGAATTTTTTTTTCATTTGAACATCAGAATTGTCCGAATTAAAATTAAGGATTTAATGGACCTGACCGAGGAGTATGATACAGAAACACATTTAGACGAGCATGTTTCTTCCGACAGCTTGCTTCTTGAAGGTTTCTACCAACCACTTCGTTTAGATCGTAATTTTGCGGGAGGGGTTATACTTGTCTATGTGAATGACAAACTCAAATTTAAGCGTCTACGTGAACTAGAAATTCCAGGATGTGAGATTCTCTGGACCCAGATAGAATTTCAGCACTCTTCTATTATTATATGTACTATTTATCGACCAGAAAACTCTAACAATCCGTTTTGGGAAAGTTTTAGTGAATCGGTAGACAGAGCTTTTGATATTATTCAAACTTGGTCATTAATTGCGATTTAAATGTAGATATGTTAACAGTTCAACCTAGACATAATTCGTCAGAATTACTTTTGACTTATGGTCTTAGTAATGTAATTAAAGAACCAACTAGTGTTGGCAATACGAGGGCCAATTTACTTGATCCTATTCTATTAAGTGCCTCACTCACTTGTATCGAAGCACATGTTTTGACCGTTGACAGATCTTTAAGTGATCACGACGGTAGTTTGGCATCTGTTGAAATACCATTTAATATAAAACCTGCGATAAACGGATGATTTGGTTATATAAACAAGCGGATTTTGTTCCTTTTAATAATTTGATTTCAGAATGTTACTGGGAAAGTTTCTTTTCGAGTATTGGTTCTATTGATGTTGCTTGTAATAGTTTTACTCAAACTTGTCTTAATTTTGCTAATTCATGTATCTCTAGCAAAGAAGTAATTCATGACTTCCGAGTTAAGGAAAAATTATAGAATTAGGGACAGATTACATAAAAAGGCACGGCTTTCCAGTAAATCTGTCGATATTATGAAATTTAAAGCGCAACCTAACAGTGTCAATAATATGAAGCATGCTCGTTTAAACTTCTATAAAAACGTTGATGGGTTAATAGATCGATATTTAACTAGTGATCCGAAATCTTATTGGAAATTAATCAAACGTCTTATGAAAATTGCAACCAACTGTTGACCAAACTAACCCCTATAGTTTGAGAAATAGAGATAATTTTGCATTACCTAATTATAGATTAACTAGTACAAACTTTTCATTTCTCCCCTCTACACTTTGTTCTTGTAATGTATTAGATTTATCAGTTAGATTTCAGCCGTTACTTAGTTTATTTTTAAAATATTTGCTCTCTGGTCAAAGACAGTTGACTTCACCACCATATTTTAACTATGGTAAAAGGAAAGTTAATATTATTCATACAAAATTAAGACATCAGTGCAGTACATTAAACTATGATCGTTTTCGTGTTAACCTTGTGGCTAGCCCAATGTGTTCCTGTAGCTTTGCCTGTGAAGATGTACATCATTTCTTTTTTGTTTGTCACAATTATCAGAGACTAGCAATGCTAGATAATTTAAACGTATTAAATATTAATCATGACACTGACACAGAACTACTGCTTTCTGGGGATAGACAATTACCGTTAAAACTTAATGCAAATATCTTTAAGCAATAGATTTACATTTTAAGATAAGAAACCAGCTTCATATAAAATTATAATGATATATTAATTGTTACATGTATATCATACCTCATTATTTTGTTCTTGTATGCCATTGCCTTTATTTATATGTATATTGATTGGAGAGGGCGTCGATAATGTTGATATAACTTTTGTGCCCAATCCATTTGTCGGTTTTTGTTTTTTTTTGGCAATAAAATATGTTTAAACTAATTCCTATTTCATATGTTTCCAAATAGTAATGCATTATCATAATAAACTTATGTCTGATTTCTTAATTATATTTTTCAGGATGTTGTAAGAACTATTTCAAATGTTGAGTTAAGAAAGGGAACCGCCACGTCAAAGAAAGAAGTCTTGATCAAAGATAGTGGAGTAAACGAAATTGATGAAAAATACGAGTTGACACCAGAACAAATAAAGTCTAACGAAGACATTAGAAGCTGAATTACTGCACATCTTGTCACATATTTACTGTTAATTTCTTATTAGCCAGTACGTATTTTATTCTTAAATGTAGATTCAGCGAACAATGCGAGAACGAAATAATGTATGAAGTCGCTTGCAGACATGTCAAGGTGGAGTTGTATGAGCGTCAGTTTTTTCATGCGTGTTGTGCCATCTTTGCTAATGTCTTTTCTAGTTTAAAATTTCCGCTAACTGAACATTCGATCATGCGTGATATCTTGAAAACATGTTCAAAGTAGTTTATTCCTCATCTCAATCATTGTATTTTACTTTGAAAACATGTTCTAATATTTGTATTAAAATTATCTTTAAAACTGAATACAGATTTTTTTCACTTATTTCAAAATTGAATATCACTTATAACGACAGAATACCGTCTTCGCTAAGACAGGACTGTTATGACATTAAACCTTTTCTCACCAAAAACAAAGTCTCTTGTATCAGAAATCATGACGGATAAAGTCCTATTTGCAGATCTATCAATATACAGCATGTACATCAAACGTTGTGTGCATACCAAAAGTACGAAATAAGGCAACAAAAACTTAAGGCCTTTCAATTTATTTCGCCATTTGTATTTTTTTTTAATATAATTTTTCTTCACAATTCCATATCTATATATATATTGACAGATTCTATAAATTTCACATAACGACACTAAAATCAGTCATAGTGACATTATGAAGACAACTTGTCATGCTCAGCCCGTCATAATAATTGTAACAACGTCCAAACCGTCCGACCAATTAATTTTAAATATCCTAACAAAATCATACTATCAACTATCAAAAAAATTGAAACATTTATGTATAACCGGTATTAAAGCTATCTGTCTCGTAAACTATGTATCTTGTGGGCGCTAAATTAATCTGCCCTAGATACATCATTTTCCCCCACTTTTGCTTACATGTTAATTCTAACAAACTTCATTGTCTCATGAACAAGAGAGTGCAACAAAAATCTCAGTCCTGTAAAGCGCTCTGTCCCCATATCAGAAAGTTTAGCCCAATATAGAAGTCAGCATTGTCTTAAGACCGAGTCACATCATTACGAGCAGGCTATACAGACTTGTTGACCGAAGGTTTTGCAATACACAAGATGATTTCTACCTCAGTCATGAGGACTGAAAGGTTTCAGTATTGGATTTGTCAGGCATGAGGATTTGAGGACAAACAGGTTTTAGTCTTAGAATTGTCAGGCATGGGGACTAACAGGGTTTAGTCTTAGATTTGTCAGGCATGGGGACTAACAGGGTTTAGTCTTAGAATTGTCAGGCATGGGGACTAACAGGGTTTAGTCTTAGATCTGTCAGTCATGGGGACTAACAGGTTTTAGTCTTAGATTTGTCAGGCATGTGGACTTGAGGACAAACAGGTTTAAGTCTTAGAATTGTCAGGCATGGGGATTTGAGGACAAGCAGGTTCTAGTCTTAGATTTGTCAGGCATGGGGACTAACAGGGTTTAGTCTTAGATTTGTCAGGCAAGGGGACTAATAGGTTTTAGTCTTAGATTTGTCAGGCAAGGGGACTAATAGGTTTCAGTCTTAGATTTGTCAGTCATGGGGACTAATAGGTTTCAGTCTTAGATTTGTCAGGCATGGGGACTAACAGGGTTTAGTCTTAGATTTGTCAGGCATGGGGACTAACAGGGTTTAGTCTTAAGATTTGTCAGGCAAGGGGACTAATAGGTTTCAGTCTTAGATTTGTCAGTCATGGGGACTAATAGGTTTTAGTCTTAGATTTGTCAGGCATGGGGACTTGAGGACAAACGGGTTTTAGCCTTAGATTTGTCAGGCATGGGGACTAACAGGTTTTAGTCTTAGATTTGTCAGGCATGTGGACTTGAGGACAAAAAGGTTTAAGTCTTAGATTTGTCAGGCATGGGGATTTGAGATTCAAACAGGTTTTAGCCTTAGATTTGTCAGGCATGGGGATTAAACTTTATAAGATATCTTTAAGTAAGTGAGATTTCATTTCATCATTAGCCTAAGATTTAATCTTAGGTTTGTCAAAACCTCCCCAAATTCTGTGAATGAAACCCTGTAAATTAATCAACATTCTATTTTTCATAAATAAGCATCCATACACTAACAACAAATATTCACAAGCACTACTAAACATAAATACACATTCAGCTATGTTATAGTACAGTGTAATTATGGCTACTTGCACCATAACTCAACATACAGACTCTGGTCACTATACCATTCATGTCCTATACTTTAAAAAATTCAATTCTTTACCATTATGGACTATTCATTAATCCTGAATTTACCTTTAGTGTATTTTAACAGACATTTAATACAATAAATATGTCATACACATAATTTATTACATTAAGGATCCACATTTCAGTTCAACATTTTATCATATAGTCAGCCCTTGATTGTGCTTCAATCCATTTCTACAGTATATCAAACCTTTCTGACATTAGTGCCATCTGCTATTACACGTGACATTTCTCAGTTAATGAATTCTTTACATATGACATTCAAAATATCATGCCATGGGCAGAATTTATTCAAACTTAAAAATATAAGACAGTCCATGTTAATTGAATACCTTTTCATATTGACTTTTTAGTGTTTCATTTAAATGAATGCAAAGAAAAACAAGAGCTACTTATTCGTATTGGTACATGAATCTGATTTTTATCTGATCGCTGACTTTTCCAACAATTAAAACAACATGTAATGTCAACTTGTAACTAGTGAAAACTTATCTGCCAAGTTGACATCACATTGTGGTTATCTGGGCTAATAATATTAAGGCTTTGATAACTGGTCCAGTCACAAAATTTGAATAGCAATATTACCTGTTTGTCCTTTTCCAACACGAACATTTAGAACTTGGGTAGTTAGTTCAGCAAAAACTTTCTACTTTTTTCTCAGATTATTAATTAATAAAATGAGACTCAGCTCAAGTACAGCCCTTTAAGGGACCGTACCTTCCACAAGTCTAGGTTCAGAAGTACTCTTTTTAATACTATCTGAACCACTTTGTCAAAGGATGCTTCAAACCATCCCAGCAGTTCTCCACATGTCTTTTTCTGCAGTGCATGCAGTGGAGATACATGTAAGATACTTTCTCAACCTTAAATCTAAGTAGATGAAGTTGATAACATTGAGTCTACATCAGATCCAGTCTCCCACTGAACCTAACAGCTAGATTGTAGAGGGCTTAGCTATCGTGTTGGTAAGGAGTGTTAATATAGATTAGTAGTTCATTCCTAATTAGTCAATGCCAAATTTCAGATTCAGGAGAAGTAGCCATAACAATATTTTCAATATGGCGACCAGGACTTCCATCTTCATTGTCAAACTGTCAAAATTTCAGTTAAGGTCATCTGTGGACCAAACATAATTCATTAATGCATGTCACATTATGACCTTCACTTCAGGATAAGCAGCAATAGCAAGTTTTTTAAATAGTTGACATCTTGGTAGTGGCACAGTTGTAAATTTTGTCTAGGACCAACTAATAAGGACAATGCCAAACTCACTTGCGGAGATACTATCACTAATTTACTGTCCATTCAGGAGGAGCAGTCATAACAAGATGTTGTAGTGCCAGACACCACATGTCTGAAAACAGAAGACACCATGATATAGGATAATCCTCAAGTCTTTTACCTGACCATCAGAACTAAGAACTAAAATATAACTTATATCTTTATTTTTTTTCCAATCTGAAAACTGGAAGCCATCAATTAAATATAAGTTGGTGAACCTAGTACATAGAATAGTAACACTAACACAGGACAGTACCCAGAGTCTGTGTAGAGCTACAATATATAATATTATACTACAGCTTTCCAATCTAATCAAACTAGTCACTCCACATGTATTATGTGATCATACAAACACATGCCAAAAAATATATATATGACATAAGTAAAACACACATATCATTTTGGTGTGGGAGACAACAGAATGTAGTTGTTTTAGTCCATACAGTAGTACAAATCCCTACCAGAATGGCTGTTCACTAATAATGACTTTATGTTTAATGAGGCTCAATAATGTAAGAGATTTTGATACACAGATGGTGCCCCAAGAACCTTTCAGTAAATTCATTGAATCTACATTATTTTAGAAACATAAAAGTCTATGATCATACAATCAACTTATGAAAAATAAACATTTTAATTGCAATGGTTTTCTGAATATTCTGATGTGTTCAAAATGTGGAAAATCTGTTTCCTTCTTTGTTATTACCAATTTCTCATCCATACATATTGGGGCAAAATAAGAATGTATACAGGATGACATTCCTTTAAATGAAACTTGTTTTTCAAATAAATGTACTACAATCCACAAATTCTACAGTGGTAGTTTATAACTTACAGAATAAACAGTGTTAATCAACAATAAACTTATATACCAAAGCAAAATATCATTAAACACTTCTTTTAAAAAGGAAGAGATTCGAACATAAACAAAAAGGTAAGAGATTGATAAGGACTGTATCTAAATATAAACCAAAAGGTAAAAAGAAACTAATTAGGGCCATATCTAAATATAAACCAAAAGGTAAAAAGAAACTAATTAGGGCCATATCTAAATATAAACCAAAAGGTAAAAAGAAACTAATTAGGGCCATATCTAAATATAAACCAAAAGGTAAAAAGAAACTAATTAGGGCCATATCTAAATATAAACCAAAAGGTAAAAAGAAACTAATTAGGGCCATATCTAAATATAAACCAAAAGGTAAAAAGAAACTAATTAGGGCCATATCTAAATATAAACCAAAAGGTAAAAAGAAACTAATTAGGGCCATATCTAAATATAAACCAAAAGGTAAAAAGAAACTAATTAGGGCCATATCTAAATATAAACCAAAAGGTAAAAAGAAACTAATTAGGGCCATATCTAAATATAAACCAAAAGGTAAAAAGAAACTAATTAGGGCCATATCTAAATATAAACCAAAAGGTAAAAAGAAACTAATTAGGGCCATATCTAAATATAAACCAAAAGGTAAAAAGAAACTAATTAGGGCCATATCTAAATATAAACCAAAAGGTAAAAAGAAACTAATTAGGGCCATATCTAAATATAAACCAAAAGGTAAAAAGAAACTAATTAGGGCCATATCTAAATATAAACCAAAAGGTAAAAAGAAACTAATTAGGGCCATATCTAAATATAAACCAAAAGGTAAAAAGAACCTACCTAAGCATATAAGATAAAATTTTGGCAAATGACATTCTGAACAAACATGCACCATCAAAGCAACAATATAAAACTGTATTACTAATATTTGTCAGAATTATATGTATAATACATTAACCTATTGCACATTTCCACTAGACCTAGTCAAAATACATAAAACACTATAATGCATATTTGAAGAGAAGAATCTTGTCTGAATCAGTGGTAAAAAACTGACCTGATAAAGATGTCTGGATGATATTGTTTCTCTAATAATTAATGAATCGCCACCAAATGTTTACCTTCTTAACACCAATATATATTTTTTTTACATTTTCTTTTCCCTGCTGACTTTGTTAACAATCTGTGACATCTTTTCCTGTCATGATAAATCTGTGGCAAGAATACAACATTCAGGTGTTCTTCATATCTGGTAGGAAAATATTACAAGATGGTACAGTAAAATAAAGTTGGATAAAACAATATTAACAAACTAACTTAAAGTTCTGATCAGAATAATGGGACACTACAGGAAATGACAATAAATTATGATACCTTGTTTTTTACATCTCAAAAAACTTCAATGGGGACATATAAATTCTATTTACAAAATAACTCAGTTATACATATATATCATTATACAGATACCAAATACAACAGTACAATTTATCATCTTTATGAATAAATTTCAGAAAATAATAATGCCCAAATTATACTTATATAATATGTATTAAATAAAACATGAATATCAATTTTGAATAACTCCTTTGTTAAATGAATAATGTTGACTGACTTGGTCACATCATTTACTGATTCTGAAACAATTCACAAAAACAAATCAAATCACCCAAACCAGAGTGTGAGTAAAACAAAATGGAATTTCCTTAATCAGCGTAGGAAAAAAATTATGCAAATAAAATCCAAATCAGGAAGAAAATGGACACAACAACCAACGCAATGTGTTAGTTTAACATAATAAAAATGCAAAAATAACAAATTTTCAAAATAAAAGTAAACGTAAAAAAACTTGCAAAATTACAAAAACAATATAAATAAACTCAATACTGGCATTTGTGAGAGATTTCCTGTCAGATGCTTATATTAAGATAACTATGATCTGAATCAGGCAAGTAATCATAAAAATATAAAATGATTTTTACAATCAAATGCTGGTTCAGATAAATATTTATCATTATTTACAATATTTAACACAATACATACTCATATTAAAACAGTCAGTTGGTAATGCCTTATAAATTTTCTACATTTAACCTTTCATTTATTGATACAATATTGACAGTCAACAATATTTCATATTTTCTTGGTGACTACTTTCTGGGCGAAAAAAAAAATCATTCTTCAATGAATTTTATAATTTGGATTGGTTACAGACATTGAACAAAGACCCCTATGTTTTAAAAGATAACTCCTAATTCTGGAAACACTATGAAACTCTCTTTATAATATTTCAACAGAATGGGTTTGTGGGTCATTAAGGAGATCAATAATGGTCACTACACATTTTCTGAGACTGTGTTTCCTCTGTATTACATGAGACAGTGTTTCCTGATATTTCCTGAAAGACAGTGTTCTGCCATCTTGAAAGCAATGAAAGCAAGACCATCATATGTAGGCATTGAGGGTATAGAAGTTTAACTAAGGTGGGAAGAATCTGGAGGTCACAACCTTGGCTAACCTTGTTATTGGTATCTTATTCTGATCCCAATGGTGTTCAATAATCTAAGCAAATTTATTAACAACACAATACTTTTTTGATTTTAGTCAAATCATAATACAAAGAAAAAATATTTTCTATTCTTAAGTCTTCATTACCTGTACACATTGTTCAAATATTGAACAGTTTCAGGATATTGTGCTCAATTTATACAAATATATATAATTTCATTTAAAGCAACTGAACTGCTTACCTTGATGTAAATAAATCACAAAAATTACATTATTTAAAACTGTGATTACGTTTGTCAATGAAAGTTTGTCAATCAGTATACTGAGCCAGGTAATCATAAAAATCACAAAGTTATCTCCCTTTGGGATATGATATAGAGATGGTTGATGGGGTTCTGTGTTAGGCCTGTGAGGATTTCATTGCAAATAAAATACACTTGCTAATTTGTGCAGAAAATTTACAAGTATCTGAAATGTTAAGATTAAACCTGCTTATACATCTTTCACTACTATAAATAGACTTTCCTATCTTTTTCTGGATTGAAATTGAATCTTTAATTAATATTAACCGCTGTTTGCTAGAACATTATAATTAATACCAAAAAAAAACAATAAATATTGCGAAAACTATTTCAGGAATACCAATAAAACTTAAATGGCACTTGTTGAATTATGAAAATCTTTTACTTGGCAAATTATTTTGTTGAATTTTTAAAAAACATGTATTACATCTGAAAAACAATCTAAACAGTATTTGACATTTTAAATGTTTCTGTAAAAATACAGATAATTTTTAAGAATATTGAAGAAATGAATCTTTGGTCATACAGGCTAACTAAAAACATGAGTTTATAATGAAATAACAAAAATGAAAACAAATGTACATGAAACTTTGTATATAATGAAAATGAAAACAACATGGTTTAGAAACAGTTGTATTTGGGATCCAAAATTCCAGGCTGTTTCACTACCTGAGAAATGGTTAGAAATTCTTTTCTTTAAACAACATCATATATATTGTTCTTATTAAGTATCTATTGTAAATAACGACATATATTTGGAAATATAAATTATTTAAGACATAGAACTAGAACTAATGAAGAAGTTGAGCCGAAGTGTCTCAATTTGTGAAGTTAAGTGTGTTGTATACCAATTTATATTTTAATGACACCGGTTCTATCATATATTTACACAAAAACAAAACCATAATTAAAAAAACAACAATACATAAAATCAATCTTTAAACATTCACCCTACCAGACTCTCAAAATTCAATTCCAAATTCAACATAAAGGAAAAAATGAAATTGTTTTGTCAATCCTTTGATTTTACAGTGATAGTTACACATGTACAATTGTTTCTAGTTTCTTTTCTTTGCTGTCACATTGAAAGTTTTGTTTTGGATTCACTCCAATTGATGTTTTTTTCAGTATATCAGAATCCATGAATTTTATACTGTACTGGAAGGACACTTGTAAAGAATAAACATAACAGCAAATTGTACACAAGCATGAGCTTCATATATCTTCTGATAAACTATTAATCAAAAAAGGAAAACTGACAAACTGTTTTTTTCATTAAAATGATAAGATTATAATATGAAGAATATTATAATTACTAAACATATATTGTTCATTAATTAACATTCACTATAATATCAATATAAAACTTCACATAAACTGTCATAATAATATGATTATATAAATAAAACAATAAATATATTCTAAATAATATGCACATAGATATTGAGAACCACTAATATAGCACCAACAAACATGAATGTTGTGTTCCATTCCACCTGAAAAATTCATTTTATGTAGAAGATCTACCAAAATCATTCAGATATGCTTATGTTGGGTAAAACCAGCCAACACCATTTACATTTTCACGAGTGAAGGATCATGAATGCTTTTCAATCCTTAGAAATGATTTTTTCATTTCATATTGTCATGAATAATTGGGCTTCCATTTGACTTTCAGGATTAAGTTTTTTAGTTTTGATTCTAGATTTTAAGAAGATGTAATAGCAGTTAGAGCTCTCGACGTTAGGCACAAAATGTGATTAAACTCTTGATAGGCAAAAGTCACATGGAAGCCCTGAATAAGATTCCTAAGTTCTTCTGCAATTAAGCAGCAAATTAATAAATAAACTTGCTTGATAAACATTTTGTAACAAATTTCTCTTATTTTTTCAAACTCTTAACAACGCTATAGATACTTCTTGAAACAAAAATCAAAAGTGAGGGCATCAATGTTCGAAAACAAAAGCATAAAACATCTACCAATACAATTTTAATTACTCAACAGAGTCTAATGAAAATTGCAAAACCATTTCATGAGTATTTACCACAAAAATTTGTGAATAATGAAACAAAAATAAATCTATCAGAAGTGAGGTGATATCATGTTCTCGTATTACATGTTAAAGTTCATTAAAACAGAAATCAATTAATGGTAAAAAGCTGCAACATGATCCATACAAATGATTCATACAAACGCTACATACAAATGCTACTTCCTACTTATGTATCTACACTCAAAAATATTATCTTTTTACAATACATAGAACATGATTTAGTGATAGCCATACTAAATAATAGCAGGGCTCACTGCTATTTTTGAGACTGCCTCCTTTCCAATATTTTCCTCTCTGGATTTGTGAAAATCTTAAGATTGGCTTTATATGTAGGATGACATTCCCTTAAGTAAAGATCCTCTCTCTTACCACCAGTGGTCACTGAGATAAGGTACATCATCATTTGTGGTTCAACTTGGTAGCAATGCACAGGGCCACAAAATCAACTGTTGACCGGGAGGATGGACTTTACACCTGTGTTGATGACACTTCAGTCATATGTGACAGGTCGCCATCAGCAAGTGTTTCTTAAATGCTAAGCTGTGCCCAGGTTAAACATCATCATACATCTTCAGCAGCTGATCTGATGGCTGGGACTTCACATATCTGTACTGGGTTAGGATCCTCCTGTAGATAGATATATACAAGAATAATTCTGAAAGCAAAGTTGAAAAAGTATCTAGGGGTATTTCAGAACATTGTTTTCAGGTTGGTAATGTCAATAGGACAGTAGTTCTTATAATACAACCAGTAGAATATTAGAGTGTAACAATTTGATGACTTAACTTCAGTTGTCTGATAAAGGTGACTGTGAGACACTGAAACATCACACTCTAATCTTCTACTGTAAGAGCTTCTATTCTGCATTATCTATGGGTATTCTCCTGGAATAATTGTTGAATCATGTACAGACGAGTGTACTCTAGAATTTTTTCAAAATAAAACTATAAATTTTACAGATGAGACAGACAATAGTCTGATATGTAAGGTATACTACCTCTGAGTATGCTGGTGGAGGTCTGTAGTTGTAAACATAGGTGTACATAGGTGTGTAAGTGAGGTCGCCCATGTTATATCGAGGGTCATCATCCTCGTCATCCCAGATATTCACAGCTCCACCAACACTCTCATGGTACGTCGGTGGGTCTGTAAAATCAATAATGGTTTACAGATATTAATGCAAATAAGATTTTCAATTTGTTACAAGTTGTAGAATGTATTTCAAGAGTGGAAAGTTCTTTTCTTTTAAATAAGTTCTTTACTTAAAATCAATAATGGTTTACAGATATTAATGCAAATAAGAGAAATCATCTTGTTAATTGATTGTGTCTCTGTAGGGTTGGAATATGTGTAACTTACCATCAAACAGTGGATGTGGGGTGATTGTGTCTCTGTAGGGTTGGAATATGTGTAACTTACCATCAAACAGTGGATGTGGGGTGATTGTGTCTCTGTAGGGTTGCAATATGTGTAACTTACCATCAAACAGTGGATGTGGGGTGATTGTGTCTCTGTAGGGTTGGAATATGTGTAACTTACCATCAAACAGTGGATGTGGGGTGATTGTGTCTCTGTAGGGTTGCAATATGTGTAACTTACCATCAAACAGTGGATGTGGGGTGATTGTGTCTCTGTAGGGTTGCAATATGTGTAACTTACCATCAAACAGTGGATGTGGGGTGATTGTGTCTCTGTAGGGTTGGAATATGTGTAACTTACCATCAAACAGTGGATGTGGGGTGATTGTGTCTCTGTAGGGTTGGAATATGTGTAACTTACCATCAAACAGTGGATGTGGGGTGATTGTGTCTCTGTAGGGTTGGAATATGTGTAACATACCATCAAACAGTGTAGGTGGGGTGATTGTGTCTCTGTAGGGTTGGGATATGTGTAACTTACCATCAAACAGTGGAGGTGGGGTGATTGTGTCTCTGTAGGGTTGGAATATGTGTAACTTACCATCAAATGGTGGAGGTGGGGTGATGGTCTCTCTGTAGGGCGGTGGTATGGGAAGATAGTCTACACTATCAAAACGACGTTGGCTCTCTCTGAAGAAATGTGGCTCTGGGAACCTAAATGTTCCCCGTCTGAATGGCACTGTCCCGATGACAATTGGTAAATGCATGGTCAAATTGTAAGCCCCGGGTATATGTAAGGCGACCTGTCATCAACACAGAGATTTTACTGTTAAGTCACAGAAGGTACCATATAGAGTAGATCATACATTTGCTAATTCACTGGAGTGACAGCACCGCACCAATGACAGCTGCCTTCATAGACCCTGAAAGACCCTATGCATTGTGCTGTAGACCATTCCATTAGAGCCAAACTCTGACAACACTATGGCTATGGGCAGCGCACTAGACTCACCAAAGGCGGCGGTAAATGCCACTCCCCTCACATCAGTTGAACACTGATGAACATCAGTGAAAGCAGACCTAAGACTTGTACACCCACCAATAAATGATAATAAACCATGTGTAGTGTAGCTCCATTTGTGTATGTTAAATCTTTGATATAGTCTACAAAGGTTTACAGATTAAACTCATGAAAAAAAATCTATATTTAGATATCAATTATCGAAGTTTGGTATTTCCTTTGTCTCATATAGATTCTGTAACATCATAATGAAAATTAGTTATCAGAAATTAACATGAAAACACCTGTCTTAATACATCTCATAGACTTTTTAGTTGACACTAACAAGTAATGATAATAAGTAGGAGTTTACATCTGTTAATTCACTCACTGCTTCACTCATATAGGACAGTTGTTAAGGTTGAAGTTGTGCTGTTGTCAATACAAACCTGATCAGTTCACTTGAGATACATCTCTTATTGCCCATAACATACCAATATTTCATAAATAGGATTACATTTAATGGCGCTATAACACTAAAAAAAGAGTATAATTCACAGACAGATGGATGGGCTAAAAGATATACTGAAAAGTATACTGGTATCCCTAACTGAAAGAAGCTACCAGAAAACACAGCCTTGCAAAAGATACAAATCCCCCTTACGGTTTGTACATTGACTTAAACACAATTAAGAAAATGGCCGATTGTCTGAAATTTCATGCGAAAATCCCTCAAGGAATGAAGCAACTCGACTGCTGACAAGCATACACACCAACTTTTCAAAATTCTCATGGAGCAAAAAAGTATGTGAACGACATTTCTGATACAACATGACTACCTGTGTGCCGCGACATTTGATCACAAAGGAAACAAGGACAATTAATCAATGCATATTCCAGTAATATTTTTATTATTATTATGTGCATGTTTTACTACAAAATAACTGTTGCTGTTTTTATCGCAAATCAGGACCAAATTGAGATTTATAAATAATGTGAATCCTCTATAAATTTATTTAACTCTTCAGTACTTAATTAGTTTATACAATATAACACACAATAAATTAATAATTATATAATATGTGCTTTGAAATATGATGCTTCAGAAAGAATTTTAAATTGGAGAAAAATATCTCATAAAAAATAGAAAAATAAATGACATCATTCCTTTTAAGAAATTCACAATAATTCAATTCAGAACTAATGGTCCATCATATATTAAATATTGTTTTCACTGTGAAATTTATACAAGTGAAATAATTGTAATTAGATATTAATCTGGAAACTATAAGAATTTGGTTCGTATGAAAGGCCTTCGTTAATATTCAACAGTACAGACACAGACAGTGAAATTGTTTAGTAACATGTATGTAACATCAGTTCCTATATCTGAGGGTAGACAATCTGTGAAGGCACCCGAGCTATTCTATGCTTTTTGACCTATATCCATAAAATAAAGAATCATTTGCAAATTTTATTAAATGTCTCAATGACGATCCTGATAAATTGCCCTCAGTTGTCTGTTATGTCAACGAACTTTAGTCAATGTAACAGTTAACACTTAAGAAAGGGTCCAGCATATATACAGATGCGGCTTATAACCCTGAAAATACGGTACTAAAAGGAGGTCTCTAAACACTGGTGGTTATACCTGCTTTTGTCAGCTCTTTCGCATTCAAACATTTCTCTTTTTGAAGACTGATTAGAAGTGGAAGGGCAATTTCCAAGAAGAAAAAAATCTATCAGACATGAATGTCCACACTACAATGCATATTAGTATCACTGTTTGATGAATTCTGAGAAGGTAGCAAATGTGACCTCTGACCCTTTAACATTAGACTGTTGACCATCTTGATAAATTAAGGTATAGAACTTGATGTTATGACACTATGGGGAAAATATGAACCATGTCTATCCAAAAACACTTGAAATTATTTGTTGATAAGAAGGGGGACACACATGGGGTTTCAGATGGGACACAATGCTACATGATTAATTACTAACAGTAACAGATCTGTCAGAGTAAACAGCTAATACACACTCAATGACCTAATATCCTTCATGTTTACTTACTTTGATGTAATAATCTACTTTCATTACACAACAGTTCATGATAGATGGCGACACCGCTGGAATCTTCAGGAGCTGAGATTCCCAGTTCCCTCGGGTCCCAGGGGCCACTGGTAATCCTAAACAAATAACCATGCTTACAATCAACTAAGTACAAGTGATGGCAACCTGTTAATCATAATCGATTAATGAATTAAATAATCATATGTGTTATTGAGTATGTTTCTGATATTAAACCCGATGTATTGATTGACATAGAAAAAAAAGTCATCAGGATCTGTGATTTTTATTTACTCACAATATGCACTTCTGTCACATTAATTTCATGGACTTTTAAGGAATCTTTTTAAGTCAATAAAGGTTGTAATAATTCAATCTGATAATAAATAACTGAACATAAACAAGTTTCTATTTTATAAGTAATCTCGACCCCCATCCAGATTTGTATCTTTCTTTCCTCTCAAGATCAATTTTGTTTGTTTTCAGATCAGACAGTTAATTTCTATTATCCAAATTTTTAGAGGAGAACTTTTCTTGGCAACAAAAATCCCAAAATCTTAATTTAGACTCTTCTTTCAGGCTTATTCATCTGTTAGTTGAATTTAATAAGTAAAGAGTAATATCATTGGTTTATTTATTAGTAAAGAACAATGTCATTATGATAGAGGTTTTCACTGTTCAAGTAACATTACAGTGAAACAATTATATTTTCACTATTTTTCATTTATTATTGCAAATTCACATCAAGTGTATCACCTTATCAACAATGATATATATGGCTTCTGTAAAAATTTTCACATAAAGATGTTATATGATATTTATAATCATCTCATTATGGAAACTAATATTACTTCTTCGTAATTCTAAATTAAATTTGCATTATCACACAATGTCTATTCGCCCGTAACAAATTCAAGGGCAGAAAAACAGGATTATGTACTTTGTCACTACAAATTTTTCCACCATTACACGAGTTCGTGTAAACAAATGAACTGCCTCGTTTTCAAAACTGTCAAATGGAATTGTTGGCTCTAAATAAACAAGAGGCCTAGCGGCCTTGATGGTCACCTGAGATAAGCAATATTGAATATAAAGGTTAAAGGATAGTTATGAAGTGCCATGAAACAGAAATTGTGACACTAAATATAGACAGTGTCAATACATGCATTCCATCAACACCGTCATCATATACTGATATTTTTTTTCTATGAAAATTACAGTTGAGTCTAAAAAAAATATTCCTTTTTTTATTTTTGAAATTTAAGTCAATTTGACCACTTTTGGCCCCGCCCATCAACTCCTGGGGGTCAGTCAGGATCAAATGGGCATACCATCAAGCCGTCAACCTTCACTCATGATTCTAACCAAATTTGAAATATTTCCAATGGAAATTAAACAAATTATGCTCAAAAATCTAGTTTTCCTACATAAACTATAGTAAACTTTACTCCCTCCCCATGGGAAAATGTGAGACCCTGGGGCCATGAAATTCACAATTTTGTAAAGCACCTTAAGATGCTTCCATTCATGAAGAGCATTTGATTCTACCATATCTGAGTTTTAAGAAGATGATTTTTGAAATCTGAGTCAATTTGACCCCTTTTGGCCCCACCCCTAAGGTCCCTGGGGGGCTGGGACAATACAATTCACAATTTTCGTTCATCTTTAGCCAGGAAAGGTTTCTGCAAAATTTCATTGAAATTGGATCAGGGATTATGAGAAGTCGAGAAGCCAGATGAAGGGTATTAGAATAGGTCACTATGAGACTTTGTCTAAGGTGACCTAACAAAATTGATTTAATACAATGAGAGTCAAACTGGACATTGAAAACTGATTGTGAATATCCAGAAAGCATAAAATGTTATTGGTGGCATATACAACACAACAAAACACACAATCAATAAAAAGAATGTCTTTTCCTAGATATTCCTTTAAATAACTTGGGATATACATATTATGCATATTCCATGGATATTGATAAAGACTGTTACAAAACAATAGCAGTGAAGAAATTACACATTACACCGTCTCCCCCCCCCCCCCTTGCCTAAAAGTTGGGAGGTTTTACCTGTGAGGACTGTGAACTTGGTTCTCCTCACCCTTGTTTTGCCACTGGCGAAAAAGGCTTGTGTTTGGTACAGTGTAGCATAAGGTATGACTGTCCTTGAGGAGTGGTTGTCAAACTCAGCTGACACGGCTATTGATTCTCCTAGAAAAATGAATCAAAGAAAATAGCTAATGGAAAGTTTTCTGATCCAGTCTCCATTCAGTCTCTGTTCCATTCTGATAAATATGTGTGGAAGCATTATTAATATCTACTAGTCTACATGTCAAGCACATCTAATTCAGACCTTCTCTTCTTTCTTCATGTACTGTTCCAATTTCATGATCTATGGTTTTAACAACATTATTTTCACTTGCCATATTACAACATCAGAACAAATGTCCTGTACACCATAACAAGTGCTTTTGCAGAATATTGCCACATCAATGTGTTGATAATTATAACCAATATCATTCCTGTATGAATATAATGTACTGATGTCTGTTAACACTTGCACCAAATGTTTTAACAAATTTTATTAGATACAAAAATTGAAGTCCAAAACATGTCAAAACACAGGCTTCTTCCATAATAAAATCCATTGGTCCAATTCGGGGAAAGGATAGTTAAACTGGACAGGGACCTGATACCAAATATAAGTACCCTAGTAAAATTATAGGGTAATATTCTGACGTCTTTCAACAGGGACCTGATACCAAATATCAGTACCCTAGTCAAATCATAGAGTAATATACTAATGTCTTTCAACATTTGCACCAAAATCTAAAATCCAACATCGACACATCGATTTGACAACACTCTTCTACGAAGAAATGAGCCATCATCAAAGTTTCAAAATCATTTCTTCAATTCATTCATACTTGTGGTTTTTCCTGGTACAATCATGTACCGTGTTACATTTCAATACATTTTGAAGTTCTCTCTCTCTGCTGGAATGCATGTTTTGTCCTGAGCACATGTATTCACGGGATAGAGAACTCTTTAGATCAATCAGTTGAGCCAAAGTCTAAAGTTAGAAGTCATCAAAATGTCAGCAGATGTATAGATGTAAATAAGGACTTCTGTAACATACATACCAGCACAGTAGCCACGGCGATCAGACCTGGCAGTGATGGAGATTGGCCCCGATGTACACAACCAACAACAGAGGGTTGTTTCTGCACTACTTTGAACACATGTCTGTAATATAAAGGGAGATAAAGGGAGATCACAACTTCCTGGACTCCATACCATTTCTTTTTGGTGTTTTATTGTACCAAATGATAATCTATAATGGTAACAGGAGATCCCAGAGGATCTGGGTATGCCCACTGTTGTTTGGTTTTTATTTGTTCTTTAAAAGTTTTTTCCCTTCATTTCATTTCTTTCTTCTGTCTTTGCACTTAATTATATGAAATTTAAAAGTCAGTTCTGAGCAGGTAGTTTGAACACAATAATTCTGTGTCTAGGGATACTTCAAATTCATTCTAGACGTGTTTCATTTGCAATTCCATCTGTTCAAACAGATCATGAGGTTGCACCAATAACTATTGATAAAGATATTGGCACTGCAATAATCACTCTTTTTCTTTCTCAGAAAATGCCAATACAGATCAGTAGATTGATATTGTCTAATCCAAGAGCGTTGCCTGTCAGCTATTTTGTTTTTCTGATCAGTCCCAAAAAACAAATTTATAGAGCACAACTAAGGACTAAGGAGAACCTACATATGAAATCTGAGAGAGATCCATCTTTTGCTTCTCAAGAATGAACAAACTTTTGTCAAAATCCAAGATGGCAACCTGTGCACTTGGGCAAGACAAGTACTAATCACCATGGTCATGTCATTCTTCAAAAAAAATTCTTTTAGATGTGACAGATTATATTAAAACAAAAAGCAAAAATATTTATGTTTTACAATGCTAGCGTATATATAACATCCAGATCCTATCAACTTTTGACTTATTTATGTGTGAACTTGTTTGATATACATGTGGATACAAAATCAAAGAGGAACTGGAACAGTAATTTTGTATCCTTCAGGTTCAATTTCTCATAATGTCTGATCTTCTGTGTAATTGTCTATTGAGGAGCATTTCAATTTACATTAATATTCATAATATTTGTGTAATCAATTTTGTCAAGAATTTGCCATAACCCTGTTGGACAAAACACTGACACCTGCCCTTACCTGGTACTCTGGTTTGTTGATGTCTATAGGACTGATGACTGTGAAGGCTTTTTTGGTTTTGTGATTAAATGACCAAGGCTTGTCCATCTCCGCCTTGAGCCAGTATCTGATGCTCCCATGTTTACCCTCAAATGATGTTGAAATACCACTGCAATAAAATGTGACAGAATTGGTGAAATTTAATACAACAAGCAACTATACCCGAAAGACTGAAGGTTGTTTGGGTTTATTACCCCATAAACAGACAGGTTCATTATGAAAAAAGATAAATATAATAGCTTGTGGCTATCTCACAAAACATCATGCTAGAGACCATGCTTATATCCAAGGATGGTGTGTAAACTAAGCAACAGCACAGGATATCCTTGGAAATACAAAGCATCCTGGGTAAGGAACAAGCCACATATATGGGATCTTCAACAGAAGCTGTAATATCTGATGCTCTATCAAGAGAACTATAACAGCTTCATAGGATCATTATAATATATCTGACAAATTCAAATGTAATCCATATCTGCTCACTGAAAACAAAGTTATCTATGCAAGTTGATACTAACATGCAGTACAAAAACAAACATCTCCCATTCCCCTGGACTATTTCCCCCTGCACCACTATTTCTGGACTGTCTGCATACACATCAAAATCGCTTGGCTACATGCCTTATTGTATAGTTGAACATGTGTACTGAGGGTATCTGCACATTAGTCAAGTGTATATAAAGTGTCCTTGATATGATAATGCTTAAGTTATCTATCCCTAATCAGCTTGATCTTTCACAGTTTTTTTACTTACCATATTGGCAACTCAAAGTTGAAGTTGAATTCATGCCGACCTTCCAGCAATGTGTCTCTTCCTTCTGACACCTCTGCAGTAAACAAGTGAGACCAAAACTGTCACTGGAAGCTTACAATCAATAATGAACAGTATAATATACCATTGTCAGGATACACCTGCCACATATCTTTTTTCTGGATTCAGCAGTGATGGAAAACAGCTGTATTTTAGCATGGTCATTATTTTCCCAGATTTCCTTTTTGATTTACTAAAATATAGCATGTACATACAGTAATTACTTATTTGAATTGCCAGTTTCAACGTAAAACTAGTCTTTAAAACTTAATAAAACAGGGAGGTGGACTACAAAGACATATAGGAGATTTTGTGGTGACTAAAAAAGTGGCAATTAACTCATAATAGTGAGGTGTTATAAATTTAGAGGTTTCCCTGTGATTTTATTTGTTGTAATAGGAAATTTATTTATGAAAATTCATAAAATTCTTGTTATATCTGTCAAAGTTTGAAACTATTTTTATATACACAGCAATTATTTTGATGTACATTACTAGGTGTATATCAGGGTAATGTCAACATAAGGTAAACATGATTTAACTACAGACTGTTGAAGTTTTAATAGTCTTAGTTTTCAGACTAAATTTTGTCAGATATAAGGTCAGTATCTTATAATATGAGCTGCAGTTTGGTTTGGGACAGAAAGACATAAATGGCTCACCAAAACACCTTGGTGTTTTAAGGCACTGGCCATATATTCTCTATAAGTTATTACACCCCCCTTAACAATAGTATATTACTTACATTATTTTTCAAGTACAGGAATTCTATGATTTCTCTTCACCAGACTCAAGCTTAGAATTACAAATTTGTAAGCTTTTAAGTCTATCACTTCCCAGTAACAAGTTGTTTACATCTGCTCTATAATTGTAGTACATTTCCTGCTGTTTTCATATTGTAAGCTGGTATATATATTTATGTATTCAACGACCATACATCTGCTGTCATAGCCTTCCAGTAGACAAGAAAGGAAATGAATGAGAGTAAAATGAGTGAATCAATTAGTGAAAAAGATAAGGGAGAAGGAGGGTGTATTGAGGTGGAATCAATTGTTTCTATAATTATAACTTGACACATTATTTTATAAGCTGACTTTGTATATGTTCTAATATTCATGGTCTGTTGTCTAATAGTATGTTCACAGGCAACCACCTGCAATTAGACAATATGCTTCCAAATCAGTAAAAGAAGAAAGAAGGGCTCTAACCAATAATAATTTGGTTAAGTCTGCATTTTAAAGTCCACTAAACTTCTCTGAAAAGATATCTGTTATTTAAATGCTCTTCATCATAACCTATATAAACATCTCCAAAAAGTATGTACAAAGTATTACAACTTACTACAGGTATCATTACTATGGTAAACACTAAGTATGAAATAATAGCACATACATTCAACCTATTGTATTTAAAATTTGTCGAGTTCAGAGTGGAGCCTTTTTACAATAACAGCTTTGATATTACTGAAACAATGAATTCATTTCAACTATGGCTATGCAAATACCTGGGTATCATTTATCACATGGATAACATATCATGGGATCAAGCCCGATCAATATGACACAGTTTCAATATTTTAATTTGCTTCGCCTGGCATAAACAACATCATTATTTGATTAGAAGGTAAATTATACAAAATGATTTTTCAATATAAAAAGCTAAATGTTAACGAATGCGTCGGTCTTTTTCTGTTTTCTGTTTTTCTGTTCCGTTACCTTTTACATATAAACATGTATTACATCCAAATGTGCTGCAGCTAAGTACGAAACCTTACTCGGATTAGTTATATGCACAGCAGTGAGAGAGTTTACTGAGCCGGCCGTTTAATACAATTACACCGAAGTTGGTTCGTTTGTTTATGTTGAACCTGATACTCACCTCCGCCGAAAAGCACCTGTCTTTTGAAGAAGTATTCTACTTCTGCATTATAGTGTTCTGTGTAAGAGCCCAGTCGACTGCCTGTACTCCGACTTTCAGTCCAGTGTACCTTGGCGACACCTCGCATAAAAATCCGCAAAGATCTCATCTTCATATCGCCTTTCAACTCGACCACAACTTTGCCGACTACCTTTTCACCAGGATGGAAAACTGTCTTGTTTTCCGACATTATTATCTCAAAACATTTCAATTTACCCATTTTGAGGGTGAAAGATAGATTCACCTCTTCCCAAAACCTTTGCAAATCATTTTCCTCACGTACAAAAAAACATCTACCATCTTCCCGGAAGTTACATTTTCAGCATCCCTAACGTTTGCGCAATGAGATTATCGCGTAAAAATGGAGTCCGGTCATCCTTCCGAGTGCATCATTGTGTGTTGAATGTAAACTCTAGACAAGTTCGAAGAGCAAATATAGGTGCATTCGATAAAATCAACAAGCAGGCAGGTGATGGTCGATGACCTCACCATGGCTTAAGATTGATCGAGCAATTTTTGGCTAACTCAGAGTTTGTTCTTGAAATATAAGTTATTTCCTACAAGACAAAATTAAATCGTTGATAGATGGAAAGATCCCGTAATGTTTTCAATTTTTCGATTTACAGCTTGCTGAATATCTTCCTATGTGTACCTACCTAAGCTGTCTGTCGTTCAGGTTAATGAAGCATGAAACAGGGAACGCGTTCACATATTCTTTACTTTGTTTGTTTGTTTTCTTGGTGTGGATTTTATAAGTAAAATAAGATCAGATGAGGTAAACTGAAAACATTTCGGAGCATTCCATTTTGTCCTGATTAGACAAAGTGGGAACATACAGTCACAGCTATACATTTCAGTAGTAGGCCCACATGTATCTTATTTAAGTCTTACCTTTCATATACACATATTACAATCGATAAAAAAGACGACATGTAACAGAATGACGAAAGTCAACGTTATCAGAGAGTTTAACGAGACTACTTGTCATTTTTGATACCAGTATCGGGACAAATATTCAAGTTCCATTGACTATCTCTTACCGTTTCCTTATTGATCCTATCAGAGACATATATATCACGTGATATATACGTCTCTGATCCTATCTTATAATTTATGTCACTGAAGCGGCTGTTCGTGACTATCTTTCTATATGGCTCTGAATCCCTTCCTATCTGTTATTTTCAACGAGAAACACCTACGCACATTGTGTGTTTTTTTAGCTACAATTGACTATTAGTGTTCGTTTGAAATAGTTTTCATTCACCTGCAATGTAAAATAAAATTTTCTATTGTAACCCGTTTCTCCTTTTTAACCGAGTTTGTGTTTAGGCCAAAAGAAAAAGAATAGACGACAAATTATCATCTTGTTTTGGGATTCTTTCAGAAGAATTGTCGCGTCCTAAACCCTGGCTTCAATGAATTTCTAAAGTGCTGACTCAAGAAGAGCCCACCATGTATGCCAAGATAGGTCTCCGCTTTCATCCAATCAGATCTCATATTTTAGTGCCTGTTCCTCATAAAAAGGTTAGGTAAGCCGTTAACATATTATTGACCTTCATCGGTTGTCTAGTAATTTCACTCAAAGTATAGCCTAATTGCAAGAAAAGTAGCGGCTCATCAACATACGCGCATACATACAGTACATTCACACCAACACGAATTCACCTAGTGTAGAGAGTGACCTTACTATACAGCGGATAATTATATCACTAAAAATGTACATCACCTTACAGTCCACCCAATCTTCTCTTCTTTCTAATTCAAAAAAATGAACTATGGGAAATATCCTTAGTTTCTATTTTCTATTTGAATATTCTGGTATTTCAGTTACAGATGTGAGGTTTAACAACCGAATGACTTCTTTATTTATCGCGTTTTATGTCCACTATTTCGGCCTTCCATCGGACGAATGCTCCATATAGAATGCAACAGAATGCGATAGTCAGCTATTGATTAACTGAGTACATAAGAAAACGTATATCTGAATCATGGACATGCTAGCCTGTGTCAAACTGAACACCCACGACGTTCGATTCAGACATTACTTACTCTCATGTTTTATATATCTAATCTTGGTTGACTTGACTCAGAGCTGACGGCTATTACGAATTCGAAACAGTTCTTCACTTCTCCTGTCAATCAAATTCCTCAGCTACAGATAATTTTTGTACAGTTTGATAGAGTTTTGTTCTTATTTGGTCTCTACTCTTAGAAAGATTCAATTCATTTTAAGTAAATTTCACAAATACATGAGTACCATAGTGTTATAATCATTATTTGTGCAGTTATGAAAACCAAACAAAATATATCATCTTTGCTTATACCAGAGACGTATATATCACATATATATACGTCTCTGCTTATACCAAGAAAAATATCATTGATACGCTTATAAAATTAACATTCATGTTGCTATCTGACACATATATCGCTTCCAAAGTTACATTTAACAGACAACGAGATAAAATTAACGATCTTGTATAAAACATTTGAGGAAATAAATTCATAAATTTTGGCTTGCATCAGTTTAACATACAAGAGTTACTTTCCCTTTATGATTTTTTAACGGAACGAACTGGATTTTTCAGTGGTTCCGGAATATAAGATACAACAAATATCTATGTAAGACACCCCGAATCAGGAGATAGGGCCATTGAGTTTTTAATAAAGCGTAATAAAATTGGCACGGCACCGTTAATGCCAGAACGGTTTTGTAAACATTACCGAGGGGATTCCCCATCGATGAAGCGAACCGCAAATTTCATTGGTCAACGTACAAACTTCCGGGTAAGAAATTTCGTAAACAGTAGAACAACGCAGATGGTTGAAAAACTGTTCGTCAGATAATGGCATCGATTGTCTATTATAGGTAGGTTATTTATGGCAGGTATTTTGTGTAATGTGGTGGGTGAGACGAAGTTATGATGACCGTCAATGGAAGCAGTATTTGTAAATGTGTTGGCAGGTTAACCTTGTAAAAAGTTGATTCATTTCAGTTACTCCTACCGCGAAAAGTCTGACATCTTAAAGGGAAGTATGTGGAATTTTCTATTTGAAAAAGACTATGCCATAATTCATCTTCTTGTAAGTGTACCTGGTCCAATAATAATTTAGTTTTGAATGAAGACATTGGCAGTTGCGCAGATCAGGGACCCATACATTGTAGGCCTAAAACATAATATAGAGGCAGGTGATGTAGAGGAATTCTTCCGTTATAGAAGGGCAGATAACAGCAATATACCACATTACACTTCAATTACCGCCTAAAAACGAAAGCGTAGAGTCAAAACAAAATCTTTTGAGTTCTGCGAAACATCCAACATTTTTTACATCATAATCTTAAAGAAAAAAAAAGTAAAAATGTTTCAAAATGTGTAGTCGTCTAATGCGGCAAAACCAAACATATTAGACTTTATTTTTGTGCACTCTGCAGTCGACTCTGATAATCAATCTGGAGGACAGCACTGTCCTTTGAAAACACTAAGATTGAGTCTTTTAAGCTTGTTCTTGTAAGGCACTGTGACTAAGACATTTTCCCTCTTCCATATATCACAACTGGGAATCTATGATGTACCAATACAGATATAAAGAGATAAGAAAACTAAGTCAGGTATGGTAACCTCTCTGGCATTGGTGTTTTTTTTTATCTTTGGGAAAAGAAGCCATGGAAGTCTCCTCTTCTCACTGATGTTCTTATTGTGATGTTCCCTGAATGTCTGCATTTTTAGAACAATGGGAAGAAATATAAAGTATTTTACAATTGTGCTAAATTGAGATATTTCACCTTTACATGCATCTTTATACTCTATAAAGTTCATCAGCAAAAGAAAATTAAGGTTTCAATATCAAAGAAGCAGTCAACCTGGAATTTGAAGGCCATGACCACGTATTATAGGACAAGATGTTGGCATCACTGTCTTTGTCACAGAGAAAATGACCAAAGCATTAAGCAGACTGGGACTTGACTAATTTGCTCAAACATAGTTAAAGTGTATAGTCTAGATTTCACTGGCCCCAGATTTGGGTTGTGAAAATGGGTATCGTGTCAAATTATGTGCTGCTGCTTATGAATTCTAGAATTTTGTTTAAATGTATAGCCTGCATTGGTTGTTATTCATATAATTTATCATAATGTATTTTAATTGCAGCATTGAAGAATCTTAATTTGCTTTTCTGAAAATATAATTTTAGAGAAACTAACATGGATCACATGCTGCGAGGAACCAACTTTGCCATGCACCGGAAAAATATTTCGCAGTTGCCAGCAAAAATCACACAAGAAATTGAAAGAAGTTTAGATCATAATCCAGAGACATGCAGCTGGCGAGCCTTCCTGAAGATTGCATCAACTTTGAGGGATTCCTATGAATTCAGGTCATTTAACTGTTTTATTACAAAAGAGTATCAAGTGTATTTCAATCCCCAGCATATGGGATAGGGGTATACTGCATATATATGATAATTTGAATAAAACTTCCCCTTGAAACTCACTTTTACTACCACAAGTACCACTTATTCAATTTTGTTCTAATTAATGGTATGGAGACTGTTCAAGTAAGTTATATGTATTCTTGGTTCAACCACCATGAGAGTCATGGAGGCAGAAAAATTCTATTAGAATGATGAATAAATAATAATAATGAGAATGATAATTACTTTCAAATGATTTTATTTATTTTTACTTTGATTTCCATATTAAGCCCACCATTATCAAGTGGTGAACTATCCAAATTGCCTTACATTTGTGGTCTGTCCATCCATCCGTCCATTGACATAGCTTCTTCTGTGGTAAACTTTCCTGATTTGAATGACATTGACCTTTTTTCGTCAAATGGTAGGCTTTTCAAATCACGCTACATCCATGGTCCAACGATAGTCTGTAAACAATTTTCTCATTGCTAATTCTGAAGAAGTGTAGGTGTACTGAATGAGTCTTTATAAAATTTCATGTTTGTTCTCCTAGGTCTATAGGTGTGTCATTTTAAATTTTGGGACTGATCAGAAATAACAAAATAGCTGACAAGTGGTCATCTTGGATGTTAACAATGAAGGATTCACTATTTCTTGAGAAGTACTGCATGGATCCTTCTTAAATCTTATTTGTAGATTCTTTTTTGTCCCTAGTTGGACCCTTTTGATTTTGGAACTGATCTGCCATTCTGGCTGAAAAGTGACTATTTTGATTTTGATAACAAAAGTTTGTTATTGCTTTATTTTGTGAAGTACTCGATGGAACAAAGGAAAGAAGGAAAAAGATCCAATTTTCAAAGAATGAATAAAGATCAAACAGTTGTGGACACTAAGATCCTTCTTGGGTCTGGTTTTAAAAACATCATATTTAATATGAAGACTTATGATATGATTCCGACTGCCTTTACTCATTGTTGCTTTTGTATTGACATTGATGTTTTCTGATTGTAGCTCTGACATGTAAATAAAAACCTAATGTGATTGATTTATGTTTTGCAGTCAAAGAGATATTGAAAGCAAATTTGGAAGCTTTGTTTTTGGAAATGGGAGCCCTACAAACAAGTTGATTTCTGAGCTTGGGGCTCGAGGTATGGTTGTTGGGGAGCTCATCGAAGTGCTGGATCGACTCAGATTGGAAAACCTCTTGATAGATTTAAAACCTTATGGTAATTATAAGAAGAATATTTGTAATTAATTGAAAAAAAGATTGACTACTTTTGAAGAATTTGATAATGTAGGATAATAGAAGCTTGCTAATAGTTTTTCCAGGATGACAAAAATTGTAAAACAAAATTTCAAGATTGCACAGGGGATAAATTTGTTAAGCTACTCAAATGTCCTCTATGGTTTACTAAAAGGCTTAGAACAATGTTATTTAGCTAAAAGAGTTTTTGATTTGGAGCCTGATAAAATTTGAATAAAAAAATCTAGGTTGGTCTTAGAGGTCAGAAGGATCAAACATGTTAAAACGCTCAAATGACCTTGTTATTCTTCTGATTAACCATGAATGATTAACCAAAATATACCCAGATTTGAGATATATTATTCATATATATATATATATATATATATATATAATGTCCTTGGACGAAGACAAAGTTTGAGATAAGAAAATACCTTAACCCATATTCAAGATCACATAGTTCAAATTCCAGCTATTGACATGTTTGGAGCCTTTTTTTTGCAGTTAAATGTTTTGGTGCAAGTTTCTTTTGTGGTCTTTGGTTCAGTTAGATAATGTGTTATAAGCCTAAATTCTGGTATGAATGTAATTATGGGGTATATCAATTATTGTATAGATTCAATTTAAGAAAATAATGTCTTTTTTTTTTCAAATGTTTTGAGATTTAAGTTTTTTTGGTCAATTTGTATGCACCCATGCACACATAGTTTCTGTCTTTTCTGTCTGTATTTCTGTACATCCTTTTGTGTCATAAATATAAATTTGTACACACATAAGCAAGGATTATGAAACTTGGTGTATACATTGGTCATACTAAGGGGATGTACAATGTACCCTCAACTCCTCAATTACAGAGTTACTGCCCTTTGTTAAAATTTAGTGTCTGGAGCTTAACTTAGGTTGCATTGAAGCTAGGATAATGAAAACTTGTTTATACATTGATCATACTAAGACAATGAGCAGTGTACCATAATCAGGGCCCACAACCCCTTAATTAATCAGTTATTGCCCTTTGTTAAAGTTATCTTATCCAGAGCATAACTTTGCTTGCATTTAAAGTAGGATAACAAAACGCAGTGTATTCATTGATCATACGAAGACAATGTGCAGTGTATCAATGTTAGGGTCCTTTGTTAAATTTTTGTGTCCAGAACATTACTTTGCCTAAATTTAAAGTAGGATTTTGAAACATGATGTTTACAAAAGTCTCACAAAAGCAAGGTGCAGTGTAGCTTAGTCAGGATCCTTGACCCCTCAGTACTTAGTAACTGCACTCTGTTAAAATTTTGTGTCATGAGCATAGCTCTGTTGCATTAAAACTAGGATAATAGAACTTGGTGTATACATTGGTAATGCTATGAGAATGTGCTGGTAACCCCTTAATTACAGAATTTTTGTCCATTGTTAAAATTTTGTGTTTAATGAAGTCATTGTTGGGAGGTATTCATCAGTTTCACTGATACACTTTTTTTCTTTGTTTTTACAATGTATTTTGTCCATATACCACCTTTCTCAGTCTTAAACCAATATCTTTGAAATCATTAATATTACTTGACATGGGACAGGCATATGATATTCCACCTCAAGGTAGTCTTGTTTCTTTCTTATTTTTCTTTAATCCCCAAACAATTAAACCAAGTGGGACTTAAGTTTTTCCCACCGTCCATCCATTCCTGCATCTGTAACAAAGTTTATCAGTGCTGTAGCGGCTTCGTTCACACAAGCATCAAAATATCTTAGACAAGTTCCACTTTCAGGGTTGTCGGGTCAAAATCAAGGTCACATATTATAGTTGATATAGTGATTATGAATCATGTAGACATGACACTGACAGGTAGGTACTATAAATATCAAACAAAACAAAATTATTGAATATGATTAAATGGGTGTATCATGTATCGATTTTTGGTGTACTTTTGTTTAATTTACTTCATAAAACCTTCATTCAATTTTTAAAGCTTCATGAATTATATCAATGTTAAGTTAAAGTCTTATATAAAAATGGTCCATCAGTTGTAGCTGAATCATGTTTAGTCTGAAGTGTAATTATTTTTGTGTTCCAGGTGAGTAATGCAGGGCTAGCGGGCCTCTTGTTACAATCAGTAACAAGAGGCCCACTAGGCCTGCATTGCTCACCTAGAATACAGAAAATACAATGGTCAAAGCACTGAGTCCCTGTAATATACTGCACAGTATTTGTACCATGTACATATTTGTATGTTGTGTTATTTTAGAGGAGATCCGCATCATTCGCCAGCCTGCTGAGAACAAACAGCTAGATGAAGGAGACAAACTGGAGCTACAAGTGGAGGCTGTTGGGTTTCCATACCCTCGTTACCAGTGGTTCAAACTCCTTAGTAATGAATATGATGAGATTGATGGTGCAAAGGACTCAACGTTCAAGATCAACAGAACATGGTTTGTTTTATCCGTGCTTATAACATATTAACCTCCTTAGTAAGGATGATCTTTCCCCCCTACAGCCTGAATGTTTTCATAAACTCCTGTGAAATAGTATACCAATATACAAATAATTCCTTTTAAAATCTAATATTTATGTTTGTTTCTAATCATTGTACGATAAAATTTAATCTTCCATCTTAAAATCCTGAAACACAAGTACAGCAAGTTTTAATTCCACTTTTGTGAAGAGTCAATTGCTTGATGTGCTTTGACCAATAGCTGAGAACACTGTTAATGGAAGGAAAAAGTAGTTAAGGGATAGTATTTGTGAATGTGAAAATTTTACACTGGTCAATGATTTTTTTTATGAGAAAATCTTGATTATTAAGGAATGGTTTGTGTAAGAAAACTTTGATAATTAAAGATTTTTTTGTGAAAAGCTTATAAAGATAAAGAGATGGTATATGTGATAAACCTGTTTGAGCATGGTATTTGTAAGGGAAACTTGATAGATATTAGTGACTGAATAAAAAAAATTATTAAAATAGAAGACAGATGTTATAGTGAAACCACTGAAATGAATTTTAATTTCCACTTTTTTAACACAGTTTAGGTGACAGCGGATTATACTGTTGTCGCCTGTCTAATGGAGGAGGTAGTGATTTCTGCAAGTTTACTAAGCCATCCTCAGTCAAGGTACTGTACAGGTCCACAAACACTACAAAAATACCAGATCCTGAGAAGGAACCAGTTGATGGAGCCAAGAAAACGTAAATTTGTATAAATAATTAACCAACTCCTCAGAAATGCTGTGACATTATTAACGGTTTCTTGAGTTTCATTTTTTTTTTAAAATTTGTTGATATTGTTAACATTCAATGTAGTTGATTACCTGAATACTATTTATTTACATAAATCAAGTTTTAACAAAATAACAGTTCCCTGAAAAGAGAAATTTGATGCCCACAAAAAGAAATGATTTTCGTTTAGGTTAGGTTATAAATTACCACAAAAGATTTTGAGAACATGGAGGAAATGAAAAATTCCGTTGCAGTCAATTTGTCTGAAATATCTAGAAATTAAACAGTTAAATGGATTCTGTGGTCGTTCATTTTAAGGGAGTTACCAGTATGTCTCTTTACGAAATCCTGACTCTTGTCTTATCTAGAAAACTCCTACACTATCCATTTCCTTTGGTTTACAAGTCAGTAGATACAAGCCATTTACATCTGCTTTTTATCTTGTTAATCCTCTAAATTGTGCAGATGTGTGTGTATATGTGTATATTATGAATCATTTACAAAGTCACAACGATTTTTATTTTTTATAAAGCTCTTAAAACATATTGATCTTGGCTTAAATGAAATTTTCTTTGTGTTTTATGTTGCCAGTTTTCATCACAGATGTACATTTTGAATAACATTGTTAAAGCATTGTTGTTGGAAACATACTTTTATAGCTTGGGACTTTCAGCTCAGGTTGCCTAAACAAAATTTCTGTATTGTAAAGAGAGCTTATAATATTGTTTCTATGAATCAATACACTGTAAAAATTTGCAAGGGAACATTTGTGAGGGTGTGTAGGTGCATGTGCTGTCTCTTGTTTATTTAATGAAAATAAAAGTAAAAAGTTAGAGAAAACAGAAAACTTTATTTTTTATTTAAACCCAACTTATTAGCTTCGGTAATATTTCTAACAAAGACATAATTATCAGGCAATCATATTTGTTCTCTTATGTTTATTGTACAGCCATATTGCCTCAAGTTTTGACTGAACCAGAAGACAGATATGTACACCTGCGGGACAAAGTAGAGCTCCACTGTGTAGGAATTGGTCATAAACCACTGGTGTATGAATGGCTGAAAGATGACAAGGTCGTTGATAGCAACAAAGATTTCGGAAAGTTAACGGTACTTTTTACATGAAATCTTGAAAGAGTACAACAGCTTTGTGTCCCTTTCTATGGTACAAATTTAAAAAAAAAAAGGGGGGGGGACTCGGAGTCATCCAGTGAAACACCACATAATTCCAAAATAAATCAATTCTATCCATGGTTTGGATAATACAAAGCAAATTTTATGGATGGTACTTTAAACAAAAGCTGAGGTCCTGGGGAAAGGTAGATTTATGTGTTTTTTTTTATGTCTAGACTTCTGCAAGTCTAACAAACATGAGAATTATAATGTTTTCTCATATTTTCTGTTTCTTAGATTTCTGATGTCACTATGAAGCATCAAGGGACATACACATGTGTGATAAGGAACCAGTTTGGGAAAACACGCAGCAGGGAGGTAACTCTGCAAGTAAACCCAGAGATTGTTATTCGAGGTAATAAAGGCATGGTACATTTGTTAATAGTGAAAATCATTTGCTGCTATTGTCATATTGTTCTTGGTTATTTATAAATTCAATATTATTTTGACAGAGAAAGAATACAAACAATTGTAAGGGTATGATTGGGGTTTTCTGATCTTTACAAGTTTCATTGACTTGGATTTACCTGATGGTTATTTTGTGTGAAACATTAACAGACATAACTATTTGTCATTATTTTGTTGTAGATTACCGAAGTGAAGGTAAGTTAAATCATTACATTTCATGAAAATGTTACCTAATAACAAGACAGAGGAAAATTAGAAGTAATTGTGCTGTTTTCTTCTTGAACTCTCAGTTTTGTTATACTCAATAATAATTGTATAGAAATCTTCAAGTTTCTTAAATACAAAAAATTGTGTCATACTCCTTTATATATTTAATTGAAAAAATCCTATGTCATGAAATGACACACAGAGACATTTCTTTATGACCTTTTTCATCCTTTTAGGAATTGACATCATACTGAACCCAAAGACATGTAGTGTGGAGGTAGGAGGCAATTGCTCATTTTCAGTCGAGGCCACATGTAAATATCCACTGACATACAAGTGGTACAAAGACCACCAAGCCACAGGTAACAATATATGATAATGTACCCTGCATTGAACGTAAGGGCACCTATTACTTCTAACACAAAGTAGGGCAATGGCTGATTACAAGACAATGAAATAGCATTGGTTTGAAGGATTGAATTAAAAATAAACATTAGTTCAATGGAAATGTTTTAAATGAATGTCTTCAACATATCCTCTATATATTGTATCAGTCTATTGTGGACTTCTCTCTGTTTTCTCGAGAATTCAAAGATTGATTGAAAATTCACATTTTTGATAAAAATTGTCTTATGAATGTTATTCAGAAATATTTTTGAATACTTAGTGAAATCCACTCAGCTATATCACATGGTATGGGAAGTGTTTAGATTGACATAGTACATTTATGTGCACAGATTGTGTGGAAAAAGAGCTGAAATTTTACAATCTTCAGGACCATAATCAGCAGGGAACCTACCAATGTGTTGTGACTTGCCCACAAACCAAAGAATCTGTCCTTTCTCATCCTGCATGTCTGTCTATCAAGTCTCCTGCAAACCTCAACCAATCAGAATATAGAGGTATATATATTGTAACATTCTCAGCCAATCAGAATATAGAGGTATGTATATTGTAACATTCTCACCCAATCAGAATATAGAGGTATGTATATTGTAACATTCTCAGCCAATCCAGGAACTGACTGACCATGAGGTATCTTTTTTGTAATATTTTCAGTCTATCAGAGAACAGAAGTATGTGTTTTATAACATTCTCAGCCAAATCTCTTACTGGTAAATCAATGTTCAATATTTAACCTAATGCATGTGCTTTCATATTGCACAAAAAAAAATACCTCCTTCACTATTAATTTTAAAATCTTTGGTGGCAGGCTGGATCATCATACAACATTGATTCCAGCACCATTTACCTGATTGATAACTGCACCAATTACATGATATAGTATAAACATGAAAACCTTTATTACTAATTTTTACCGGGGTCAAGATTTTGTAATTATCCCACATGACATTAGGGATTCTGGAACCTTTAAAATACTGATGAATTGAATATGAATCCTATTCAAAATATGATGAAATATCATATGAAAATATGAAATCTCTTAATCTGATTGGCAAGGACATGCATTTCATTTTTTGATTTTGTTTTTTGATGAGGTATTTCTTGCATTTTGTTATTATAACTTTATTTCCATTACAGCAACAGACAAAGTTGCCTTGTTAATAGGAAATTATGACTATATGAATGAAACAACTCTGAAAGCACCAAGCAAGGATGTTGCAAAGATGGCAGAAGCTTTCAAAAGCCTTGAATTTAAAGTGGTTTCACTACTGAACTTAACGAAACAAGAAATGAACGCAGCCATTCACGAATATTGTAATTTGCTAGGAAAGGGTGTGTATGGCGTTTTCTATTTTTGTGGCCATGGTTTTGAGGAGAATGGACAATGCTACTTTGTTCCTCCTGATGCAAGAAGTGGTTACACAATTGAGGATTGTATTTCGTCAAATGACGTTCTTCGAGCCATGCAAAAGTCTGATCCAGCCTTAGTAACACTCATCCTGGATATATGTAGAATAAGGTAGGTCTGTTTTATCCCCACACCATTTTATTATGAGATGCAGGTGGAAAATATAGTGTTACATATTGTATACAGTTTTCAGCCATTCCATCTCATCTTGTCACTGTGCATTCCATTATTTTGAGTTCCGTTCCAAATCAATGTTAACAAATCAATATCTTCAGAACCTGTCAACAAATTTTCTTCATATTTATCCCCAAAATATCACATCAAGCTCTACACTTCAGCAAGGTGATCATCAAAGTTAATGGGTCAAAGGTCACATTTGACAGTGTCTGCTAATTTGCCAAACAATGATACTTATATGCATGGGAGTGGGGCATCCATGTCTTATACATGTTTTCTACTTCATAATCTTCATATGGGGTCACATCTGTACTTTTTTGGAAAGAAAATCACATTTGGATATAAGGATAAGATATGTACTTGTTCTCTAGAAAAAGACATTAGAATATAGTTGATCTTGCTAGAAAAGCTTCATTTCATGGCAGATGTTATGGTTAATGTTGTTTGTTTGTAAACATATGCCATTTTCTCCAAAATAATAAAGTAATACCACACCTTGGTTTGCACCAAATTCTGTACAGATAAACATTTAATATGCTTCTTCGTGTACTCTCACAATATTGTTCACTTTTGCTGAGTGTTAAATTAGCCTTAAGAGACATTAAATACATATTTCAGCTTAAAATTGAAACTTTTGCCAACATTTACCTATTGGCTAAAGAGCAAAGCAGATGAAGGTTTACCCATGTACAGTATGTCCATATGTGTATTTTATGTGTTTTAGGTACATTTGTACCTGATAAGGAATGTTCATTTCAGTATTAATTACTGTGCAAATTTGTATCAATAGTGTATTTTATGTGTTTTAGGTACCTTTGTACCTGATAAGGAATGTTCATTTCCATATTAATTACTGTGTAAATTTGTATCAATAGATTTATCAAGGAAGAATATATTTACCGTATTAGATTTTCACTGAGTGGTATCTTTACATATTCAGTGAGAACTCTCAAAGGTGTGAATGTTTTGGATAAATATATTGTGAATAGAACCCTATTAATTTAGAAATGTTTACTTTCTATTGCAGAAATAAAATTCCAAGTAAACCACCTTCAAACACAGGAGGTGTCACTGGTCGGGAGAGTCCTAGTGGGCCTGATGCAAAGGGAAATTGTGTATCCATCTACGCCACGTATGTAAATCCATCTGTCAATCATAATTTTCTACTTAAAACATTTAAAATGTTTGAGACACTATATTGTCACCTTATGTGTTATGATAACACAATCAAAAGAGATACAGGGTATTGTAGAAAATATTGTTTGCAAAAATACTATAGTCACCTTATCTATCCTGTTACAAGGCAAAAGTCACTTTATGTTGGTTAATGAACATGAGGTAAAATTTGTACAGAATTGTTCTGTTTTCCAGGTGTAAAAGGTAAATTTAACGTTTAATTCATAGGTTATAAGCTTTTTGAGTATTTGCAGTGTTGACAACCAAATCATGATATCTATTACAAAATTAATATGTGTTAATTGTACGCGGGAAAATATGGTGAATAACAACACATTATATACCAATCCATGCATCATCAAAGAGTGCATCTTTCACAAAACAAGACACCACAGGCCTTTATGGTTAGGTAACAGAAAGAGGTCAGAGGTCATATCACTATGAGGACGGACTAGATTTCCTCTAAAATGATGAAGTATGATTCGAAAGTCAATATGGCCGATGCAAGGAAATGTATCTCGTTCATGTTTAATGTGAAATCAAATTTAATGAACATTTCCATATTTAATATACATGTTTTTTTTAAATTCTTGTCTTGTAATAGGAGCGAGGGAATGTTTGCATATGAAGACCATGAGAATGGAATTTTGGTGAAATATTTACAGAAGTACATCTATCAAAACAAGCCTGTGAGCTATTTCTTCAATGATGTTATTGATGGTAAGTGAATTACAATTTTACTGAGTGAATTATTTTTATAAATCACTATTGTAACAAAGTAAATCTTTGTTTCAATTATTGTTCTTTAATCAAAATATTACAGAATTACAAAATGCTAAAGTTCTGATGAGATAAATAAGTCATTGATATGGTTTTATAAGCTCATTGATTACAAGCTCATCAGTTAAAGCTGTTTCCTATAAGTCAGTACTAACACATATGTGTCGGCATCCCACCTCAAAATTTGCGTTTTTGAAAGTTCATCCAACATGATACCTCTTTCTTTTGATATATACAATCATGAGAGGTCTTAGATTAATTTTATGACAAAATTTTTGCTGATTTATTTTTTATTCATTGTGAATTTTACCATGTTTTTGAGTTTGTTTGCTGTTGTGTCCAATTCTCCTCCAATTCACCTTGTGCAATACTGAAACATCTTTCATTGGCGACTGCTTGTGTGTTTGGCAATCATTGGTCATTGCACTTGTTGTAGCATGGAAACAGGATCCACAGCACTGCAAGTTACAGAAACCGGAATTCAGGTCAACTTTGTTGGACTGGGGCAGATCCCTCTCAGACCGAATATTGACCATTGGTCACACACAGGCTTACCATGCTCGGACACAGATGTGGTTAAAAGCTCATGGTAGGACCTTTTACACCAACATAACAAGATATACCTCCCATACATCTGAACCTGGCACAATAGTGCAAAATCAGTACCTTTCTTTATCACAATCTCTGATAGAATCTGTTAAACCCAGTGTTATATGTGCTTTGGAAAACATGGCATTGAAATTATGAAATTATTATTGACACTTCGATTAATTATGATCATATATTACAGAAAAAACATCTTGCCTGATCTTTTGTAGAAAAATGGTAGAAGCAAAATGAAAGCTGAAAGTTTTGATTTAAGACAAAGAGCATTAATGATACTATAATATCCAACTTTTCAGAAACTCCGAAACCTCAGGAAATAAGAATACCAGAGCTTGGAAACTTAGTGGTGCAGCTCACATTCCAGATGGAATTTTCCAATGTTCTTCACTTATTTGCTGCCATCAAGAATCCTGGAAACACAGTCAAGTCTATAGCTTTTCCCTATGACTGGCCAAAGGTGTGCTTAAAGCTGTTTTTATTTTAATATAAACCATCAGATCATCTTAATTTGGGTTCCTCTTTTGATTTCATTTTCAAGGTGTCAGTTTTTCACAATTCAAGGTGTCAGTTTTTCACGATTTTAAACCGTTTTGGAAAAATAGCAAAAAACAAAACCTCTTGGAGAACACAGACTTATAGTATACTGGTCTTTTATTTATGTGTCAAGCTCATTAACCTGAAATGAAAGGAAAAAGTGAAATAAATTTATCATCTCTAAGAAATGAACTGATGAGGTTTGAAAGAATATGGTACTGTATTGTACATCCACAGCTTACAGAGATTACATTTAGTATGAAGGTAACATCTAGGTGTTACAGAAAAGGCCCCTAACAACCAAGAATAAAAGCATTGTCATAGTTAGAAAGATTGTTAAAAATTGACCAGTTCTGGTATATGTATTTCATTCCAGGAGTGTATGTCTCAGTGACAATAGTCACAAGACTTTTGAAAGAAAAATTTCTAATTTGATTTTTGTTTTTTGTAGAGCATATCCATGATGGGAGACATAAAAAATGTGACGGACACTTGCAGTAGGCCAGGTGATAAACTGCCGTGTGCTGTCACCAAGTCAACTTTTCAAGATTTACAGAAACTTAGGGTGAGCATTCAAGTATATGTAACTGATTATTTAAATCAGTTACATGACAAAAGCGACGTGCTCATCTGGTCAGAAGGGGAATCAATTTTCTATATATGGTGGGTCTCAGTCTCCTGGGGCGGGAGGGGTTGGGCTCAGTAGCGGAAATAGGGCAAATCCTTGAAAATCTGCCTTCTTCTATAAGAGTATCGGGATTCTATCCCAATTTGGTATGAAGTATCGGGGATAAACAATGCTTTTCAGCTCCCTGGTGTGGAAGGGGCGTGGCTCTATAAGGGAAATATAGAAAATTTGTTAGGATTTCTTGTTTTGTGGGAATAACTTGCTGTTGTTCAGACTCTTGCTGAAGTATACCTGGTTAAAAGGCCAAGTTTTATATAAACCAGGATTCTGTCACCAGAAATGTGGGACACAAAAGGGGAATGTTGTAAGTTCTTAAAATTTCGTTTTACATACAAGAATATTGCACCAAGATATGTATGCAGCAATTTTATAAACAGTTGATCTGACTTTGATTTGACCACAAGGCAGAGACCTAATAGGGAAGTTATCTCAGTATTAGATATTGATTGTCATTAATGACTTGATAGACCTGTGATCTATATAATATTTGATGTAATTACTTTGCATTGTGATATGATTGAAAAGTATACAATATTGATGACTTATTTGACCAATTACTTTTGTGACCTATATATTAACCATTAAAATAACTAGCAAGATGTGGAAATGAAAAAATATACAAATTCATTCATAGGTATTTGACCTTTGAACTTTGACGATCTATATATTGACCTCTGACATATCATTTCAATTTTAGAATATGGGCACTTGAAAAAGGATGTTTTGTTAAGGAGATATTAATAGAAATAAAAAGTTGGCAGGACAGGAAGGATTGCTTGACCATAAGTATCCATTTCTTTATCAGAGAACTTTGAAATAGTAAAATAATTGAATGAACAACATTTCAAATAACTTCATGTTATGTATCTTGCTTTGTTACCTGATCCCCTCTTGTATGCAGCAGTATTGTTGTTTGTTAATAGCCCACCAGCTATGTGGCCATTGGCCTCTGTAGATAAGATGTGATGAGATAATAATCAAACAAGCACCATAATTTACGATCAGAAAATAAACAACAAGAAAATACCAACATGTCAACATAACCCAAACTCAAATTCAATAAAACTAGGACAAAATATGAACAGAAGAAAGATTTACACGGAAACGTGAAAAAGTACAAGGATAATAATACTAGGTGTTTCAGAAGAGTAAGTATCTTATGCTTCATCGAAGTCTTAATCAATCCAAGTAAGTAATGTCATATTCTCAAATGAGATCAAGGTATACAACAATGGAACCAACAGGTAAACTAACACACATCAAGTATGTCCAGCTTCCTATCATACAACGGAACCAACAGGAAAACTAACACGCATCAAGTATGTCCAGCTTCATATTTCACAATTTTCATCATTCTGAATCTTTTGAAACCCTGTGTTACAAGGTTTACATCAGATGACAACTTCCTGCATGAAAACCATGATAATGGGAACAGGCCCTTGAATGTCAAAGTAACTGCTACATATAAACACCAATGGTTGGAGATGTGTTTGATATATTTCTTTTGTCCAATGACCCAGGGGACACCAAACCATGGTATGTTACTGTCATCATTATGAATGATTCCATCTTCAAATTTTTGTGAATACATTTCTAATATGAATATTTTTTTCATTTACAGGACAACCTGGAGTTAAAAATTGTTGTTAAATACTGTTTGAAGGACCAAGTGGACCAACACCACTTGACAGAGAAAATAAACCTCGGTCTACCACTTATTGCTAATCTTCGCCTTTGCAACAGAGTCACAGAACCTATAGAACACACAGATGACTCCTAGTCTCAGTGCTTAGTGAACATAGATTATCCAAAACCAGAGAAATCAACAACACTAAGCTTGTATGGAAATAATTTGTCATCAAAGTTAATGCTAAGCTAAAGCAGCATCTATATAAAACACAAAAATGAAGAAAACAACAAGTTGTAGATAAACAAAGATTCCTATCTGTACTATTTACCATTTGGCACACATATCTGTATACAGAATGTAGTTAGAACTATATTCATTTAGAAAAAACTATTCTGAATATTATTATAATTTATGTAATTTAAAGTGGCTTTCTGGCAATTTCGTGAAAATTTGGCAGAAAGGAAACCAGCAATTGACAATGATTATGATTAACAAATACTTCATGATTTATATTTCAATTACCAATCAAATTTTGGTAAATTTGAATTAGGTATCTAGTTATATTGAGAGAAAAAGCTCATCTTACCAGATGGAGTATGTCCATGTGGAAACTGCTGAAACATGGAACGGCCAGTAAGTCTGAGGTCACTATGACACAGTAGGACCAGTTATAATTAGTCTCAGCATTACATTGATCTAAAAGCCTACTACTGTTGTAAGGGGACAGTGGAGTACAACACGGCAGGACAGCGGAGTACAACACGGCATTACAGTGGAGTACAACACGGCAGGACAGTGGAGTACAACACGGCAGGACAGTGGAGTACAACACGGCAGGACAGTGGAGTACAACACAACAGGACAGTGGAGTACAACACAGCAGGACAGTGGAGTACAACACAGAAGGACCAGTTATAATTAGTCTCATAACATTGACCATCTAAAGGTCTTTTAGTGTTGTAATGGGACAGTAGAGGACAAAATGTATATATTTTGTAATAAGCCCATGTCTTGTAATCCTTTTCAATATGAGTCCAGCATGTAAGACACTGGTCCACTGAACCACATACATGCTAAATACAGCTGTACTGGTTAAATTGCTCTCATACTCCACAATCTACTACTGTATACTAGTACTAGGATTGCTTTGTCCCGTACTATTTTCACCTTTGTACCATTACACACATTGCCCATTAACAGTTATATGAAAGGGTTTAAAAAGGAGTGACAAATTTCTACCCCACTTTTAAATTTACACCACCCCACTTGAAGCTTGTGGATTGAGTTAAACATTGTTTATTATTTGTTAAATATTAAAGTACTTCAACATAAGGAGTGAAGGAATTAGTGTAACTGAATGTAGACAGTGTATGTTACATTGTAGTAAATATTTTTTGAAAACATATTAGAGCCATGTCATTTAATTTGTACCTATGAGATGCATGGTTGTAAGCTCTCATTTCCAGGTACATCTGTGTCATAGATTTGTGACTGTCAATATCCAATATTGTGTTGTTTTTGAAATGTACAGAAGATCAGCTGTGATATTTAGGCCAAAAATCAAATGTCAAACATTCACTATGGTGTTGTGTAAATAATTTACTTGAAGATCAACTGAGGTATTTACCACTAAGGCCCACGCGCCTCTTGTTAAACATTGTGGTACTGATTTAAAGAAATCGTTTTTTTTTTTACATTTTAAGGGGTATTTCTGCAACCTTATAATACCATTAAGTCAACACATTGACAATGTCAAGATTTAAAAAGCATGGAATCTTTCTTTTGGTTATGTTGTAGAATATGACCTAAATTACTGTTGATTAACCCCTGCCCAGTAATAAGCTACATGTAGGTTCACAGGGTACAGCTAGGGTCGTTTAAATTCAGGAAACAAGTTTTCGTTTTTCCTTAATGCTCACTTTTGAATTTGGAGTCTGAGGTAATGTGTTGTATTGTGTAATGTCTGCTCCCTCAAACAACTCCAAACACCACCCCTTTCTTGAATTAATGTAGGTTGAACACAATAAGTGAACAGTTTTAATGGTGACAATAAGGATTTATTTACATTGATCATGATATTATACAAATTGTTCACGATATTATTAAAAAAATGTATATCATCAGTCTAACAGACTGGTATGATGGAAGAGGCTCACTTACATGTTAACATAAAAAAATGCAACAAATCATGAAATCACAAGACCAAGCACAGAAGCTTGTTTTTATTTACAAGTAAAAATACAATTTCAATTTCCGTACCAGAGATCATAAAGCATACATATGTAAGCATGATTGGTAATGCTGGATTTGAATATCATTTTTACTGATCAATAGAAACAAACTCCTGGAGCTACAATTTTTTGTCAATATGGATACCTGATATTAACTTAGATATTAATTTAACTTAATATTTAGAAAATAGATTTCCTATCTCTGAGGATTCTTCCTATTGCTAGGCATTGTCTCACTGGTGGATGTCAGTGTTCAGCAGACTTGCTGTGGGTAGGTTGGTTACAGATTTTCCATCTCGATGACTCTTGCTATCACTGAGCCACGTCTCTTTAAAAGGTCAGTGTCCTGTGGACTTATTTCCTGATATTATTCAATACATGTTCAGATGAGCTGGCCAATTTTAATTTCTTAGATTGATGATTTTCTAGAGATAAATGACAAATAAAATTTCCTAAAACAATTTTTTTTCATTTTCTGCTCCATTATATAACTGCTATTTTGTAGAAAAGACTCAAATAATATAGCTGTGATTGAAGCCATACTATATGCTAAAATGTTATTTCTGTTGATTTTAAAACTACAATGTATTATGTAATTCAATCCATAATTATCTAAACCCTTGTATTTGTAAAAGCGTGTTTGAAATGTAGAGCCATTAACTTTCAGAATTTCAACAAGTTTCTTTCAACAACAGATTTACACCAGTCTAGGTTTAAGAGCAAGATCCCATGATCCATACAAATGCATTATAGAGGCATGTAAAGTCCTCAATGTGCTCATACAATACATGTACAGCTTCAAGACATTTTGTGGGCCAATGATTATCCCATTGATAACAAATTTATAAAGATTCATAATCATTGCCCACTTTGAATTTATGATTTCTTCATAGCCTTCATATATTTTGATATTTTGAATAAAAATGTTTTAGGAACCTCAGTTTAGTTGTGAATTATGTTGTCCTATTTCATTATTGAACAATGTCAAATTTACAGTCATTTTTATACTGTATAATATGTCCATACATGTGTGGTTAATAAGTGCTGAAAGTTTTTAAAGATATGTGATTTAAATTTAATAAAAAAAGAAATTGTCGAAAAGGAACCTTTGGTTTAATTGTTTTCTTTACAAAAGAAGAAATGTATAAGATGGAATATATGTTTCTTCAATATCATATTTACAATTTATTTACACAGATGTCAATTTTCAGGTTCAGAGATTGTAATTTTTTTGGTGGGATTATTAATATAAATTAATGTTCCTGTCAGTTTGTCTGTAGACAATTTTTAGAACTGCCCACTCCTTCCAGGGTTATGCATGGATTTTGATGATACATATAATGTACTTTACACACGTTACTCATGGCAGGTTCTTGTGTCTCCCTGGATGCCATTAGGTGTTGTCATTTCTTACTAGAACTATAGCTTTCGTGCTACAAAGTGAATCGCCTTTGTGATTCTGGCTAGTTATCTCAGAAAAAGTTGTATTTTATACAGGGATCTGACAAACTTTTGAGGTTACAGGGTCAAAGGTCATGGATGCATTAGTACAGTACAAAAAATGGCAACTATCTCGGTAATGGTTGGTACGGAGATGCAGGCTACATGGTGTAAAGCTCCCAAAGTCATCAAGTGAAAAGTCACAATGCTGGAATGGTCAATGACTTCAGAAATGGTAGGTATATTATACAGGCCTATAAATGGATTTTGATGAAACTTGGCACACTGGTTATATACGACATGCTCTCGTGTCTTGATGAATGCAGTCATGTCATGTCAATAGAAGAGTTATGGCCCTGGAAGATATTTGAAACAGTACTAGTGCCAATTGCTTATCAACACTTGAATTTTGTTTTTGTATTACACATGTATAAACATAAAGTATCACAGGCATTGAAGTAAACTTCACTTCACCCTAGGAGTTCAAAGTTCACAGATGCATTTTATTTCTGAAATGACAAATTATCTTAGAGATGGTAAGTACAGTATATTTCATATATGAATATGCAAGGCACAGTTACAAACATCCCAGGTCATCAGGTCAAAGGTCATACAAATTTCAGGGTGAAATGTCTGGGATGAATTACAGTACTTAAAAAGGTCTACCTGGTAATTGTCTTGGAAACGGTAGATATTTTGCATGTATGCAAATACACATTACAGTTTTGTGTGTGTAGGCAACGATAAGAGGGACATAGTGATAAAATTTTGTGTCATGGGGTCAAAAGTCAAGTGTCCCAGATTCATCACAGTGCTACATTCAATGACTTACGTACTGGAAGCATCCTGTCAGTTTTGCTTGTTTTTTTGTTACATTTGCTTACTTGAGTCCTTCTATCCTTTTCTTATGCCCATAAAAAATTCAGATGAGAAAAATTATGGTTTATGGCATTGTCTGTCTGTTCATCATTAACATTTATTAATCCAGAGATCTTGATAATCTTTTTCAATCTTGGTTTATATGTCTTAATCGCCATCACATGTGTTTTCCAGAATGGTAGTTAGATTTAATTGAAGATGACTTGGAATTGGGACAGTCATTTATTATTCCGCTCTGCTGTACACTTGTTTTAAATCCTGCAATATTTTACTGTGTTTATCATCATGTAGTTTTGATTGTGTATAATTAGTTTGAAAAGCCATTTTCTTGTTTATTGTACCTTCGCATCTGAAAGTCCAAGATGATTAAAATGTTATTTTATATACGTATATGTTAATGCCCAAATTTTGTTCACTGAGGAATTTTAATAAAATGTCAGACAATTAAATAAAAAAAGACCATATTTTATCTCATACGATTGTAACAGAGGTAATTATTTCAATGCCTCTGCCAGGAATCGAATCCGGGACCCCTGGCTTACTAGTCTGACGCTCAACCAATTGAGCTAAAGAAGTTCTCCCTAGCCATGTGGTATATTGCGGCTAGTATTTTACCAGGTGTAAATACTCCCCCTCCAGGAAATAATTCGTCCTCGAGTTTCCAGGGGTTATAGCAATGCTGGCGGGTACTAAGTACTATTCCCGGGTCCCTTCATGGGCACCAAATGTAACAGTCTCTCATAAACCACAAGAAGACGTTGAGGGTTCAGTGTAGACAATTTATTTCAGTAAATAAATAAAAAAAAAAAACCTACAAAACAAAACCTGACATGCATTACTCACACACCCATACCCGTCACATATAGCAAAGAACAATAACTCTTACCTACTTATATTGCAATTAAACAAATTTCTCTCACTTATACATAGTGATAAGATATAAATTGTATTTTAAAATGTACAATTTATTACTAAACAAATGATTTTACAACTATTTTCCATTTAAGAATGAAAAGATAGTTGCAATCAATTAAATTTGATTTAACACCTATACCACAAAGCCTTTACACCATTTATATATAATATGGGTATTCTCATACATTACATAGATATGTATCACTCTATGGAAGTGACTTCAATCAGCGTAAACATAGTTAAACACACTCACCCTACGAGATACTGCAGGGGTTTACACGCTGGTTTTTAATCCTACCATTGCCAGGGACAGGACAAAAGGGTGTGTTTACATCTAAAAACAATATTCACATAAAACGCAAGACTATGGAGTTATTACTTATTTTACAATTAACTTATGTGTGAAACTATATAACTATTACTTTTGCTTATTTCTGGACAAAGCATGAGTGATAATTGCCAGTTACAAAAGTTAATGATTTAAGACTGTTATAATTATAACTTTTATATTTAAACTATTATTTGAACATTATACAGAATGAGTCTACACTAAATGTAAGAAAGTTTAAGGCACGATAATTTACCAAAACTAGTATAAAAACATAACTTACCACCAAATGCAGCCTAAACATACACCTTTACAATAAGAGGTGCAACTCTAAGAGTGCCAGGTGTGGAAGTGACTAGAATTTAGAGTCAGGTGAAAATCAAGAATTCAGAGTGAGGCGAAAAGCCAGAACTTCATGTTAGTCTCGTCCAATCAACTTCGCTATAGTCAGTCACATGTCAATATATGAATATAATTAATTAGCTCACCTGTTCACAAACATTAAGGTAGCATACACCATCGCCTTACAGGAATAACCTGAAGGAATTCTGTTCCAATATTTATTTAATGTTCAAACACATTATTTACAAGATTACGTGTTCTGACAGAATAACTGGAACTGCCACACGATCTTGAATTCCAGGGTTGTTACTTAGCATCATCAGGTCACCATAACTGTTTTTTATAAAATCCTGTCAGCTGATTCATTTTAGAGGCTTCATATGAAAATTCAATAAAAAATAAAAACATGTTATGAGCAGATTTTATAATTTTGTTGATTATTTTCAAAATGGAAAACAAACATATAATGTGGAAATAGGTCATGCAGAAAAATTTCATATAAAGCTACTAGAATGAATGCTGACAGGATTTTATAAAAACATTCCTTGAGGTATTTTGATAAAACACTTATGATACATTAATATCTCAAAGAATCAAAATACCATGTTTGTAGGGTCAATGTCACAATCTCTATTTTTGAAAATCCTTTTCAGTGCTCTAGCAGCTTCATTTTAATCAAATTTATATACACAGCCATCTTTAATTTTCCATCAGTCAGGGTTGAAAAGTGAGGTGTTTTAAATTGTATTCCTTAATAAATGACCTACAAGTATAACACACTTACACATGTATTAAAGTTCCTATTTGTAAACAAGTATAAACAAGTTAGGTAACTCTATGCACTATCATGAATTAAAACTGCATATTTCACAAATGCATTATTTTGTATTATTCAAAGTTCAGAATAACATTTCATAAAAAAAATCATGTTAAAAAACATACAGAGTGGAAATAAGTCTTGCCGGAAAATTTTCAGAAGGATAAGGTAAAGAGTTAGTTTTCTTTTTACTTATTGAGGCAAGAAAGATGCTAGCAGCATTCCATAGTAACTCGGATGGAAATTTGCATACAATCTTGGTATCCATGACGACAGTTGACCAGCTTCCAACATTCCATGAAGCATAACCATCCCAGTGTATCCACATGACAGGGCTTTGTCCACATATTTGGCTGCTGTGGTCAGTAGGCTTGTACTGTCCATAGTCTCCGCCCAATGTCCACATGCCTATATCAGACAATATTTAATGGTATAAATTTTGATTAATTTCTGAACCAGTTAAGTTTACTGTAAACCTGTGTGGGAGATTTAATCCTCTCATATGAAGACAGAAATTCAAAATATTTTTATTGTAGTTTAGCATAGCACAGTATCTTTAGTGAGATTTAATTCCTGCAAACTTGGCATGGAATGAGGCAAAATCACAGAAGGTAACGGCCATGAAAGAATTGGATTGCTGTAACCTAAGTGAGTACACATGTAAGGAATATATATACATTGTATAAATCAAAGAAATCATTTCATCATTATACAGTACTAGCATCATCTGTACCAAAAATCGGCTTTCAATACAGCGTGCATATAAATGTCCTATTTAGAAACTCTATCTGTGTAGCTGTATCAGCATAAACAGACCTGATCAATCGGTTCAGCAGCATCAGAGTAGCCATATGGTCCACTTTTCTGATGAGTATGGGCAAGATCAGCACTTATTATCACAACCACAGTCTCTTCCAAGTCATGGAGATAAGTGTACAGGTGACAACCTGCCAGAATATTACTGAAAGCCAGAATATTACAGGGAAGGCTAGAAATGAATATAGAGACAATTAGTGTCACGATCAAGGGAAGGTGTGACCTGTCTGTCCTATACAGGGTAACTATTATAAATTTTGATTCATGAAAATATTTTTATGGAACTGCATACATATCATGTTTTCAACATGTATAAAGCAATATTAATATGTGATATCAACCAGCTTGTAGTTGTATTAATGGTAAAGTCTATATAGACAATATATATTGTTCTTTCTGTATATGATAAATCCTTATAATCTTTAAAAAAAACTCACCAAGTTCTAAAAGTTCTGGTATCATGGCTACCGATTCTGTATATCTGCGACTAGGTTGACTCACAGTGATAACTTGGACCTTTGATAAATTTGTTATAAAGGACAGTGGGATCACTTCAGTTACCAATAAATCCATATTCTGTATTTGTTTTTATACCATGTAGCTATGCCATTTTTTCATCTCGTATTGTGCACAACAAAGCAAATTTAGTATTCCATTTGAGTGAAGATGTAATTTCCATGATTTTGTACCTATTTGAAGTTTACTGGTGTAAACTGATTGTATCAAGATAAAATTTTGAAGTGCATCAAATTTTTGTTCAAAATTGAATGTATAATCATTACAGAGGAACATCACGGTCTACTTCAAGGTTTAATAATGATTTCAGTGTCATGTCCTTGATTCCTTATATGAAATTATATGTGTACACGTACACATTTTGAAATGACAAAGAAATTCACACAAATGTAAATATCATGAAAGTCTGCAATATACTAGATGGTCAACTATAAAGAACTTCTCAATCTGTTGAGCATCACATCAGTAAACAAGAGGTGTTGAAATAACAAATATCCTGTTACATTGGCACCTTAATAGAAATTAGTGAATAATGCTCAATCATTTACAATAAGCATTACTGTTATCACTGAAAACTCAAGGACAAGTTATTTCCTGGAGGGGATGTGTAACCCTGGTAAAAACTAGCTAGCTGCAATCTACCACTTGGCAAGAGAGAACTTCTCTTTAGCCTGATCTGTTGCATTTCAGAGCAGCAAAATTAAGTAATTAAACTAAAGGTTCTGGATTCAAATCCTAGCTGAGGCATTGAAATAAATAATTATACTATGCTTTGTAATGAAAAGTTAGATAAATAAAAACTGCTCCACTCAACTTACCTAAGTGGGAAATACTGATCTGTTCCTCCTGGTGGCCCAAATGCACTAAGTCCAGTCACGTTTAAGTTATTCTTATATTTTTTACAATGTCTTTCGTTATAACATAAGCAAATTTCACTGATACGTTAAAGCAATTAGGTGGGCAATGGATATTATCAGTATCTGCATCCCCTTGTCCAAATGAATTCAAATACAGGCCGAACCTTTCTGAATCTGCCACTCCATGTGGGGTACTCAAAAATATTATCTCGGGATTTAAACCGTCTATGTGCTGTCCTAAGAGCTTAAAGTTTTCATGTAGTATCCATGCTTGCTCTTTTGCGGTAGTGTTTGTAGTATTGAAACTGTCGGGAGCAAGTGCTATACCACCATGTGGAACAACAAATGCGCCTGTTATGATACCACTTGCCAAGGAACAAAGAGAAAGCGAAAGTACAAATAGATACACAGCAAGCATGTGTGTACAGCAATGGGTATGCTGATAATGCGTGACCTTCTTTGTTAGTATATCTAAAATTAAACTTGTGTCTTAATTCACAAAAGATCGACAGGCGTCATTACCCAACCAAGAGACATCAGTCAACGGTTTGTGATTGTGAGAAATCCAAACAGGATGCAGATGGTTTGTTGTCTCCCTTTGACATGATGACTTACCAGTCCAATTCGACGCTCAGTATGAACATTTTTTTTAATTAGATGGGAAAAATAAAATAGGTGACCTGAATAAAGAAATAATTTCTTAAATCACTTTAAACAAACCTTACATTATTAAAAGTAATTTCACTGTCGCATACATATTTTAAAGGAATCCCATGTGAATTAAAATGTTCAGCCCTTTGAAGGCATTTCAAAGACCAACTTCATACAGTATTTATTTTTCTTCATAACATCCTCAATTTTAACGCATTCAAAATATGAGAAACTTATCATAATGGTTTATAATTGTTAATTTTGGTCAGAATCGATCTCTTACAATGCCATGAGAAATGCAAGCACACCTATTCTGTTATAATCTACATTTTCATGGTATATATAAATTATGTTCATATTTTGTAATGGAACATGTGTTAATTTGCAGTAATTTGGTGATTGATAATAAGTGAAATAGTTTGTAAAATATTGAAATTGTACAAAAAAATAATTGCATTTGATGTCTACTTCACAGTGTTTGTATTTGTTTGGTTGTAATTTTTGTGAAAATAATGAAACTTTATTAGGTAAAGGTTTTTGTTCTACTTTATTAAAAACAACTATGGTTGATATTAAAATCTTATTTTTTCTAATGAGAATGACTGTTGAGTAGATTGATGTGAACATTCATTAACATGTAATAGTTTGTTATAAGCGAGTCAATTTCATACTTACTGTATTTTTGAGGAAACCATCTTAACCCATAGGAAACACTGCCTGGTATGAAAGCCCATATATAAAATGTATTACATTTTTTTGGTGATGGTTTCAAACAACGATGTCAGTAAACACAGATGTGGTTCATTTTTGTCAACTTTTATGCAATTATTTTTTGTTAATTTCTGTTTTGCTTCAAGTAATTTATTCTGGAGTCGTTGTGAAATAGGAGATGCTTATATACCATGTATCTTTTGGGACACTTTCAATGATTATTGTTCCACTCTTTATAAGCATTTAGCACATCTTTGTTTACCGGTTAGTGTCTCTCCTGTTCCTGAGGTTCCATCTTTTTTTCTTCTTTTTTTCACATGTCCTGAAAACATCTTGTATTGTTTCATATTTAGTGCTTCCTCCTCAATATGTCTTGTAAAACATATATTTGTTCCTGGAGTTATTGTGTAAAAGGATGCAAAATTTTACTTTTGAGTTGAGCATCCATATACTTTACAAGGCATTGCTTTACAAACTTTACTTAAAATTGCATTGTCTTTAGACTGGACTATCAGATTAGTTCATGTCATATAAATGTATTTCATCAAAATAAAAAGAAAAATATTGAAATTGTTAAATCAATCTATGCGAACTTCTCACACATGCCAAAAATAATAAAAATATGGAATTCATCGATGAAAATAAAAAAGTGTTGATGAAGAATTAAATATATCTGTAGATTTAGGTTGATAATTTTTGAGACATTTTATGTTCTGGTGTTATCAGTTTCATTTCCAAATCCCTTGTATGTGTGTATACCTATCCTCCCTCTCAAAACCAACCTGCTGTCATAAAAAGTGCTTAATGTACCGCCACAACACCACACTTTGTTTTGATGATTAATTTCCTTAGATATTTTTCAAGAGCCATGATGTGCTCGAAAATTCAACTTTATTTAGAAATTCTGCCTCATAAATTGGAATTAAGTCCAAGCATTAAACATTTTGGACTGATAAACTATACTTAAAAGTGCAAATTGCATGCTGTAGATTTTGAAGAACAATACATCATTTGTAGTAAACACATCTCATTTTTTATTTTTTTCAAAGAAAAGGAAACACTTGTAACAATGGGGAGTGTTGTGCAATGCCTAAACCCTAGACATATATTGGGAGCTCTGAAACCTTGGACAGCATTATTTATACAGCGTAGATTGTGAAGAGTGCCAAAAACTCCAAAATGAGAGACGTGTATAAGATCCAAACCTCTGACAATTGTAAAAAGTGCCAAAAAACCTCCAAGACTAACAACACTATTATCTATGTATACACTGTAAATACAAGAAGTTCATTTTTAAACATTCAAAACAGTATACTTTGGTGGTTTGTACATTTTAATAAAAAGTGTATATAGCACTGATTCATCCACAACATTTGTATAAACACATTCATCAATAGTCATCTTTTTTTTCCTCTGAAGCGTTATAGTATGTTTAAAAACACATCTTTTGTAAATAATTTCTAACCCAATAAAACTCCTAAGTGTTGGTAAGGTTAACCATTCTCATCTTCTTCCTCATAGTAATCATCATCTGCATAATCAGGGTTATTTGCCATTTCAGTCTCAAATTTAACCAATCCTGAAGTCAGTGCATAAGATATCATTGCTACAGCAGCAAACAATGCTGCAAAAAAAATATTACGCTTCTTGTTAGGAAACTCAAGAGAATCTATCTGCATCTTCTGTCGTTTTTCTTCCTCACGTTTTCTTTTTATTTCTGATTCTGCAAAGGGAAATAATAAATATATATTTTATTTACATTGTAAACTGATGTGAGAGAGACCGATTTATTTTTTCTTACTTGTATTTATAAATTAGACAACATTGTAAAAAGTAAGTGACATAGGGATGGAATCTATCACTAAGGGCCCGACTGTTGCAAAATAGAAGTAGCCAATATTATCATCACAGGGATTTGGCCACAATTTCTTTTTTCAATGAATTCTGTTACATCATAATCTAAAGAGTACTACCACACAGATGACGCCACTCAAATATGTCCTGATGAATGAGAAATTTAATAAGGTGACCGGTCACACGGTACATGTGACGTCTAAGTTTTACTGACCATGAATTCCTTAACTAAACACTATACATTGTTGTACAAATATCTGAACAAATAATTCTGTTTAAGTAAACCAAACAAGTGGAAAATCCTCATCGATGGATTGTGAGTCAGTAATATTCAATTATATATGTACTTACATCTCTGAATACACAATCGTAACGTATGGACAGCTGTTTTTGTTTTCAAATAACCATTTGATATGACATGGAATATGATTGTACAGGTGTACACAATATTTTTTTGACAATTTTGGCTCATGACTTTATAAGGTATAAAATTGTTTTGTAACAGAGTTACTTGCATACACATGACACATATATTCAGTTCTATACATTTGTAAGCATGTACAAATTCATACCATAAACCAATTATGCAGATATTCAGGACTATTTGATACAAAATATAAATCCCAGCAACAACTCAGCAGTAAATCATATTAACTGAATGACTTGAAGGATTTTGAGCATTGAAATTCCTTTACTTCTTAAAAATACAAATGTCTATATTGCTTATGTGCTTTGACTGGCGATACGGAAATGTCATGATAGCAATGTCTTACACAAGTCCTGATTTTGATATTTACATGTACCACATAAAATTTACACAGTACAAGAAAGAATGTTCAATTTACAATTATGAAATCATCTCTAAGCCAAAAGGAGAAATGGCTGATGTATACTTATATATATCCACAATATTTGTGGTAGATGCAAATAGTGTATGTGTGCACAAGTGGGGTAAGCTATTGAACATTTTAAACAGACACATCTCTGGTTATCACTTTTCCCACCACTTCCATTATCACATGTCATGTGACCTCATTTCACATTGAAAATATGCATATCCACCAGACTAAGCTAAAGGGAACAGAACCAGTTTTCCTGGTTGTCTGTGTGCCAGGAGAGACAAGATAGTGCAGACTACCCTATACACAATTATTGTATCATTTTAAACTGAAATATGGCATTATGTAATATTGCGGACAAAACCACTTAACTCTAAATATGGGCACAATGTTACAAGGAGTTTGGGAACTCAAAAGAATAGCATGTGACATACATATGAAGACCTGAACATATCAAAGCAACATCAATCCATTACTTATGCCACATTAATTCGATTTTGAGTTTCTTGGATTTTCTGAGTTATATTTCATGCAAAAAAATTTCTATAGTTTTCTTTTACAAATGCCAGTAACAAATTAGCCACAGAGCCACCACTATGTGGAAGGGCCCTAATAATCTTAATTGAACACCACGAAAAATAAAAACATACCCGTAAAAGCAAAAAGCCATGCAGTTTTCCTCAAATTCTGAAAACCTCTCTTAAACAACATTTTTGGCAGCATTTGATTTTGAAGTGAAATGTATGGAAAATGTATATTTACTGCAATTGATCATCAATCGATTAAACATACCTTCTGGGCTAAGAGGAAAATATCTCATAAGCACTCTGTTACATAAAGTACAGAGATTTGTACAAGCTTTCAGATGGTTTATCAGACGATTCGTTTGTATTGGCGCATTCAGCAGAGGTGCAAGGTAACCAACAACTTTAGCATCCAATTCAGAGGGCCTAAAATGGAAATATATTGTATAAAAGACACTTTGACATTCAATTAGTGGCAACAGCAATTTTAAATCATTTTGAAAGATGATGCTATCTAACAATATCATTCAATTATGTTTTGATTGATGTCGAGATATTTCTAGGCCAAAACACTGCTTTATACAAACTGATACTTTTGCAGGCTCTTTTATTTGTCTTTAAACCATGCTCTTTATTCATTTGCATTTGAAACACAAGTTTTGTAAAAGTAATCAAAATTTCTATTTAAAATTCATCCTTTTGTTCATACTTACAAGGATCCAAAGAAGAAGTCTTGTTCACCAAGCCGATAAGACAAATGATTCAGACATTCTTTTGCATCTTTATAGATCTAAAAAAAACAAGTAATTCTGTTCTAAATAATGTAATGATTCTATCAAGTACTCAGACATTATCAAATTCTAAAACAATAGAATTCAAAATAAATACACATCACTCAAAAAAAAAAACAAATATATTGAAAATACATTTATGTTGAAAGGAAACTTTACAAAGTATGTGAATAATGTTGAAAATTAACAATAACATAAATATTCAATAAACCACAAAATATTTCATGCAGGAAATGTTTTAATTGTGTGTCAGTCATTTTACACCTCAATGACCAAAAGATGTTATAATTCAGAACAATTTAGAAGCATCTGTCTATTGACTGGACACTATCGATTTGAGACTTGTTAAAGTGGCTGTATAAATCCTCTTGATATTTCTTACAGTACTTAATTCCAGCTTAAAATGTTGATTCTCATGTTTGATATCCCTTTTGTGCAATGAAAGAAAATTTACCTTGTATAAACCAGCTTTTTTAAAAAAGAGAAAAAAAACATAATTTGCAATAATGCACACTGGAATAGATAGGTTGGAGCTGGCCTACTTTGACTTATAAATCCCTATCTAGATACAGCATCACTTGCTTCCCCCTCCCAAACATTTCCCCACAAATACAAGACTTTGGTCTGTGCCAAACTATAACATAACAACTGCTGGTTTTCATTCCATTGAAAATTTAAATATAAGTTTCCAAGAGACCAACTACATGAGGCAAATTCTGAAATATTTACCTGCAAATTCAAACATGGTGAATTAGTTTATAAAATTATTTGTATCCAGTTCGGACATATGAAACTGATCTCTTATGAAAGGTAAGTGTTGTAATACACATATTAGTACTGATTACTTTACATCACTAAAAGTTAAATACAATCAGAATGTAAAGGTGTTCATGAGATGAAACCCTATTTAACACATTTTCTTTTCTTTGCCAACCTTTGCAACTATTTCCTCTCTTGTTACATTATCTGGGTCCACAGTCTCCGCCATGTACACAACTGATGCTGCAGTCCTTTGAAGTCTCCCAGGGATGTAAAAGTTCAAAGGGAATGGGCTGGCATGTGCATACCAGGGGCGAGTCACATCAACATAAGTCTGATCATCTAACCACCAAGTGTGTAACTACCAACATTAGATAACATAAATCTTTAATGTTTACAAAAAATGAAATGTGATTGAACAGATACCAACAATATTAGTGCTCAAGGATGAACAACTTCATTTTCTGGATACTATCTTACAACCGACTTTGCAAATTTTCAAGTATTCTACTATCTAAACATGATAAAGTTATATTTTTCACTTTCATACATGAATATAGCATAATATGCATTAGTCCTAGATACTGAGTTGGTGGAACGGTACTTGTCCTTAAAGATATATATCAGGTCCACAAGAACTTTAATAGCAATACTTACAGGAGATTTATGAGAATCATTAATATTGATACATTTTTTTATATTGTAACATAAAATCTTCAGGCCACCAGAAGATCATCATACACAAAGAAGTATGAAATATTGTAAATCATTTTATTCAAATCTGTTTATCTTCTATTCATAAAAAATATTAAGTGTAAGCTGAAAGTTAATTTGCTAGAAAAATATGATTATGCTTCTTTCTACAAATATAATGAATTAAATAAATAATATACATACTACTGCAGGTAAAAGCTTTTGCTCTAGTAGAGAGGTGAAGGCCTTGATGTTAGCATCATTTTGACCCACCTGGTTTGTCACTCCAGTTGGACTCTTTCAAAAGAACAGAAAATCAATCAATATATATCATATTATTGTAACAAGCATTTGCCTTGATAAGGCGAAAAAAATAATGAAATAAAAAAAAAAAAAACCGATTATTTCAGCTGCAATTTAGAACATTGATTTCTAACTCCATTGCATGGGTTTGCACACATATTCAGATTAACTTTTCACTAAATATAATGTTAAATAGGAAGTAATTCTAAATTTAATTCAATTTACATACTTACTTTATTTCCATCACAAAAATGAATGCAACCAAACTTGTATACATATATCAATGATAACATACCATCTGATCTTTTATATTTTTAAACAAAATTTGAATAATTTGGTATTACCTTTTTTCTGATAATTTCTAACATCTCTGACATCCTCGATGAAGATTTATTACCGTTTCTTAAAACTGGTAATGTGCCTGGAAAAGTGAAACTGATTGTCATACACAGCACTGAACAGATAAATAAACCTTCATGTTTCCAGATACGAAACAAAAGTTGCTAAATCATTGCCCTACATGTATTGAACAAACCCTAGTATAACTTAAAGGTTCCTGTAACTGTCATATTACCAATTATAATGCAGTTCAATATTCAGATTATTAATTCAAAACATTACTATGTACATATTGATAAGGAATCGGCTCATACCCATGTGTCAGGTTAAGTGTTGTAAGTGCTGCATGTGTATATTGTGAGAGGTTTATCATACTGAATATCACAATCTGTCTGAACATCTGTTTCATTTTCAAGATGATAATCTTTCCGCTACTGTCATGTGCCAAGAGTTTCTTCTGCACAAATGGACAGACCAACAAAGTAATTCCTACAGAACCCCCAACCCCTTTGTTTGCAGCGAGCATAAACAAGAGTATCAGTGAAACTGATAACCTTACGTTAAAGAACCAATATCAACATGATGGACCTTTTTATTATTGAAAGTTCTTTTGAAGACTTAACACATTTGACACATGTAAACTTTAAAAAGAGAAAATAGGTAATTCTTCATCCCAGAATCCTACATGCCAAATATCAGCACCCTTGACCTTTTTTGGTAATTAAGATGTTGTGTGAATATTTCAAAACACTTGAAACCCCCTGAGTGGGTCAAGGTCATTAATTTTACAAAACTTGGAAGCCCTTCTTCCCATCATGCCTACAGGCCTAATGTCAACACTTTGGGCCTTTTGGTTATTGTGAATAAGTCATTTAGAAAGTTTATGCATGGTGGACTGTGCAAGGCAATGGACGAAAACTTGATGGCTGTAGCTCATCCTGACCTTTCAGGTCAAATGATGAACAAAAAAATTAGGGTCAGCAGCAAACAAAAGGGATGGTTGGGAAACTGGAAATACAGATGTATATATATGTTAATCCCAATTATTTTCCTTTAGCAGTTTGGCCAAAAAAATGTTATAAATCTCTGTGTTCATTTGAGAACAGTTTAATGTATGTCACATGTACCTGATGGTGTCCATACTGGATTGTTTCTTTTGATGGCAGTACAAGGGACTCCACAAAACTTTGCAAATGCCTAGAAGAAAAACATTTTATGAATTTTAAATATGTATGCTTATTGAACATATAACTTCAAGATCTAGCTATGACAGCAGCTAGTGTCATAAATCATTTAAAATTCAACATTTTGCTGTTAATGTTTTATATTTCATTTTTTTACCATTTTAACTGAAGGTACATATGCCTTAATCTTGACAAATAAAAAATATGATAAGTTGTAAAATCTTATCATATATTAACCCTGGTTGCTGAAAAGATTGTTCAGTTTAAGTATCTCTTGTACCTCCCGTCATCATGGTGCAAGGTGAATCAACAGATTATTTTCAACCTCAAGCAAATACAAATGACAAGGTAGCTTTAAAATCTGATGATCTCTTCAGAGGTTGGAAGTCCAATATTTCAGTCCTAATCTGACCAATGTCAGAAGAGGATGGCCAAAATCAATTTAATTTGAAGCTTCTCTGGCTTCTTTCGAAATCGCTAATTTAATCTTTGTGGTCTCTGAGGGGCACATGTAATGTACAATGAGGTCCTATTCATCAGTCAAGAATATGAGAAAATATCCTGGAATTCTGCACAATAAAAACAAACATGGTGTTGATGTATACATGTATTAAAATTTTGCTTTTTCATTATGGTTTCTCACACTTGGAGAAAACGAGGTGGGACCCAAAAATATATAATTCATTGTCATCAGATTTACATGTACTTGCATTGATATTGTAGATTTTAACCTGTGATAATTGTTTCACTCGTATTTCGTTGATTTTATCATTTTAATGAGATAACAAAACTAAGTTTTTTTATCTCAAATTTTAACCCTTTTAAAATCGATTATATCTAATGATAAGCTTTCGTTTAGAAAGCAGTTGATCATGAACCAATTGACATCAAACTGTGGTCGGTGCCTGTGGTAAGAGCAGTAGGTCTACTCAAAGCCTTTCTATTTCCACATTTATTATCATTGACAACTTTAATTGCAGACATTGAATATTTTAAGAAGACTTGAGTTATTACACTACTGCTGTCAGAAATTATCAAATCATGTAATACATACACGTGAACGTCAGTGATAACATAAATAATATACCAAAACAGTTAAACAATCCGGATCCACGGAAGGGAGTTCCCAGTCACCTCCCCAAATATCCAACTCCAAAACGTCGTCTGCCATGCTTGTTGAGCTCACTGTCGATGTCCTCGACCTTGATGTAGTGATATTTATATTTGTAACCGGAAATAGACTTTCTTACATTTGAACACATATTGTTAACATTATTGCCACTTTTGAAAATGTATGATGAAAGTAAAAATAATTTCTTACCCGACGTCTTTATTGTGGAGAATAAATGACATTGATAGATCCCGTAAGCATGTGAGCTTTTTAGATCTATATTTAGTTCTGGAAGGTGCGGATGGTTTTCCGTCAAATTTGTATTGGGTGTTCCAGGGCACCACTTGGCACACAGCGATTGGGGAGTCTGTTCAGTGGAAGGACGTTTCGGATGCATTTGCTATTCCAACGATGTTCTTGAAGGCATTATATTTAGTGATATGTGCAGTAGGCATAGCATTGGTATACAATGCTTGGAAAACAGCAATGGAAGTTAAAAAAGAACAAATAGAAGAAGACATCATCAATGCATGGGAGAAACACGTTGTGTCACCATCAGTGACATTTCAGAATTTACACGTCGGGTTAGTGTACATGTATCAGTAGTGTATACACTGTATAGGCTATTTACCTAAGTAATCTATGACACACTTTTTGTTTTGTTTTATATAATGTTTTACTATCTCATTATATTCAACAGCGTTTATTGGTTATTGGCATATTACTAAAGTTTTACTTTTAAATAGCAAAAAGTTTTAGAGGGTAGGGGTTGTATATTTTGGCTACCTGCCCCGTCCAAGTAGAACATCGCAGCATGATAAGCAGAGCTGTAGTATGTAATCAGCATTAGATATTACAAACAGGAAGTGTGACTTATTGAAAAAAATCATATCAAGGGGTGTGTATAGTAATGGGCATCATATCGAAAATACATTGTATCATTACAGCCCTGACACAACTGTCCTAGACCAGCTTTTTAGTACTTCTTACAAACATGGCCGATTTCATTTATAATTGTATATAGAGATATGGTCACCTTCTAGCGTTGCACAAGAGGGAAGTTCCCATTAGGTATACATTTATATATGATCAATGAAGTAAAATGAACAAGTATGGACAAGTGAATCACCAAATTTTCGAGATGCCAAAGGCCCTTTACAGACTAATTTTGTTACTTGATAAAGGGGCAAATTGCCTCAAAAATTTGACAATTCACTTGTCCGCACTGTCAATATTACTTAATTGATCATATATCTATTCCACTAATATGCATCGAACAGACATTTGTTGGTTAGGGTCCAGTACCAAGATTGGACCATACAATTGATATTTCTTACTTTATACATGAGTGTATGTATATATATATATATATATGTATACATTCAACTTCCAGAAGACCTTGTTCATCATCCAAATATGTTGACATGAAATATCAAGAAGACAAAATATTTGTTTCTTTAAGGTTTTTAAGCCTGTTGACTTTCTTTAGACGATTACTTTATTACTTTCTGTTCTGACTTATGACATAATATATAACTGACAATGGAATGGAGATAATAAAATTAAATGTTTGGAGATGTAACATTTTTATTTAAATACTATTTGAAGCAAGTTTGAAAAGATACATGTTTCTAGCTGTACATATATATATAAATATATATATGTACAGCTAGAAACATTTTAAACTCTGTCTTTTCTTGACCAAGTAGATTACATGACCTACATATACTTAAATCACTTCCACCTTAGGAACAGCTAGGGTTAATTTTCACTTCACAACTCTTCTTGTGTTTGTTGAGGTTGGATTTGAAGTTTTTTATTATTTTTCAGTTTAATACCTTGGTGATAGAGTTACAATCACTTATTACCGTGACATCAAGGGCATGTTTCCTGATGTTATTACCTTGACATCAAGGGCATGTTTTCTGATGTTATTACTGTGATATCAAGGACACGTTTCCTGATGTTGTCCCTAATTTTCAATATTTTACCACTTTGTTGCTGGTCTAACTAAAGCCTTGAAAAGTTTGAAATGCTTGAAGCTCATTATATCTTTTAATTCTGTTCTGCAATTGTGGTTAACCAAGAATGACCAATGTGATGAGTCAACAAAAATAGCTACATATTTGATGCTACTATACAAAAGATTTCAATTCAAAGCATTGTTGCGACTGACATCAAACAATATACTGAAATAAAACATACTTTTTTGTATTAATAGTTAAAAAGTGGAAGGAAGAAATTTATGGAAGTTGGTTGGTTAGTTGCTTACATGTTTTACGCCAGCATTCATTATGTAGTGAGTGATCAGCAAGTGGTGGCCTTCATCGCGTCTGTGAGTCTTAGACCCTGTGTGCCAATTTGGTTCCATAACCTTGTCAGATTCTGGTTAGATCTGTGGAATTGACTGGAAATCATCATATTTCAAGAAGGAGTACTCCATGATCTGACAGGATAGTTGTCATCATCTGATGATGTCATTGTTATGTTTATAGCAATTTATGATTATTATGAAGCTGCTATAGTTGTCTTAATATCTGTAGCATAAAGAAGCTTGGATTCATAGGAAACAATCACAACAGGAATTTGATTTGACCCTTAGGGACTTAGGGACAGGGCTCCAAAAGGTGAAGGTAGACATTATTTTGCTTCAAAATGCTATTTCTTTTTAATACTTAAGTAGATTTCAACCAAATTTGATTTGAAACTTAATAGCTGGTGGGTTATCATTTCTCAAATCTATAAAAATGATTTGACCCCCAAGGGACCGGTAGCCAAACCTCAAATGGGATTGGTAGTCAATGATTTTGCTACAAAATGCTATTCTTCCTTAATGCTGGAAAGAATTTATACCAAATGTGGTCTGAAATATCATCGTGGGAATTCATCAGATTTGTCCGATCACCATCTGCAAATTCTGTGGTTTGTCCATCCATTCATTGATTGACAGATGTTTATTGAAAAGTTTTTATCATGAAAATTCAAAAGATTTAAATGAATTATGTATTTCAGAATCAACTCTAATGTTGACCTGATTATTCCGGCTGTTGCTCTGCTGAAAGCTCTGACAGTGCCATCTGGAACAAAGGAAAACAGGGATGTTTTAAATAATGTTGAAGACCTTCGAGATACATTCGCACATTTCTTCGCAAAAGGCTCTGCTGCAGAAAGAGCTTTCATGAATAAAAAAGTATTTCAGAGGATCATTTCTACTGCAAAGATGCTGGAAAGTTCTCAGGTACTTAATGCTTATCCTAGTGTGAAAGATATTTTGTGGAATAGTGTCCTTTTTTAACATTTTATGTGAGATGGGTAAGTTGTTGAATAAACTCTAAATGGGTTAAAGAGGTAAAATACATAAAGTAAATGATTTTGGGCAAATGCCATGAAGGGATATCCATAGTCATTTGTTCAGATTCAACTTTTCTCATAAAATGACTTCTTCTCAAGAACCAAAATGTCTAGAGTCATATTTCCCAGGAAGATTCCTTTGGTGAATTCCAACAAAGTTTGTGGAAAGAAATTATCTTGGACATCATGCAAATGACTTCTTCTCATGAACAAAATGGCCTAGAATCTTTATATTTGGCAGATATATGTAAGTTCCTGGGATGAAACCCAACAAATTTGCACAAAGGAATTGCCTTGACCCATATTGAAGGTCAGAGGTGTCGAATTTGTGAAGTCTTTCAAAGAACTTCTTGTCTATAACCAAAATGCCTAGAAGCACAAATTTTCTAGCACAGCCACTGTGTGTTATAAGCTTAATGTGTATAAAAACAGTACAACTCAATGCTTTGTTTCTTCATAACTCATTTAAAGTTTCTTCATATATTTGACCACTATGCTTTTGGCAAAAGGTCAAGGTCCAAAAGATGGGTTTTCTTCATCCAAGACAGCTTTTGGTCCAACGTCGTGATCTTATACCTATTGGTTCTTTAGAAGAAATTGTCATTGATACTGTGTAAGCTAAACTTATAGAATTGTTTCATGATACATATCTTTGCTTGGCTTTGGCACTAAGGTAAAATAATTTTGTACTTAAAATGTATTTCAAAAATTGCAGTATTATATTGGAGGCAATGCAGCACTGATGGCAAGTATAATATCGGAACAGTTTCCAGAAGTGAAGGTATGTTGTTTAACATCTATTGTAATTATTTGGTAATAGATATGGCAAGAAGGTACAAAAGACACTCACGTGAATATCACCTTTTTATACAAAATAATTAGAAACAGTAGAACCAAACAATGAATCAAACTTCATACAGCTGTATCATCCTTCTAGGTCTCCTCAGTGACGCTAAGGTCAATATTTTGAAATTTTAAGAGATGAATGAAATCAAAAGCAGTCAAAAAAAATGTCAAATGGGGAAGTGTGAAATAAATTTTGCAATTTTCATATCTTTGATAATTTTATGGGAATGTCAAGTAATGCATTTCCCATAAACAGCTCAAGGAAATTTCTTTGAAACAATTTGATAAAGTTGCATTTGTAGCTTGATTCCAAATCATCTTTTTCATTGTTAGTGAAATTTTATTATTTTGTATTAAGCATCACTGATGATAACAAAAAAATCTTGCATATTGCAGATAAATTTTGTTGGGCCAGTTGGACCAAAGTTATTAGAGATGCTTCCAAAATCTATGAACATTCCAATGGCTAGTCACATTGCTTCAGACGAAGTACATTTGATCATGGAGTATGGAGTTGGCGAGACTTGGGGAGACCTGAAGAGCCCTGTTGCCAATCGCTTCATTACAAGTTATGATGAGTCAAATTCACAAGCAACCATGCTGGAAACATTCTTTGAGACACTTGACACCTCTAAGACTGATCTGGTTCTTTTATCAGGACTACATATCTTAGAAGGGCAATCAAAAGATTTCTTTGCAAGAAGAATTCAGGCTGTCTGTGAGGGCTTAAATGAAATTCCAAGGTCTTTGCCAGTGCATTTAGAGCTGGCAAGTATGGCAAATGAAGACTTTGTTAAACAGATCCTAATAAAGGTAATTATAATACATAAATAAGTATAAATGAAATGTACCAAGTTCCATGGAGTAGTTTATGGGGATTAATTTAGGATACGTAAGGGAAAGATATACTTCGAAATTGAGCAACTGAAGGGAAAGCGGAAGACTGCAAGGGGAGTCCATACTGAGGACAAACCTTTTTTGTTTTTTATTAAGAAATGGATGCAAAATGATACGTTCTGTGAGAAGTTGGTGGTATTATTTGCGAGTATAAAAATTACTTAGTTTGTCAGAGTAAGAAGAACAAAATTCAGAAGTAGTGTTGAAAATTTATCTGTGAGGAAAGGGTGAATTTTTGTTCATTTTTATGAAGGGGAATCTACCCAAAAACAGCAAGACAATGAACCTAGATTGTGCTCTGTAGATGATATTTTGTAAAAGTGAAATGGATGTAAAATGAATAAAATATAACATTAAGTATTATCATCTCTCTATTGTAGATTTCTGTTTTTTCTAAGATTGATGCTTTCCTCTATTTCAGGTAATTTCGAAAGTATCATCCCTAGGGTTGAATGAACAAGAACTTGCATTTGCCTCCCTGGCTGGGGATGGTCCCCATAATTTAGATTTCCACCATCAATCTGGTCCACCAGAAATGTACAAGGCCAGTGATATGATCATGTGGTTGCTCCAACACTATGGTCACTCATCTCATAATAGGGAATCAAGACTGACCAGAGTCCACTTTCACTGTCTTTCATATCATATTATTGGAAATGTTAAAGGAGCTTGGGCAAATTCTGCTGCTGCTGTTGCTGCAGGATCAAGAATGGCTGGGAAACAAGCATGTGATGTACAACAATTAAATTCTTCTATTGTAGATTTAAAAATTCCAAAATATTTCAAAGCATTCTCTAATGATGTTGAAAGAGAATTTGATCCAAATAATCCTGTAATATCATGGGAAACAAATGAATTTGAGTTTTCACTCAGTCCAGTATTAGTATGCAATGATCCACAAAAAACAGTTGGTTTAGGGGACTCTATATCAGCTACAGGTCTCATGTTCTCTCAATACTTATATGCATCCAAATAATACATTTTCATAACTCACTCATACTGATGGGGCAGTATTGCAATACTTTTGTAATGGGAAGAAACATGATCTCATTAGCTTTATTAAATGGAGATATTGATTACAATAGACTTAAATTGTAACAGATATGCATATGCAAGTGTATGTTTTAAGTCAATTTCTTCTCAAATGTTTCTTATTTGGGTAATAAACTATTGAAAAAAGAAAGGTATGTTCTCACACAACAAATATGACAAGAGGAGATTGCATGTTTCCACCTTTAAAGCTTTTTAAGTTAGAATATCCCAATTTTGTTTAAAATTTTCTAATGAATAGAAGTATTCATAATACATCTTTTTTGCATTTTGCCAATATCAACTGTATATTTCTGTAAGTATATATATATATATTATATAGTTAACGGAACATGTTGATGAGAGATAATAATTTTCTATAAATGTATCACAGTAAATGTTAATGAGTGTTGACTTTTTCCAAAAACTGAAACAAGAAAACAAATCCCTTCTGATCATTCGATCAAGTCTTATGACAAATAATTGAAAAAAAGAAACATGATATCATTAGTGTTTTTGGAGACACAAAGTCAGAATACTGAAATATCTCATTCCTAAAAGTTAAAATATTGACATCAGACATACAGAATAGTTGTTTTTGCAGGACTAATATTTTGTGGTTGTCCCAGTTTGGGCTAGTTCACATGTATTAAATTTCGGATATGTCTGTACATTGGTATCCCACAAATATTACCAACTTGCAGCACACGGAAGTTATAACATTGACAGAAGCTGCTTTGTTGCAATCCATATGACATCATTGATATTGGTAAAATGCATGCGAGATGTTTTTTTTTCTCTAAAAAACAGAAGTATACAAACGATATCTTTGTATCTTTTTCTAACAAAGGATTGAGGCAATCAAAATTAACACCATTTCATAAATTCCTTATTCTGAGTTTGATTCAAAATTATGTTGAAAATATCCATGAACTCATTCACCACAACCACTTAATTAATGAATCTATATCAGGGGACCATTAAATATTGTTGTTGGTAGCAAATGAAATAAATAAATAAAAGCTCTTCTTTCAGGAGCTGTAACATTGAGCAGTTGTACACTATACATTACTGTATTTATCCACAAATGATCACAGCCCAGAAATAAGCCCCCTTCTTCTAATTTGTAGAATCATCAATTCAAAAATAGTATGATATAAGCTCTCCCTAAAATTTAATACTAAACTTTTACACAAGGGCTATTTTGAGGATAGTTACAACAAGAAATACACTCTTTGTTTTTGTTCATATATACAAGAAACTATATAAACAGGATATACCACTTTGTGTTGATGTTTTGAGTAGGGAAGGGAGCTATGGAAACTATCAGTATTCTAGTATATTTGTATATAGTTGTTGATGACATGTCAAATAACAATTGGTTAATCATTTTATTGTTATCGCCTTACAATAAATAAATGCAGATAAAGATGTGCTTATGTTAGTGCTACACAGGTTAATGTCTTCAGTGGTTTGTTATATTGATTTCTGTTGATATTTTTGGTTTTTGTATTATTTTTATGTGATTTTCAGTTATCACTTCTATTTCTTCCTAAAGGGGATACTATTTTATGTTCACTTTGCATTATGTACAATGTTCCTTTTGTTGAAACTTTTTAGCCACATTGTGGTATGTTTTGTTGATAATCTCTCATAACAAATTTCATTTATTTTGTAGTGTTAGGATATTTTATCTAAAAATGTCTTAAAGCCAAAATGATACTTTTCTCTCATATGGTTCGGTTATAGGAAAATAATTTTACTTCTAGTAACTTATTCTAATTTTCTGATTTACCAACAGAATCAGCTACAATTAATACATGAAAAATTGTATATTTTTGTTTTTGCATTTTGAAAATTTTATTAAGTTTATTGATAAGTTTGTATTTTAAGAAAATTCAACTTCTATTGAAAATCTGTAATGTGTTTGTTTGGTTCATAATTTTCTTCTCTCACAAGCAGCAAAGATCTAGCGATGTATTTTGAATAGTCAGATTTTGTTTTGGTGACCATTTATTACACTGTGATGATTTAAATAAAAACAAATTTAATCCAGAAAGTCATTATCAGACAATGTGTATGATCTTAATTTGTTAAATGTTAAAGTAATGGTGTTCCAAAGACTATTTATATAAACAGATGAAAGGATCATTGTTGTTAAAAGTACATCTGTATGGTTATATATCATGCTTATATGTCTAATTTAGGTAAGTTTAATTTACACACATGTACACTGCTGTTTATTTTACACACTAATGTGAAGAAGCTTTGTAAAGTTGTGAATCATGCCAGAGTACTTTTGTAGCACTAGATTTATACAATCAAGAGAATCTGGTATGTTTCTTGTAATCTCTGATATCTAGAGTTATGAAAGCTTGTGAGTTCAGTATGTCTGTTGTGAGCTCACTAAAGTTATGAAAACATGTGAACCCAGTATGTCTGTTGTGAGCTCACTAAAGTTATGAAAACATTTGAACCCAGTATGTCTCTGGTAAGCTCACTAAAGTTATGAAAACATTTGAACCCAGTATGTCTGTTGTGAGCTCACTAAAGTTATGAAAACATTTGAACCCAGTATGTCTCTGGTAAGCTCACTAAAGTTATGAAAACATTTGAACCCAGTATGTCTGTTGTGGTCTCTCTAGAGTTACTAAAGCATGATAATCATCTATCTGTGTTGTAATCTTCCTAATGATTATGAAAACACGTGAATCCTATATGTCTGTGAAAAATCACTCTAGATTTACGAAATCATATGAATCCAGTAGGTCTGTTGTAGTCTTTCTAAAGTTAGGAAAACTTGTGGATGCAGTGCTGCCTTGATAATCAGTCTAGAATTATGAGAGCAGGTGAACCCAGTATGTTTGTGGTAATGGTGAGTCCAGTGCTTCTGTGATAATATTTCCAGAGTGTTGAAAGTATACACTATACTTGATGGATAGATAGTGCTATGTTGTGGAACACCTTTGCTTGAACATTTCCTGTTACTACTGAATCAGCAGATTTCAATATCATCATATATGTATGATGTGAGTACGCTGTTTCTCTTTCCAGTTACTGGTTTGCAAGGTATCATTTTGATAATTTGAACACAAAATATTTCTTAAAAAAATATCAATAATTTTTTTCTGGACTAAAATAACAAAACTGCATTGTGTTTATTGATATTATGTCACCATATACACACAAATGATCTTCATCTGATGATGGTTTTCAGGACCAAATAGATATGTTATGGGTGTAGAAAGGATGGGCCACAGTTATTTAAATTCTGAATACAAGAGTTGAGATTAACCTTGATAAGTAATTGGTTAAGTTAATTAAATATATGCATATGAGTGCAAGTTTCCAGTTTTTATCATTATAGGATAATGAGATTATTACTGTAGCAATTTGATATAGAAAATAGGCAGTCTGTCTCCTAGAAATACACTAAGGAATGGTATCTAGTGATCATTTCATTGACTATACTTAGCTTCAGTAGCACATGATACAAAAATGATGTGATTCACATTGTGTTTACTAAAAGTCGGTATCAGATATATCTACGCATTAAACATAATCATGTTTTCAGTGCATTTTTAACAGCATTTCTTAAGATATGTATTTGTTGGTTTGTATCTGTTCAATCAGGGTATTGATAATTAGAAGAATTCTCATATGCAGTTTATCAAAAATGTTTCATTTCATGCTTATTTAAGATATATATAGCTCACCCAGTGTGTCAGTCATATTGCTTTCACTAACAGGACTTGTTCATGCTGTTATCTCTTTTCAATTATGTTAGATAACAATCATGTTTAAAATGGAAGGGGCAGGCAGAACAGGGGACTGACTTCTCAGTTCAATTTGAGACTATTTGTACACATTTAAACCAAATATTGTGTTGCTACAACACCTCACTCTAATGGCCATCAAAAATTGAGGTCAGGGATAGGTCAAAAATGGTTAGTTTAGTTGATTTGCCTTTTAGTTCACCTGGGATAATGGGCCAATTGAGCTTATGGTGTGATGTAGCATCCATCATCTTTAATGTTTTCTGTAAATGGTCATGGTGTTCTGTGAATGTTTACTCATTAACCAAATGGGCTTGAATCTTGATATTTGACAGTTAGGAAAGGGCTTAATATAAGTTAGAAAACTTGTGCCCAATCCTTCCTGTATAGTTGATACCATTAAAATATGTTTAAATCAAATTTGACAGTTTGCAAACACAACTGATATTGATCACAGATGTCAAAGATTTCCTTATATATGTCAGTTGTTGGAGAGACCTTTCTAAAAATTAGTTCAAAAGTTGCTCAGGGTCTTTAGTTGTGCCTGGTTTAAACAAATTCGGAAAACAAAAAAGGCCATTTCAGAGTTTTAGAAAATTTCTAAAATGTCATACCCTGGTAAGTAGGACTCTCTTGACATCATTTCTCACATTCTGTTTTGAGATTGATCAGAAAATTTAATTGGTGGCAATATTGTATTTACTTGAATTTGGAGTTGTTGGATTTTTTTTTGTGTACTTAATTGATTACTCTCAGATTTCATTTGTAGAATTCTTGTGGTCCTTAGTTGTACATATTCAATTTTTTGATCAATTGGAAGAACAAGATAGCTGATAAGGACAGATTGTTATAACTAATTCTCTAGATGCTGCCATTGATAGGGAAGGAGAGAGAAGAAGGGACAAGATCCAATCTATTCCTATAAGATGGTAACCAAGGGGTCTCTTGTTATACAGGTAGTTTTGCTGCAAATTGTTGTATATAAGTTGAAAAGATTATCATCAATTGCTGTGATTACTACTTACTATCTATTATCTTTTAATTCTGCCTATAGAACAAATGTCTTGTGTTAAGTCTATTATTACAAACAAGCATTCTTTTAGTTAAAAATTGTAGATATTTTTTCATACTGGTAAAATGTATAATATTAAACAGAATACCATTCAATATC